TGTCGGGGGAGAGCGCACCTGGCGCGCGCCTCCCGCCGGGCGACCCTCAGTCGGCCCCGGGCGAGCCGGCGGGGCTCTTGGGAGGGGCGCGCCACGCAGGTAAGGGATCGGGCTGGGCGTGTTGCGCGGAGGAGGGTACGCGTTAAACCCGAGCTGCTTGGCACCGTCGCCGTGTCCCCGTTGCTGGTGGCCGCGGAAGGGGACTCGCCGTCTGAATCCAGGCTTTGGGGACATGCCTGTCCCTGCCCCACACCCCGTTCCAGCACATACACAGTTGTTGAGGTGACCTGTGCAGTTCTCCCAGGCAGCGAAGTGAAGTGTTTGTGAGCGGAACTCGAGAGGGGCCCGCTGCCCTGGGAGACTCGCGCTTGGGCGATGGAAAGCTAGGGGATTTGTCCTCCGCGTTGACTTCACAGGCTGGGACAGAGCCTCTTCTTTCCGCCTCTCCCCACCTGGCTCAACCCTGCTTCTCGCACCGCTCCCTCCCAGGGCCCGGGGCCCTTGGCCACCTGCCGGGGCGGTAAATGGGAGGGTCTCGGAATTGCACTTTGGAAACTGGTCAGGGGCATCGATTTAATAACATCACAGGCAACAAGCGGAGAGAAGGGATGAGGGCGCCTTGCTGCCTTTGATTGTGGAGTCAGCCGCTCCAGTTGAGAGGGGCCTTTCTCGGAAGACTGAGGCGGAAGGATTGCCTGAGCCCAGCAGGTTCAGGCTGCGGTGGCCGTTAGCGTGCCACTGCACTCCAGCCTGGGCGACAGAGTGAGACTCCGACTCAAAAGATAGATAAAGAAAGAGGGGCCTTACACAGGGGATACTATACAGTGTGTTTGATGTCTTGGATATCTGAGTAATTAGAACCAGTGCAATTTTCAAATTGTAAACTGCTTTAAGTAAAACAAAAACTCTAGGTCCTCTTAGGGAATTTTATAGATTCGGTCCTAAAAATTCAATTCTGTTTGCTCCCAATGTGAATTATATTAAGAAATATCGATTTACTGAGAAGGAACAAGTTAGGAAAGTCAGGGAGGTACCACTAGAGTTGGCAGAGGCTGCAGGAGTGAATTTGTAAATGCTGCTCCATATCACTAGCCCGGAGCCATTCTCTTCCTGTGACTGAGGGGGATACAAAGCTCCCCAGGCTTTACTTTTCTTTTGTAGAAAACTAGCTCAGAGCTATCTCCTGATAGTATAAGAATTTCCCACACTAGGTACCCAGACAAATTGGAGGTGGGGGGGCGGCGGGAGGGGGAAGAGGGAGGACTCCTCCCTATATCATCCCAGTCTATTTGACTGGAAAACACCAATGACATATTTTAAATTAAATCTGGTGTTTGGTCTACCATCCAGCGTTCGGAGTCCCTTGTTTCTCCTTTCTTCAGTAGGCTTGCCCCCCTGGAATGAATTACAGTCAGAGGCCTGTGTTTTTACAGATGAAGAAACTGAGACCCAGTTTTTGAGTTTTAGGTTCAAAGCAAAATCTAATAAAAGATACAGAGATTTCCCATATGCCTCCCGTCCTCACCCATGCAGGGCCTCGTCCATGATTAATATCCCCCACCAGAGGAGTACATTTAAGTTTTCACTCTTGGCTTCTTTAGTGAGCTCCCTAAACAGCCCAATCATCACTTGGCAGGCATGGCACCAGGAAAAAGCTACTGGTGAGAATGCCTTTTTGAATAATGCTCCTGCCATGTGTGCATCTCACCATTACAAAGCTTTGTCATTGCATCCCAGGCACCTGGAAGGGTGCTGGGCACAGCAGATGCTAAATCCTTTTTATTAGATAAATGAAATTTTATATGACTATAGCAATGGGAGGGCCAGCAACACTACACGTTTCAGTAAATAAGAAATTGTTTTAATGGGGGGGGCTGCAATAGAAGTGCTCATTTTGAAATTTTATCCAATTAGCCTACTTTAAAATAAAACATCCCTTCCATCATCTTCAAGGCTACTGGCAGTCTCCTGGTGATTGCATGTCCATTTCCCGCACTTCTCTTGTGTCAGCATCGCCCCAAGCCAGAGTCCAGGGCAGCTGAATGCATTTGAAGTCCCTCTAGTTTGCCCTTTGCTTTTCTAACCAGCTCTGGTCTATTTACTTATCCTCTTCCACTCGCAAAATTACCTGCTGACTTTCTCTGAATATGATTACTACCCTCAGTCCTCTACTTCCTTTCGTGGAGTGTCTTCTCTTGAACTGGATTTCCCAGATCTCAGATTAGGAAACTTTGCCTTTGTCCAGGGGACTTTTGCACGGTGGTTTCATGGGATCCTGGCAACAGTCTTTCCAGGTAAATAGGATGGGTAGTATCACCCCCACTTTAGAAAGAAGGAAATTGAGAGACTGAAGTGAAGGAATTTCCAGAAAGACTCATGCTCAGGTCTCGTGACACCTAATTTTGCAGTTTCACTCAATCTGTGTACTGCATGTCTGTGATCATAGCTGAGAAGACCTGGGCTAGATTCCAAGCTTGGGGTTTGCTGGCTCCCCAGCCTTGGGCCTCATCTTATCTGGAACTGTTTCCTCATCTGTAAAAATGGAAATGATAATGCCTACCATACAGATTATGAGTGTTGTTACATGAAATTAATATAGTAAATGTAATGATAATCTTTTAGCATTATTCATTTAGAAAGCATACTACCCTTCAGCAGAGACTTTTCCACACTCTCTCACTGGATCTTTAAACACTGTGTGAGTTTGGGAAACTGGGATTCTCCCCATTTGGCAGATGAAGGAACTGAGGCAGCGAAGGTTGTTGCTTGCACAATCACCCAGCTGTTAGAAGCAGAACTGGACTGGAATCCTGTCTCTAGACTTTGGGTCCTGTGTATGTTCTCTCATACCTCAGAACTTCCCAGAGTCCCACCACACTGAATTTGGGTTCTGTGCAATTTCAAATATCATCAAAACAAACATGAACATCTCTTCTGGCTAAAAATGTCTCCTTGCAGGTGCAGACAGTATGGGAGGCCCTGCAATTTCTGCCCATCTTCCCAACTTTCTCCCTGACTCTCCAGGGAATTCAAAAGTGGCACGTTGTTAGTCCCTTGGTGCTGACTTGTGGTACTTATGGTTGTCAGACCAATGGGTTCTGAAAATGTGCCGATTCTTCCATGGGGACCATGAACAGCTTTTAAGATGCTTGTCTGCCATATCAAACTAGAAACGCGTCATTTACATCCCTTGACTCTCTGAGCCTGAGCCTGATATTTTGCCAAATGGACAAGGCAGTTGATTGTTACAGCAGAAGACAGCAAGGACTTTCTGGCTAGAGACTTACCCCCGATTTTAGTTTTCCTGTTCAGGTGTTGACTATTCTTGTAAAGGGCTCAGATTTCCATCCCACTGATTTGAAGGAGGCTGCCAAGGGCTAATCTCATATTTGGAGTTAGAATTGCACTTTGTAAGGAGATGGAAGTGGTTTCCTCTTTCACTCTACGCTCAGGTTATTTCCGATCCTAGAGGAGAAGGTGGGCATTGTCCTGCAAAACTGCCTTTAGCCAATGCCAATCCAGCCCTTCTTTTTGCAAAGAAGTCTTGTTTTAGCCTTTGATTCCTTCTGTGTTGTGGGAAATGTAATCTCTGGGTAGGGCAGAGTTGAATATTTTTGCATCCAGCAGCAACCTTCACTCACCTGCTGTCCCAGTTGCTGCTGGTGTGTGTGGAACCAGGATCTGAAGGCAATAATCACATGAAAAGATAGAGCATGGGGGCAGGGCATCTAAATCCATGTGTGAGAACCCTAGAAACCAGGAATAACACGTGGGATTAGCATGAGTAATGGAACAGAAGGGAGCCAAGGTGATGAGCAAGGTGTTTTGTGATGGAAAAGACTTGACTGGGTGGTGTGTTCCTGCCTCTGGTTTGCAGGTCATTTCTGACTACTTTGTACAAGAATGCAGAGGGCCCTAGAAATCTCACATTACATGCTCCAGTGTGGGAGTTGCCAGCAGGTCTTAGCTGGGTGGAAAACTGCCAAAGGGTGGGATTTGGGGTGGCAGATTTTTACTTATGCTTTCTGTTCTTGTATTACTACCCATAGTTCCCTTTCTTCTGGAGTCTGGCTTCTGCCAGTGTCCCCTCTCAACCCCAGCCCCAACACCTCTCCCTTGTTAAACTTTCTGTGGCAGTTCCTAGAGCCTTTTCCCAAAATCAGGAAGGCAACGGATTGAACAGATCAGTGGGAGACCAGACTGGAATCCCATCTGCTGATTGGTCGTGTAACCTGGGGCAAAACACTTAATTTCTCTATGCCTCTGTTTTCTCATCTGTAAGTGGAGACAATACCCCCTCATTGACTGGCTGTGAGGATTAAGACAGAAGATACAAAGTACAGAGCCTGGTGACAGGCAAATAATAATTGCTCACTAGGTGGTAGTAGCTGTTGGCTTTTCCTGTGGAATTCATCCTTTAAAAAAAAAAAAAAAAGATTTCCAGGTATAGGTATGTTTTTTGGGTGGTGAAATTAGTATTGTGGGAAATTGTGATATGTGATGAGAGAGGAATAGATTGAATATTCAAGATGATTGGATGAAGTCAAAGAGGGCTAACAATACTTCACCAGCATCAAAACAGCATCTGTTTTGTGTATCTTGGTATGGAAAAGAATGTAGCGAGCGCAAAGTTATGCCAGGAAGGACCCGTCTAGCCCTCCTGCAGCAGGTGTCCTGCTGCTTCGTCCATCCAGCAAGCATATGCCTGCCCTGCTAGTTACCAGTCACACGTAGTTGCTGGGGCTCCAGCAAAGACTGAAGTACAGTCCCTGTGTCAGGTATTTGCCACCTGGCAGCCAAGTCAAACACATCACTTGGCAGTTTCACTGTGGGCTATGTGACAATAAGGGTTGTGCTGGAGGGACAGGAAGGGGAGGGGTTACTGAGGTCACAGAGCCAGCACCATCTGACCAAAAAACTTGCTGGGTGGCATTTGACACCTTGCACCCATTTGCAGATTGCCAACGTATATTTTGCTTTAATGAGCAGAAACTTAGGAGACGCTGGGAAAACATTCGACCGGGCAAGCAGAGGCACATAGTAGAGCGAGATGCAGCTGCTTAGGTTGGTCTCCTAGTGTGGAGGGAGGGAATCTATGTTTATTGGGTACCTTCCTTCATGGCAGGAACCTTCTATACTTCCTTCTGCTTTGTCCTCACAGCAGCCTGGGGAGGTGGCAGCGGGAATCCTTGTTTTATAAATAATTAACAGGCCAGAGCCTCAGTCTCCTGCACATGCCCAAGGTCAGACGATGTAACCCCAGAAGATCATCCTGAACTTAAGAACTAGACAGCATTGGGAAGCCCTTCCCCTCCGCCTACCCTGTCTCTCATCTCTGCTGCCTCGCTCCGCCTGACGCCCAGGCAGCAGGTGGGGGCTTGTCCTATGTCTGTTGTGTGGTGTAAGAGGGAAAAAAAAATATGTCCTTGGGGGAAAGGAAAGTCACGAGTTTGCCTTGCTGGCATGCACCAGGACTGGAAGCCAGGAGGAAGCCTGTGAGCCCCTCTGGGGACCGATGACCTTTCTGGTCACCTCTCTCCCTTTGATTGTGATCCTTGCTCTTTCTTTTTTTTTTTTTTTTTTTTTTTTTTTTTGAGTTGGAGTGTCACTCTGTCGCCCAGACTGGAGTGCAGTGGCCGCTGCTGGCCACCGCAGCCTCGACCTGCTGGGCTCCGGCGATCCTTCCGCCTCAGCCTTCCAAGTAGCTGGAATTACAGACGCGCGCTATCACGCCCGGCTAATTTTTTGATTTATTGTAGAGATGAGGTCTCGCCAAGTTGCCCAGGTGGGTCTCGAACCCGCGGGCTCAGGCAATCTACTCCCCTCAGCCTCCCAAAGGTGCAGGATTATAGGCTGAGCCACCGAGCCCGGCTTGATCCTTGCTCTGTCAGTGTTGGATATCTGATTTTCACTTTGATTAGCTTCTTAGTTATTTGAAGAAGGAAGATCCTGCAGCTGGTCAGGACATTTGACTTAGTTTGTTTCAGGGCTGTTTTTAAACCCAAGGAACTGGATAACCAGTGGAGTAAAGTCTGATGAACAAAGGTCCATGAGGGATCATAGGGAGAATCAAATGGGATTTTTAGAATGAGAGCAGCATCTGGGTCGTCCTCTTCTTTTTGTAAGTGAGGGACCACGTCCTCTCTCAGGGTTTCAGGGCATCAGGATGAGAACCAGCTCTGGATTCATGTTGTAGGCTGTCTGCCACCACAGGGCAAGTGTGGCTCCTGCCTGGGTAATGAAGCTTTTTAAAAAACCTTCAACTATCGTAATACTATAAGAAAGGGATTGGCAATAGTGGGAAACTGACAGAGGAAGGGGTGTGGGATTGGTAGTTGAGGGAAACTGCCAGGGGAGGGAGGGACACACCTCATCAATAAGGGTACCTGCACAATGAATATTTGTATGCCTAACCCTGAATTGTACCCCACAATTTTAAAATAAAAAAATTTAAAAGTTAAAAACAAATAAATAAAAATTTAAAAAACCTTTAACAAAAATAATTTCATTCCTTCCTCAGCCAGATTACTATTTATAAATTATCTAGAAAGTGCAGGCTTTCTTCAGATGCTGCCTTCTTAGCTAAGTTTGTTATCCTTATCCTTATTAGAAGGTTTCAGAAAATGAGAACATTGAAAATCAGAACTTCAGCCAGTCACATTCTAACTCCTCATGAAGAAATAGAGAACCTGAGAGAGGAGTAACTTTGCCCAATGTCGCGTGGCTCGTTGGGGATCAGGCACAACCAAGATCCAGGACGCTGGACAGGGCACCCCTTCTCAGAGTCTGTGGGGGGCTGGGGTAGATTTGAAGGGTGAGAATTACATTCTGGGCAAGATATTAGACTGTTGTTTAGAATCACAGTCCTTGAAGTAAAGTTTTCAGTGGCTTTTTGGGAATTTGAGTCTTCTCCAGGATACTGTAGTTTTGTGGTGAGGAGGACTCCCAGGTCATATTTGTAGCTTGGAAAACAGTTGTTGTCATCTTGTTTGTCAGTGTGACTTGGGGAGGTCACAGAACTAATTGTTGATGTTTTATTTCCTTTCCTGGCCCTGTAGTTGTATCAACATGCCCTCTTTCCTGTTGCTGGAAGCCATCTGTATTTGCCTGTTTTCCAGAGGTAAGGTGTTTTTTGGTTGGGGTGGGAGGAAGTACTGAGGGTTTTGTTGGCTTCAAGTTCCATTAATTTTGACTTCTAAAAGTCTCTACATCTCTCCACTCCACAACTACGTCCCTATTCTAAGCCATGCCATCATGTTCTTGGTCTCCCTAGGTCCTCCTGGTCTTCCTCCAAACCATTCGCCACACGGCAGCTGTTTCAAAATACAAATCCAATTGTGTCTGGACCCCTCTCCACCCATACCTAAAACTTTTAAGTGATTTCTGTTGTCCAAAGAGGCCCTATCTCATCCTATCCTTGGCCACTTCCAGTCTCCTCTAGTGGCCCCTCCCTTCCCCCTTAGCACTCCACGCTCCTTCCTGTCCTGCCCAGCATCCTTACTCCCTCTCACCAAAGAGGCTCTAAATTATGATGGCCCCTCTGCTTGGATCACCCCCTTGCCCTAATACTGCTACCCTGGTAAACTCCTACCCGGCCTTCTGTACCCAGCACAGTTCCCCTGGGACCCCCAGATCAGGTCAGATCCTCCTATTCACACCTCTGCCCTGCAGCAGTGAACACAGATAGAAATTTACTTTCGTATGAATTTTTAAAAATTACATCTTTTCCACTGAATATAAGCCCCACGAGGAGGAAGACTCTGCACGTTCTGTATTCACCACCCCTGGCTGCTGTTGCCACCTGCCTATTCCTCAAGCTTGGGGAAATCAGAGAGACTGGACACTCTCGTGCTGACACACAGTTTGTGCTTCAGAAGTAGATGAGTGGATGAGTAATAGGGCAGATAAACTTGCTTTTTACTTCTACTTTGTCTCTCCCAAGTTCTAATGTCTTTGAAATATGAGAAGATAGGAAGGAACCGGTGTATCTGTGGATCCTTGTCTTACAAGTAAGAACATGTGGACTGGGTGGCCGAGCTGGCTGAGACTAGCTGGGGATCCTCTTCTGGAAAGCCGGGGATTCTCTGGGATCCTTCTGGGTCTGTGTTTCTATGTTTCACTGTCCGCTGAGTTGGTTACTGTCACCACCTGTCTGTTCTCCAAACCTGGGGGAGACCAGAAAGGCTGGAAGTTGGGGCCTGATGGTTCCAGTCTGGGTGTCCAGCCCACCTCTTTCCCTGCCCCAAGCCCGGTGAGAAGGGCAATGTAACACAGCAGCTTCACCATTAAGGGTTGGGGCGAGGGGAGATGTCGTTTGGGGATAGGACCTGAATGAGGCCTCTGGAGTTCCAGGCACTGTCCAGGTTCTGTTCCAGCTTGTCGTGGATCTGCAGAAATGTGGCCCTGTCCAGCCTCCAGATCATGGTCACATGTGCTTGATCTGACCATCCCTGGGTTGTACAGATGAGAGAGGAAAGGCCCGGAGAGACTGTGTGGACATGGTCACATAGCTGGGTAGCAGAGCTGGGACTAATACCTTGGTCTCCCAACATTTAGGCTGGCCTCACTACTCCGGGCTTCTCTGGGGAGACAAGAACCTGTGGGATACCTCTCTCTGAACTTTGGCTCTTTTGTCTATAAAGTCCAAGAGTTTGACTGCGTTAGTGATTCTCAACCCTGCCCGCTGTTAGTGTCACCTTCCAGCAGGAGGTTAAAGTTCTGGAGCCCAGGCAGATGGTCTTTAGAGGGGTCTATGGACTTGGTTGGAAGAAGCAGCTGCATTGGCACATTAAGCAGCTCCCTGTTCAGGGGGAACCCTTGAGGTAATTTCCTTAGGGAGCACTGGGGGTGTCACCTAACACCTGCCATAACAGCTGAGCAAATGGCACAGTTAGCTGAGTGACATCTTCAGTGACTGGTCTCTGCTCACAGAGGCTGCCCTGGCCTCCCATCCTGGAAGACAGCTATCTTGTCACCAGTGGGAGAATTTGCTGGTAAAACATTTACAAAGAAACAGAGGCTTGGTGCAGTGGCTCATGCCTGTAATCCCAGCACTACAGGAAGCCAAGGTGGGAGGACTGCTTGAACCCAGGAATTCAAGATCAGCCTGGGCAACATAGTGAGACCTCGTCTCTACAAAAAAACTAAAAAAATTACTCAGGTGTGGTGGCACATGACTACTCCCAGCTACTTGGGAGACTGAGGTGGAAGAATCACCTGAACCTAGGAGTTAGAGGCTGTAGTGAGACATGATTGTGCTACTGCCCTCCAGTCAGGGTGACAGAGTGAGACCCCAACTCAAAAAATATTTTTTTTAAAGAAAAAAACAGCATTTTTCTGTTCTTTGCAGGGTCTTGGGGATTTCTCGGCTCCTGGACACTTTGCCAGGAGAATATTTCATAGGTTCATGGACTAATTCCAGGAAACCTTAGTTCCTGCCTACTGTGTACAGAGGGGCTCTGTGGAGGACTGGGTGGAAATCTTCTTGCTCTCAGGGAGCTTCCAGGGAGCAGGGAGAAGGGCCCATGAGAACAGCATTGCATTATGGATGGGCTGCAGTAGCCCAAGAGTTGGCATGATCTTGGTAATCTCTTTATTCGGTGGTGCAGATAACCTCTTTTTTTTTTTTTGAAGTGCTGCCCCTGACTCTGCTGCTGTTGTTTATGAGTTGTTTATAAATGGAAGATTCTTTTAAAATTTCAGTCTACTATCTTTGTTTGTGGTCCAAGTCTTGTTCCTGCTTCTAGTGGCCAAACACCTGTGGCAGTGGCAAACTGTGAAAGACCTCATGCGAGATATTTGTCGGACAGCTTTTGGCTGTGGAGCTGACTGCTGGCCCAGCGTATTGACTTAGAATGTCCATGGGTAGAGGAGATTGAGGGGAGGGAGTGTCCGGTGAACGGGAACTGGCTGCTCAAACAGATGGTGGGGAAAGAGCTGGGGACCAGTAAGTGGAGAGGAGTCAGGGAGGAAAGAGCTGGGACCAGCCCAGGGGGTACTGAGTTAACAGGTAGACCAGTAACCTCAGTCGTTGGTGTCGCTCTCCAGAACTGACATTATCATTTGGTTTCTCCTTTGCAATCGCTTTCCTGACAGTTGCAGACCCTATGATCCAACTGTCCTGTGTTATGAAATTCCTCCTCTGCTCCCAGTTCCCTCCCCTTCACCTTTTTCCCTATTAGCCCCCATGCTCATGTTCCTGGCCTGGCTTACTCCTGAGTTCTGCCCACCCTAGCTTTGTTTCCTCTGCGCTTAGTCTCTGGACATCAACATTTACAAAGCATCTGCATGTACACGTCTTTTGGCACTAGATGTCTACCATGTACAGTTGCATAGGGGTGTTGGCTTTTTCAAATTGTCCCTCCAGGTGACCCATTATTGTCTTCAGGTCTTTCACCATGGTGGTTCTCTGTTCAGCAATCCTGGGCTTCCTTGGAGTGTTACCCTTTCCCTCAAGGTTTAGTTTTAGAATTGTTACTGATTGTTCATATACCAGTATAACAATTGTACTGGGTATCAAGAAGAATGAAAAATTTATCTACAAACTTCCTACTCCCAATTTTTTTAAGCCTTTGTTCATATTAATTGCATTGAAGAAAAACATACCACCACTTACTCATATACTTCCTCTTTGGATATTTGTTATCTCTAGCTTTCCTTTAGCACAAATAACATTGAAGGGGAGACCTTAATGCATACTTTCTCTTCTCTAAAATTGTTTTCTCTTCAGATCAATTTCCAGACATGATGCTATAGGGCTAAAGGGTGTAAGCATTTTTATGCCTCTTTTTTTTTTTTTTTTTTTTTTTTGAGTCACATTCTCACTCTGACTCCTGAGTTGTGGTTTTTCGCCCAGGCTGGAGTGCAGTGGCACAATCACAGCTCACCATAGCCTCTACCTCTCGGACTCAGGCAATCCTTCTGCCTCAACCTCCCGAGTAGCTGGGACTACAGGAGTACTTCACCATGCCCAGCTAATTTTTTGACATTTTTGTAGAGACAAGGTCTCGCTGTGTTGCCTGCACTGGTCTTGAACTCCTGGGCTCAAGCAATTCTCCTGCCTCGGCCTCCCAAAGTACTGGTATTATAGATGTGAGCCACCAGGTCCAGTCTCCATTTTTATGATTTTCTCTTTTTTTTTTTGCGTTGGAGTCAGTCTCGCTCAGGCTGGAGTGCAGTGGCACACTAACAGCCTCAGCCTGTTGGGCTCAGGTGATCCTTCCACCTCAGCCTTCCAAGTAGCTGGAACTGTATACAGGCATGCATCACCACGCTCAGCTACATTTCATTTGTCCAAATTGTTTTCCAGAAAGGTTGCATTAACTTTTAGTATCACCACCAGAAAAATGTTTTCCTGATATAATCTTGCCCATGTCACATTTTTTTTTAATTTAGAAAAAAATTTTTTAGACAGGGTCTCTCTTTGTTGCCTAGTCTGGAGTGCAGTGGTGCAATCATAGCTCACTTTAACCTTGAACTCCTGGGCTTAAGCAATCCTCCTTCTCAACCTCCTGAGTATCTGGGATTATAGGAACATACCACCAAACCCAGCTAATTTTTACTTTTTTTTTTAGACACAGGTTCTTACTATATTGCCCAGGGTAGTCTTAAACTCCTGGCCTCAAGGTGATTCCGGCACTTTGGTCTTCCAAAGTACTGCAATTACAGGTGTGAGCCTCCATGCCCGGCCCAATTACATTTAGATTTAGAATTTGACCTTTTAAATCTCACATTTAAAACAGTATCTTAGTGTTTGAGTTAAAGCACTTTGTCACCTATTTAAACATTTTTCCCTCCGCTTTCCTATGAATCTATTTCTCCTATGAATTGACTGTTTACATTTAAGGTTACTTTTGATAGCAATGAGAGGTTTTGCCTGAGGGGCCTGGTGGGGAGTGGGAGGGCTTCCAAGGATATACCTAGAGATAGTGCCGAAACCATACCCAAAGGGGACCCAATTGTTATACCTAACCAAGGATGAACAACTTCAGAATCACAGGCTGTCTATTGCCCCTTTGAGGTGGGAGGATCACTTGAGCCCAGAAGTTCAAGGTTAGAGTGCGCTATGGTTACACCATTGCGCTCCAGCCTGGGCAACAGAGAGAGACTAAGATTAAATTAGGAAAACTTCTTTCCAGTGGTGGTATTATAAGTTAATGCAACCTTTCTGGAAAACAGTTTGGCCAAATGAATTAAGAGCTGTAATTTTTTTATCTTTATCTTCAAAATGCCCAAATTTAAATACAAAGATACCTCATAGAAGTGAAGTAATTAGGAGGTTTCTTTATGTTATCTGTGAGGTAATTTTTGAGATACAGATCTCACTGAACTCCACATTTCTGCTTTCTCTCCTGTTACCTGTTTGTTCTGGTCACATAATGTGGAGAGAAGCATATAATGTGCTTCTGGTGTTTTCTCTCCTAGTGCCCCCATCCCTTCCTCTCCAGGAAGTCCATGTAAGCAGGGAGATCATGGGGAAGATTTCAGCTGCCAGCAAAAGTAAGCCCCAATTTTTCTTAATTCTCCAAATGCCCACTCAGACTTCTGTGTGCCACACTCAAGGGAAACCATGTTCCTCCAGAGAGTTTCTGCCCCACTTCCCTCTTCCTTTCATGCTGTGGCCAGTTATTTTCCTCCAAATGAGCCTGACCAAGTCACTCTTATTGGTAAAAACAAAAGAAACAAAAAACCCTCAGTAAATCTTTGTTGATGAATTGTTTGGCCTGTGCCTCAAGGTCTTCTGTTACTTGACCACCATCCACCCAGCTACTCCTGTCTCCCACCATATTCCTTCTTCTTACACACTAATCAGTATCCCTCCACATGGCTGTTAATACTGCTACTTGAACTCTTGGGTAGCAGTATTAGGCCTCATGTATTAGGGTGTGTGACTATGTCCCACACTGGATTGTAGCCCTCCAAAGCCTGGGGCCAAGGCTTTTCAGTGTCCCTATCTGACCCAGGAGGCCCTGCTCATAGAGCTTAATCAGTATTGTTGAACTAGATTCTTCCATTCTTACTAAGTCTTTCATGAACAGCATGCCCATGCTTCCATGCTTCAGAGGAGGACTGCCTCTGGCCCAGACATTCTAAAGTTTATCATTCCCCTGCCCTGCTAAGAGTGGCAGCAGCCTGACCAAGTCATTTCTGCTTTCACTCTGCTTTGGGAGTGAGACCCGCTTGCTACTGGTTGTCACTTACCTGTCTTACTCTCTAGTGATGTGGTGTTCGGCTGCAATGGACATCCTGTTTCTGTTAGATGGGTCTCACAGCATTGGGAAAGGAAGCTTTGAAAGGTCCAAGCACTTTGCCATCACAGTCTGTGACGCTCTGGACATCAGCCCCAAGAGGGTGAGTATAAGTCTTGTCAGTTATTGTGTTAGGATGTCTTTGGTTGCAAATGGCAGAAACTCAATTTGAAGTAGAGGAGGGTGTTATTACTGGCTTATGGAACTGAGAAGACCAAGGGAGTGAATCCTGGTTTCAGGCACAGTGGGATCTAAGGGCTCAGCTGAAGCTATCAGACATCCAACCCTCTCTTGTTTTCCTTCTCTCAATTTTGGATTCTTGGTTGACATCCTTCTCAGGCAGGTTTTTCTTACATAGTAAAGTTGCCCTATATTGTCCTTCAAGATTGTGACCCCAGGAAAAATTAAGGAGCCCTTTTTTCCCTTATAGAGCTAACAAAAGTCCCAGGGAGGACTCTGATTGGACAGGCCTGGGTCACATGATAATCACTTGCCCAATCATAGTAGTCAAAAGGAAGAGAGTCTGGCCAGACCTGAGTCATGTGCTCATCCACAGTCTTTGGGCTGGAGAGTAGATTTGGATTTCCTCTTGAAAGAGAAGTTATCTTTGCAGAAAAATGGAAGAGGGAAAACATGCTGAACAGACTGACACTATTACTATCTCAACAGACTAGAGATAATATGACGCACAGCTTCTCCCCTGTCTCATGCTTGAAAGGAACTATTCCTTCCTGAGTGGATCCAGCCACTATCGTCATTTCTTGGTTTTCAAATAGTAGGTCTTAAATATCAGCAGAACATGGTAGCTGTGGCTTTTGTTTTTATAAGGGGCATATCTTTTTTAACAATCCAATAGAAAACCAGGCAGTGAACACAGACAATTTCTGGAAAACGAAATACAGATGGCCTTTAGGTATCTGAGAAGATGCTCAACCTCACTCAATATAATAGAAAATCTCTGGCTAATGTACCGTTTTTCACTTACTGGATTAGCAAACATCAAAGTTTAGTGACATGCTCCATTGGCAAATCTTTAAGAAACTGATATTCCCATGCATGTAAAATGGTGCAACTTCTATGTGGGATCTAACAGTATTCATCAAAATTACAAAGGCTGGCACTCTTTTTGACCTAGCAATTCTACTTCTAGGAATTTATCTTACAGACAATCCCAGCCATGAAAAATAATAGCTGTACAGAGTTATTTGTCGCAGTATTATTTAATTGTAAAGTATTTTGGGCAATCTAAATGTACATTGAGAGGCGACAGATTATGTTATTATTTTGCATTATGTTGCATTCATATTATAAAGCACTGACACCCATAGAAAATGAATAAAGGAAGCTCTCTAATATGAAATGACCCCAGAATAAATTGGGCATAAAAATAAGGTGTAGATGGTATGTATAATGTATTGCTTTTTATGTAAAAAATAAAGGGGAGGCAAACCATGGTGGCTCATGACCGTAATCCTAGCACATTGGGAGGCCAAGGCGGGCGGATCACTTGAAGTCAGAAGTTTAAGGCAGCCTGGGCCACATAGCAGACCCCATTTCTACCAAAAAAATTTTAAAGTTAAATGAAATAAAAGCAAATGAATTAGAATCTGTATTTGTATTTGTTTGCATATGCATAAACTCTGGAGTACTTTATAAGAGGCTAAGAGCCGTGGTTTCCCACTGAGGGAGAGGGGAGGAAGTGAGCAGATAAGGTATGAGTCCAGAGGGAGACTCATCAGCACAGACTTTTTAATATTTTCTGCGTTTTGAATAATGTGAATCTACTCAAACATCAAGTTAAAAATTAAGAAGGACATTTTGGTCTGGAGAAGCCATAATCACTTGAATTAGAGACACACAGGTTGAGGAAGGAAGTGACTTTCCAAGGTAACACTCCTAGGTTAATCCTAGTAAAACATCTAGGATTTAGGAGCAAAAGGACTTCTATTGAAGGCCAGAATTCTTCCAGAATGTTATTTTGGGAGTTGGAGCACATTACCCTGGACCTCAGACAGTTTTGCACAGTCTTCTGAAGAAACCATAGCAGACGTCATTCATTTGAGGCACTAACAGCCCAGAAGTTCTTACCATGATGCCAAACCAGCATAGACCCTAAAAGGGCCAGGACTGAGTATTGCTGAGTCCCCACACTTCTCCACACAGGACTCTGCTTTTTAAAGGATTCCCTGTGAAGTTTTATCAGTTACTCGAGGAGGAATCAGCATGCAGATCAAATGCTGTTGAGGTTGTGTGTTCTGAAATGAGTGGCCTGGAGACCCCTAGGATGGCAGAAATGGTCTCAGAGAGGCTGACTGCCTTGGGTCACATAGCAATCTTGGGAGAGAGCTAAGTGTGAAATAACTGGGGCTCTTGATTCTCGGCCCAGGACTTGCTTCATTAGGTTAGGTCATTGTCTTTCCCGGTCCTCTGGGCCGGGATGAGGTGATGACCCTCAGAATTCACAATCCGTCATCACACTGCAAATGGTCAGCCAGCAGTGTGGCAGTAAGGGGGGATGGGAGGGAGGTAAGGAAAGCATGACAAGAAACTTCCTGGCTGGGGTTGTTGGGAGCAGATCCCCAGAGTTCAGGAAATTTAACTTCAGAATTGCTGGACAACATGGTCTGATGATCAGTTAGAAACTGCAAAGCAAATAGTGTCCCCAAGTGGGATCCAGGACAGTGAGAGGTTTAGAAACTTCTGTATATGAGGGAACCAGATGATTATTTTCATGTGAAAAAAGGTGCACGGTGGCTTTATTTTATTAAGAAGGTAGAATCTGAGTGTTCAAAGAGTTAGATTTGGACTTTCCCTGAGAAAAGTTTCCTCACAGCAAGACCTGGGGAACAAGACCTGGGGAATGAAGGAATTGAGTACTCCTTGGCATGCTGTGGAAGGATTTTTGCATGGGGGAGATTTAAAATGGTTCAGTCCAATTTGTGGCTTCAAGTTTTATGTTTTTACTGCTGCATTTTGGTGTCTTCTTTTTTTTTATTGTCTCCATGTACAAGGGATTTGATTTCTGCCATGTTTTACTTTCTGTGACTTTGGTTTTCAGGAGGAAATTTTGAGTAGCTATAAATTAAGGATATAGATACTCTGTTGTTGAGGTGAATTTAAGGTGATTGAAGTCCTCTTCTGAATACTTAGAAGCTGAGAAATTCACTTCCTGGCTCTAATATAAGGATTGCAGTAGAGTGATTACAGTGTGGTGAGAAATCTGGGCGGGTCTGCTTTTGAGTATACAGTAAACTGAAGATAAAAGGCAACTATTTTGCTCCCAAGCCACCAATTAAGTAAAATACCTTAACTACTGACTGAAGCTGGGTTTTTTTTTCCCTCTTGTTTTGAAGTTGTAACCTTCCTGTTCAACCCAAGTAAATACACCCAACTCTTGATCTCAGGGGAATTTTTTTTAAATAAGTAATTCATTCACATGGTTCAATAAAAGGCATACAGTAAAAAAGTCTTCCTGTTTCCCACACATTTTCCATTTGCCCAGTCTCCTGACCTGTTTTCTTGAGTATCCTTCCAGAATCATCTCATGCAAATACAAACAATGTGAATATATATTCTTTTTTTCCCCCACTTATTACACAAAGGGTAGTATACTAGACATGTTCTATCTCTTACCTATTTCCTCTTCACATTATCTTGGAAATTATCTTTCCATAGCTGTATACAGGTATGTGTCCTATTTTATAGCCATTTGATATTCTGTTATATGGATTTACCAAGATCTCATTAACCAGCCCCATACTGATGAATATTTGCTATTTATGATTATACTGTGAACTTGTATGTCATTTCACATATGTGGAAGTATATCTGTAAGAGTAGCCCTATGCATTTTTAATTTTTTATAAATAATGACAAATTGCTCTCCGTGGATGCTATACCAATTTATATTCCTACCAGCAATGTTGGGAATGCTTGCTTCCCCCTGCAAACATTGCATCTGGGTTTTTGCTAAATTGAGATGGGAAAATGGTATCTCATTGTGGTGAAGTCAAGCGTCTTTTCATTAATGAGCTGTTTGTATCCATTTTCTTTGCCTGTTTTCTGTTGGATTGTTGGTTTTTTATATATTGAGAAAAGTAACCCTTTGTCTACAATATGAATTGCAAATAATTTTTCCATTTTGTCTTCATTTTTTGATTGTAAGGTATATTTTACCCAGCAAAAGTTGTTTTTTTTTTTCCATGTAGTTAGATTTAGCAGTATTTCCTTTACAACTTCTGGATTTTAAGTCATTGTAAGATCGTTTGCACTTTGAAATTTTAAAAATTCTTCCAAGAGTTCTCCAGAATTTTCATGTTTAGATTTTTCACACTTAAACCTTGAATCTGCTGGCAATTTATCCTTTATTTTTTGCAGATGGCTAGCCAATTGTCACAGCATCATTTATTGACTAGATCATCTTTTCCCTTTTGATTTGAGATGCTCCTTTTTTTTTTTTTTTTTTTTTTTAAGTTGGAGTCTCACTCTTTTGTCCAGGCTGGAGTACAGTGGCATGCTCACGGCCACTGCAGCCTCAACCTGCTGGGCTCAGGAGATCCTTCCGCCTCAGCCTTCCAAGTACCTGGAACTACTGGCATGCACCACCACACCTGGCTAATTTTTTGATTTATTGTAGAGATGAGGTCTCACCAAGTTGCCCAGGCTGGTCTCAAACCCATGGGCTCAGGCAATTCTCTCACCTCATCCTCCCAAAGTGCTGAGATTATAGGCGTGAGCCACTGTGCCCACCTGAGATGCTCCTTTTTGTCACACACTAACTTCAAGGGAAATCCTGGAAGGGGTCCTTCCCATAAACTTCTTCCTGAATTTGCCTACTGCTCTATCTTCCAATGTGAATCTGCCCCAAGACTGACATTCCTTCCTACGAAAGGTGCCCAACAGCTCCTCCTTAGAACCTTCTGCCTGTGGAAGGGAAGCCCACTTAGATGATCGGAAGCAGATGCAGCTGGCCTGGTGTGGCAGAGCGCTTCCATCATCTAGGTCCAGGCCTGTTGAGGGATGGGCAGTGGGGGAATTTGAGTGGGGGGCAAAAGGCAGTGGCATGGCCTAAACATGAATCACTTGACCCATTCAAAATTTTGGCCAGAACTGGGGTGAATTATGAGAATAGTAACAGAGAATGTAGGTTTTCTAGCAATTTTGGAGAAGCAAAGGTTAAGTGTAGGGCTCGGGCCCTCAAGAGGAAATCTGACTATTTATAGCCTTCTCTGCTGAAGATAAGCTAGTGACTGAAGGGCCCAGAGAATGACTTTACTCAGTTTCCCTTCTCCAGTTTTACAAGGCTTTGGCTTTTCTCCTGTAACCTCTTTAACTAGGATATAAAATCTGTTTGAATTCACCAATGTTTTCACTCCCTCAATACAGAAGAACTTCAGCTCTAGTATAGCTCATCTTGGTTTTGGGTCCTGGTTGTTCCCCAGTCTGACTCTGGTCTAGAGACCTGGCCTTTCTCTAGTTTTTCAGGATCAGGTCTGGAGGAACTGGCCACCCAGTGGAGGAGGGAGGGTGGTGACTGTGGTAAGTGATGAGCTACTAGTGTTGATCGCTGTGGTTAGCTTCTGAAGCTCCAGTGGCTGGAGCAGTGAGCATTTTTCTGCAGATCTGTGCTGGCTGCCAAGAAGGCAGATGGTGGAAGTGAACCTTAGAGAAGGCCCTAGGTACAAAGTCCAGTGACATTCTCATTCTTACTAGCCCTCCATCAAGTGAGTCCTTGCCTTGGGCCAGATCTGCATCCCTTCCACACTAGAGTTTCTCCAACAGTAGTGTGGATTTTAGTAGTGCCTCTGTGGATTAAATGAGATAATGTGAGATAATGCATGAGATTACTCCAAATCACACCTGTGCTCATGAGGCAGTTAGTAAATGTGAGTAGAGACCCTGCCCTGAAGATGATCAGGCTCACCTGGGAAAGTTGCAGAGTGTCCAGCTGCCTTTAGGGGAAGGCGGGTGGAGAAGATTGAACTGGGTGTTGGCAGGGGAGAACGCCTGTGGATTTGCCTGTTTCCTTTCAGATTCTTCACTGGTCTTTGGAACCCTCTTATAGAGACACCAGAGAAAGTCTAGCACTGGTATTTGTTGAGTGGGCAGAAGGCAGGCTCATTAACTTTTCTTGTCCCTTCTTTCCTCTTAGGAATGTTTATGACTTGACCCCAATCTCGGGCCCCTGGGCCCCCTGTCTCCTACTGCAGGTCAGAGTGGGAGCATTCCAGTTCAGCTCCACTCCTCATCTGGAATTCCCCTTGGATTCATTTTCAACCCAACAGGAAGTGAAGGAAAAAATGAAGAGGATGGTTTTCAAGTATGTATGTATGATCAGATACCACCATGGTTGGGATGAAACCAGCTATTTTTAATATCACTCCCTTGAAGGACTTGGCCCTGGTCTTGCCCACATCTTAGCCCACTCTTGGACTGTTTTCAGAGTCCCAACTGTGCACAGCGGGCACCAAGAATTCCTTTCTCAAGGCTGCCACCTCATGATTACATGATAATGTTTCAGGTGGGCATTTAAATGCAAGTTTAAAGAAAGTATTTTCTACTGTTATGTGTAGTTGTCAGTTACCTGGGAGAAAGTGCTGTTGAAGGTCAAGACTGGGGTTTAAGAGCATGGTAGGAAGAACACTGGGTCTTAGTCTCACTTCTGTCCCTGTGACCACTGCAGCTTGGACAGTTCACCATATGTCTGTGAGCCTCGTTTTTGTGGTATAAAAAGAATAAGTGCTCCTCTATTTTTGAGAATGATTTAAAAATTATGAATAGCTATTTATGTGCTCATACATATGCATACCCTATAAACATATGTATGTAGTAAGATCATGGCTTTACTTACATTGCCAATCATATGATGGTGTGTGCTCATGTTTGTATTTTGTGTATAAGTATTTTATGTATTTATTATATATACATATAGTCAATATGTATATGATACACATAGATACACACATACATACACACACATACACACAAACACACAGATATATATATATAAAATGTTCTTCACAAGTCCTCACAGAAGAATGACTTTGATTTGCTTCTTGACACTCTGATCTCTTGTTCCACTCCGGTCTCTGCTGCTCCTTGTGCTGGTTCCGCTGAAGTCCTGCTGAAGTCCTTGGTCCTACCATTTATGGCTTTTCTTCCAGCTGCAAAGACCCTGAGCTCCAAGGTCCCTTTCCCAGTTGCAGGCCTCTACAGGTCCACCGGTGCTCTCAAGAAGCCTGAGGCCTCACACTGGGCACAGCAGGAATTTTGGGAGCCCTATAGGTTCTAAGGAGGCCCTAGGGACCTTCAGTGACTTTATCTTAGACTGTTTATCCCAGCCCTTTTCTCTACCATGGGTGCCCATCAGAATGAAGGGCAAGTCATATGCAAGAAAGAACAAGCTCATTAATATATTTTTACAAAAAAATACCTTAGTGCACATTAGCCTTTTCTTTTTCCCTAGGAGCCTTCTGCCCTTGGGGCCTACAGGGATTGGTTTCTTATAGAGTATAGTCTCAGCCTTGCTCCCATGTCTTGGACCCAAAACATAGAACACCACTTGTCCAAGTGAGGTTTTAGAGCCACCTGGACCAGAATCATCTCGGGAGTATGTTAAAAATGCAGATACCTAGACCTCCCCCTAGATCTACTGAATCATTCTGGTCTGGGCAGTGATACTTAGCAATCTGTACTCTTAAAAGGTCTCTCCCTATCCCACCACCTTCCTGACAACTGTTATCCACACTAAATTTTTAAAAATAGCTTTACTGAAATATGATTTACATACCATAACCTCAACACATTTAATGTGTACAATTCAATGGTTTTGAGTATATTTACACAGTGATGCAACCTTTGCCGTAATCTAATTTTTGAACATTTTTATTATCTCAGAAAGACACCTTGTAAGTAGACATTTCTCCAAGGAAGATATACAAATGGCCAATAAGTACATGAAAGGATGGTCATTATCATTAGCCATTAAGGACAGGTAAATCAGAACCTCAGTGAGATACTATGTCATACCCACTAGGATGACGAAATAAAAGACTGAAAACAACAAATGTTGACAAAGATGTAGAACAGTTAGAACCTTCATACATTGCTTGTAGGATTGTAAGCGGTGCCTGCCACATTGGAAGACAGTTTGGTAATGCCTCAAAATGTTAAGCACAGACCTACTATATGACCCAGCAATTCTACTTTGAGAAACTAAAAACATATTCCTACACAAAAACTTGCTCATGCAGCATTATTTATAACAGCTCCAAAAAGGAAATAATACAAGTGTCTGACTGATAAATGACTAAGCAAAATGTGGTATATCCTTACAACTGAAAACTATTCAGCCATAAAAATGCATGAAGTACTGGTTCTACTACATCATGGATGAGCATGGAAGACATTTGCCAAGTGAAAGAAGCCAGAGATAAAAGGTCACATATTGAATGATTCCACTTTTTATGAAGTGTCTGAAATAGGAAAATCCAAAGAGATAAAAAATAGATTAGTTCTAGCCAGGGGCTGGGGAGAATGAGGAATATCTGCGAATGGGTATGGGGCTTCTTTCTGGGGTGGGGAAAGTGTTTTGGACTTAGATAGTGGTGATGGTTACACAAATCTGTGAAAATACTAAAAATCACTGAATTGTACACTTTAAAAGGATGATGACTTTATGGTATATAAATTATATCAATAAGGTAATCATAAAAAACCCTTAGTACCCATTATATGCATACTGCATATAATGTGCATTTGCAGAAGAAAACTTTTGCGGAAGAAAAAGTAGCCTATGGATAAATTTAGGATTGAAAGCCAAAGACCATTTAAGTGACTTTGACTCAGGTGATCCAGCCCTGCTCTCATCTGAATAGCTAAGCAAATTGCAAAGAATTGGCACATTCGAGATCATCTAGTATCTATGACAATTCCTTATTTTACAGGGGAATATACTGAGGCTGAGAAGGGCAGGGGCCCTGGCCAGGACCAGCGGGTCACACTGCTAATGTAATAGACCCCACCCAGCTAGCCCACCTCTTCCCACCTTCCTCCTCAAATAATTAGTGGAGCTGGCTTTTCAGCTGTGTTCAAAGTCATACGTAAGGACTTGAGAGTATTATTCATGACATACAAAATGCAGAGACACTAAGAATGAGGATACCGGGGGTGGAGAAGGAAGCCTCTTTGTATGTCTGGACAAGGTCAGCCCTTCTGGGGATGTGTATGGTTAGCACTCATGTATCCTGGGACAACTGTAAGAGACAACAAACAAGACAAGGAGTCACTAAGTAAATTCTGACCACAGTTGTGGGGTCACCGAGGACACTAAAACGAAGACACCCTGTTATGAACCAGAACAGAGGAATGTTGGCTGAATGGGAGTGATGACCTCCCTGGGGCAATTTATCCTTTTTCTGCAGTGACATTTTAAATGCTGGACTGATTAGGACGGCTCTACCCAAACCCCTGCTACCACAAAAAGATTTCACGCATGGCACTTATAACCCCACAAGACAGGAGACCATCTGTGAAGCTTTGACTTCCATCCTCATTTAGTCCAAATGGAGAGAATTTAGAATAATCTTGGTGTGACTCTGGCCTCAGACCTTTCTGCCTGTAGCCAAACCCTGAGCTCAGAAGAGACTCTGAGATAGAGACACTCCCTGGAGTAAGTGAAGGGATTTCTTCTCATTTTCAAGAGGTCAGAGGCCCTTAGAAATCTCATCTTACCTCGAACACAAGCCAGCAGTCAGTGTTCCCATGGGAAAGGGCTTATGAGGTACAGATGTAGAGAAGGTGACCGGCATAGTATTGTTGTGCTGAGCCATGTGAAGGGTGGACACTGTCAGGCCTGTGCAGTGGACGGCCTGGGCTCTCATGTCCTTGAAACTTACTTTCTTTAAACTACAAGCTGGTGGCTATGAAGAAGGAGGCCCAGACTCATTTGGAAAATATGAATTGAATCCAATCCTTCCCCTGCAGGTGGAGAACGAAAAGGAAAAACAGTCTAACTCTGAAGGGGTCAAGGGCAGAGCTGTATGAAAAACAAGAATGGAGTTATGGAGAACGAGTGCTTTTTCGTCTCCGTCCCGAGGCTTTGAATCTGTAGGATGAGCAGTAATGATCAGATGGGCTGGGAGGGAGGGGGTGCTTTGGGGAGAGAAGGCAAGGCCTGGCTGAGAACCTCTGGCTCCCTCCCCAGGGGGTAGAAGCGCAGGTTGCTTCAAGGCCACTGGAGTACCCTGGCTTTGCGTGTGAAGAGAGTTTTGTGAGCATTGAGGCAGAGCAGAATAGAACAGAGGTGGGCAAACTTTTCGTAAGCAGCCATATAGTAAATAATTTTAAGATTTTGCATATCATATGATTTCTATGTAGACCAGTAGATCCATGAATGTAGGTGGCTGTTTTTCAATAAAACTTTACAAAAATGAGCAGCTGACTGGATTTGGCTGACCCATGGAGAGGAGAGAGCATTGACTTCAAAATCATCTAACTGGGTTTAAACTCCAGTTCTGATGTCCAGTAGCCAAGTGAGAGGCAGGTGACTTGACTAGCCTTGTAACCCTATGTTAACATTGGGCTTGGAAGCAGAGTGCCCAGGACTCAAGTCCTGCTTCCTCCACTCATGTGCTGCATAACCTTAGCTGGAATCCTTCTCTGAACTCTCCTATCTCAGAGAGCTATGGAGAGAATTATATGAGGATGCTAAGGATCGATAGATAGATAGATAGATAGATAGATAGATAGATAGATAGATAGATAATCTGATAGATAGGCAGGCAGATATAGTCTGAGCACAGTCCCTGGCACATAGTAAGTGCCCAGTAAGTATTAGCAGTTATCATTACTATACTCTGATCAGAGTTTTCATCATCTGTTAAGTAAGGATAATATTAGCCCCTTACCATAGTTGTAAGGCTTACTTTCAGTAAGAGGCGTGTGACACGCCTGGCACTAAGTGGAAGCTGAGTATTAATGTCCTTTAGATAGGGGAGCTATTTGTCCTTCCAGGAGCTTTGGTGGAAGACTCTTTAGACAGAAGAGCTTTGGTGAAGGTAATAGTATTCATGGGAGTCAGATTCCTCTTGGTTGTCTTTGATGTCTAATGTGCAATCCAGTGTGGAATGAGAGGCACTGGGGACATGTGGGCATCATCGATGTTGGTGCACTGTATTCCTCTGTGATGATTCAGCAGCGTCAGCATGCTCCATTCCTCTCTGATGAGCCCATTGTCAACCCCAGCTGGGATCACTAACTCTAGAACACAGCTTGCTTCACTCACTTGTGTCTTTGCTTACACCACTTCCCCTGATTAGAACAGCCTCTTCCTTTCCTAGTCAGCAGGTTCACCAAGATCCCAATTAGATGCTCTTTCCCCTCTGATACCTGTTCTCTGATGACTCCACCCCACAATGGATTATTCGCTCCTCAGAACTCTTGTTGTTTGCTTCCTTGCACTGACACAATAAATATTTGCTGTCTCCAAGTTCTAGTTCTTCAGCTAGACTGGGAGTTCTTTAAGGGGTGGGGTCATGCTATACTTTCTGGTTTTCATTTCATTGTCTTTCATCTAAGAGATCCACAATAAATACTAGCAGGTTAAAATACTTAAGAGCTTTTTTAACTAATGCAAATATTGATATATAGTAGGCTAAGAGTCTTAATTCTAGGAGATGCCAACTCTTGTTGGTATTTATTAATGGAGCTCCACAAAGAGAATTGTCCTTTAAGAGCTTGCTTAAGATGGAACGCAATAAGAGTGAAGAATATTCTAGGCCTAATCCATAAATTATTCCCAAGCACAATCTTAATGTTCTTTCCCTGTCTCTCTGCTGAATGGAGAGTACTTTGAGGACTAAGAGGAAGGTAGAACCACACAAGGAAAGGAGCCTGGATTCCTGAGTCATTCCTTAGAGTAGAGCCAACCAGAAGAGATGCCTGGTCAGGAAGACTCATGTCAGATTTGCATGAGAAATAAACACACACACACACACACACGCACACACACACGCACACACACTGCAATGCCCATGCCTCTTGCAAGTTGGATACTTTTACATTAGACTTCGACCATAGGCTCCTCTGAGGTGGCTGAATTAAAGGCAGACATTGCCCTAATTTATAGTAGAGTACAATCTGAGTATCTCCAGGTGCTGTGGCTCAGGCCTATAATCCTAGCACTCTGGGAGACCAAGGCATGAGAATTGGTTGAGCCCAAGAGTGCGAGATCAGCCTGGGCAACATAGTGAGACTCTATCTCTTGAAAAAAAAAAAAAAAGCCAGGTGTGGTAATTCATTACCCAGGTCGGGTGGCACATGTCTGTAGTCCTAGCTACTCTGAGGGCTGATATGGAAGGTTCACTTGAGCCCAGAAAGTTGAAGCTGCCTTGAGCAGTGACTGCCACTGTGCTCCAGCCTGGATGACAGAGTGAGAACTTGACTCAAAAAAATTAAAAATAAACAAAAATAAATAAAACCTGAGTATAAATGTGCCCCCTCCCCCAGCTGTGGTCTGCAGTTAGTCAGTTTTTCAGAATACTGCTTGGACAGAGTTTTCTCTGTGCAGACAGTTGATAACCACAGCTATCCCATCCACCTCACGTTCTTGCTCATGTTTGCATGGGCTACTGATTACTGACTGCTTTGGCTGCAGCAGGGACTGACTCACAATTCCATAACCCCAAATCCATTTTAGTGAATCATTATTTTCCACCAAGCTGACACTCAAAGCTGTCAGTCCTCTCTCTAAGGAGATTCTTGCATGAGCCTCCTATTTTGAGATTTCGCAGAGATCCTGTCCTGATTCAAAGCTCAGCCGACTGTCCCTATAACTGAGCTGTGAGGATTAGAGAAACTCAATGAGCCTGGGAAAAATAGAGGACTGTTGGCATCCTGATGAGATGGGACTCCAATAACCTACCCTAGTCTGAGGTCATCAGACCACGCAGCCTTCCGGCTCCCAGCCCTGAACTTGGAAACAACCCTGAAAGGCCTGGATCATGGGAAAGACTCGCATTATCAGAGCTCTGTCCTTCACTCTTATGGATCCTGACTTAACACACAGTTTTCCTGAATTCAGTTAACTGCTTTCCCAACCCAAGAAGATGTTGACCCATAACAAGAAGTGGATGATACAGGGATGGAGAGACGGGAGGTGGGTGTTAGACAAATGATGACAGTGTCAGCTCAGAGTCATCACTGAGCAATAGGGGAGAAAATAAAAATACCCAGTATACAAGGAATGACCTTATGACATAATACAACAGAGATGTGCAGGGTGAACTCCAAGTCCACAGAAAAATTTAATTTATATTTGTCATATGTGGTTTTGAAGGTAAAACTGTCACCTCAAGCCTCTGCCATAGGAACGCAGCCTTTTGCTAATAACAGAGAAGCCTTGTTGATTTCAGGCTCTCACCCCAGCTTCACCTTCAGCATCACTCACCTTTCTTTTTTTTCTCCCCCCCCCGCTTCTGGGTGTGCACAGAGGAGGGCGCACAGAGACAGGATTTGCTCTGAAATACCTTCTGCGTGAAGGGTTCCCCGGAGGCAGAAATTCCTCTGTGCCCCAGATCCTCATCATCATCACAGATGGGAAGTCCCAGGGGCATGTGGCACTGCCAGCCAAGCAACTGAAGGAAAGGGGCATCATTGTGTTTGCTGTGGGGGTCCGGTTTCCCAGGTAAGAGCCTCAGTCGTTCAAGGCTGGATCAGCTCTCACGTGGTCAGGCTGGGGGCCACAACATGACTGAGAGAGCCTTCAGAGCCATGGAAAGAGGAGGGAGCTGCAAGATCTGTCCTGGTCTTTCCACAGATCTGACTTTTCCTTGCTTTGTCTTTTGGGCTTTGGTGCACAAGAAGCTTCAATCTTTGGAAGCCTGAAAGTTTGCATTGACTTTGGTTTTTTCTGAATACATTTGTCAGAAATTCAACTCAAGTTTATTGGGGCAAAAATGGAAATTCCTGGAGTCATCTCATTTTGCTGGGTAGAATGGGTGTTCCTCAGGATGGGCAAGAGCCAGGGACTTCAATGCCATCAAGATTCTTCATGTCCATCTGCCTGTTTTCTTCTGTTCTTTCTGCCTGTTACCTCTTCTCTCAGTCGGGCTCTCTCAGGATATTGGCACTGGGGCTGCAGCAGCACCCCACTCATGTCTTCCCACCCTGGGGAGAAAAGACCCATATACCCAGTTTCAAGTTGAATAATCCAACTGAAAGGATTCTAATTGGCCTAAATCAGAGCCCTCTCCTGGGGCCAAGGGAATCTGGGAGTGGGAGTCTGGGACTGGCTCTCCCCCTCCAAGCCTATTTGCCCAAATGCTGAGCAAGTATGTTTTCCTAGAAGAGGAGACACAGGTCCTCAAAGCTCTCAACCCTAAAAATGCACATGACATCTAATCTATGAGCCTCTAGTTGCTGTGGGCAGTAGGTAAATTGATTGTGGTCTGGGTACTGCGCCTGCACACAGAAACCTCTATTAATTTTAGTACATTATTTATTCTCTCAGTTAATAAGTATAGGTTGCCTTCCATCAGGCACTATTCTAGGTTCTTGGGATACAGAGACAACAATGCAAAGTCCCTGCCCTCAGGGAGCTTCCATCCTAGGAAAGGAACTAGATAATAAGCAAGTAAATGAATAAATAAGTTATGTCACTTCAGGTGGAAGTAAAATGCAAAGGAGAAAAAATAGGATACGAGGCAAAAGAATGATGGGGAATCGAAGGTCTGCCAAGGCTTCTCAGAGGAATTGATTTGTGAGCAGAAACTTAAGTGAAGTGAAGAGCAAGCCTTCCAAATATCAGGGAGAAGAGCAGGCAAGACAGGTAGGTGGCTGGCAAGTGCAGAGGTCCGAAGGCACTAAGTAGCCAGCCTGATACGCGATAAGAAGCAGCAGCAAGACAGCCAGGGAGGTTGGAGCCCAGCAGCAAAGGGGAGAATTAGAAGAAATAAGGCAGAAGAGGTGGGTGGGATTTGAGTCACAGAGACTTTGTGGGTCATGGTAGAGACTTTGGAGTTTATTTTGAGTAGGATAGGAAACCTTTGGAGGGTTTTCAGTAGGAAAGTGACTTTTTTTTTCCTTTGGTTCAGGTTCTCACTCAGTCGCCCAGGCTGGAGTGCAGTGGTATGGTCATGGCTTGCCGCAACTTTTACCCCCTGGGCTTAGGCAATTCACCTCAGCCTCCTGAGTAACTGGAACTACAGGCACACACCACCATGCCCAGTTTATTTATTTATTTATTTTTATTTATTTATTTATTTATTTATTTGGAGTCTCACTCTGTCTCCCAGACTGGAGTGCAGTGGCTGCTCCTGGCCACTGCAGCCTTGACTTGCTGGGCTCCTGTGATCCTTCTGCCCCAGCCTTCCAAGTAGGCGAAATTACAGGCACGCGCTACCATGCCCAGCTGATTTTTTGATTTATTGTAGAGATGGGGTCTCGCCAAGTTGTCCAGGCGGGTCTCGAACCTGCGGGCTCAGGCAATCCACTCACCTCAGCCTCCTAAAGCGTGGGATTACAGGCTGAGGCACCGAGCCCGACTACTTTTTAATTTTTTTTTTTTTTGTAGGGATGAGGTCTTGCTATGTTGCCGAGGCTAGTCTTGAATTCCTAGGCTCTAGCAATCCTCCCACCTTGACCTCCCAAAGTGCTAGGATTAAAGGCCTGAGCCACTACACCCTGCAGGTAATGTTTTTAGAAGATCACAATGGCTGCTATGTAGAGAATAGACTGGAGGGGAATGGTTGGACTTAGGGTACATTTTGAAGGCAGAGCAATGGGGTGACTGGTGAGTTGCAGGTGTGAGAGAAAAATTGAGGATGTTGGTCTGAGCCCCAGGGTGAGTGGTGGTGCCATTTCCTGACAAGCGAAAGATGAAGAACAAGGGGCACTGAGTTCTGTTTCAGACAGATGAAGTTTGGGATGTATATTCAAAAGCTCGGGAGAGAAGCCGAGCAGACAATTAGGTGTAGGAATCTAGAAGAGGGGCAGGCACAGAGACTGAAATTTGGGGTGGTTTTAAAATCTACACAAGGTCACCTAGGGAGTGAGTACAGAGAGAGAAGATGACCCGTGACCAGCATGTGCAGGTCAGAAAGAAGAAGACGGAGCATCAGAGACTGAAGAGTGAAGAAGGTAGAGCATTAGAGACTGAAGAGTGCACAGTAAGGTAGGGAAATCCAGAAAATCCAATGATTGTCCTGCAATCATTGATGACCGTCATCATTGCCATCACTGTTGCTGTTATTGTTATTGCCAATAAGCTGGTATTTAACACAGCATGCCTTGTCCTTCATTGGCTCTTTTTGTGTTCTCAGATATAAGCAATATAAACCCCTTGACAAGAGAGGACAGAGGGACTTTGCCTTTCGGCCCTCTGCCACCTCCTCCCACATAGTGCCAGACACAGAGCCTTGAACATAGCTGTTGCCCAAAGATTTTTCAATAAGGGTGGAGCCTACCACACAGTGGAAATCCTGTCTCCTTCCGGTGCTTTCTTCTTCAGCTGGTAGCTGGAACAGTGCCTCTCAAATTATCAGGACTGGTTTTTTTGTTTGTTTGTTTCCTAATTCACCATGGACTGATACTTTTGAAAAATATAGTGAACATACATTAATAGAAACATGAAATAAAAAACAGTATACGCGCAAATGTTTATTATTCGATGTAGCAGACATACAACGACGCTGTCTCATCGCTGAACAGTCAGTTTCTTAATGTTTCCTCAGTGTCAGTGCTTGTCCCGCTCTGGACCAGAGTTAAGCAGTTGGGGACCTGCATTATCCACAAATCAAACTCTGTGTAGCCCTGGCACAGAGAGATCAAGAACATTAATCATGAGGGGGGATGGCCTGAGCTGCCAACACAAGTCCCCTGAGGACCCTGTTGTACTCCCAGGCTTACTTGACCTTGCCTCCTCCCCACTTCTAGTGAAAGGCTGGGTCACTGTCAGCCAGTGGTTCTCAAAGTGTGTTCCCTGGACCACAGTGTCAGCCTGGACCACAGTGTCAGCAGCCATCGGGTGTGTTAAAACACACCCTCAAGGCCCACCCCACTGGATCTGAGCCTCTAGGGCAGGGCACCTCCCTCTATGGTTCATCTTGCCTTTGGTCACCCTGGTACCCACCAGAGGGCCACTGCCAAAGGCAGCATGAGACTGCAAGAGATAAAGCAAAAAACTGATGCTGGTTCGGTCTCTTTGTCCCTCATAGTCCTCATTGATCTCCTTCTTTGATGGTTCTAAGCTCTGGCTCAGCATCTGAATTACCCGACAGCTTTTAAGAAAGTCTGTGGCGGGGCTGAAAGGTTCCGGGCGGTCCTTCCTCCTACAGTATACCGCAGTGTGTCGCCCTTACAGGGCACAGGTGCACAGGGTACGGTCCTGGCCCTGGGAGGACTGTCTGGTTTACGGACTTGGAAGAGAATGGGGAGTTTTGCATAAGTAAATTTTACAGATGAATGAAGTTTTGCCCTCCTGCCATACCTTGGTCCACTCTGATGACTTTTCAATGGCAGAATTCTTCTAGACGATTACTGACTGCCCTGTGTCTTAAAAAGAAGTTTTCCAACATCACGCAGCCCTTCTTCGTGTCCTAGCATCATTCTCCACTCATCATCTTTTAAAAATTTATGTTAAAGATGTGGGGTACGATTCAGGATTAAGTATACGAGTGGTCATCGTATAGGTAAAGTCGGGGCCTCCCTTTGGGCCCCACTTTGCCTGTTTTGAGCTCAAGTACCCTTATTTCTACCCCTCCCCCAAGCAGTTTCTAGCTATTGCCAATCCCTTTCTGATAGTATTATGATAAATCCTCTCATTATTTTCAACAGTGCTGCCCTCTGGCTGTTGAAGCATGCTGGCTGCCTTCTCTAGCAGGCTTTGGGTTGCTAGCCTTGGAGTCCTTATTTCCATTGTTTACGATTCTCCAGTAATTTTTTTTTTTTTTTTTTGTACACTGACTGTCCCTTTGTGCTTTTTGCTTGTTATCACTTAGAACCATTTTCTTTCGTTTCATTTCTGGTGATTTTTCTCATGAGCTATAGGTCTGACCAAACCAGATGCTACACCTGTTGTGACTGCATCTCAAATAAGAGCCAGTGCCACTGAGTGTGAGACTCTCCAAGGAAGTTCGTGGGTTTTCACACATTTGTGAATTGTGCTCAGTGGCTGGGCTTCCTTAAGGACTTTCTGGGGTTTACTTCTTGGTCCTCACTTGCACCCTAGATGGATGAGGTTGCTGCTAAGTGGCCTCTGGATCAGTAAGGTGGTGCTTTGTCCACAGGAGCCCACGGCCTGGGGAATGGGTAGATAGGAGGAGGTTGGGCATGGGTGATGAGCTTTCCTAACTTCTTGGCACAGGTGGGAGGAGCTACACGCACTGGCCAGTGAGCCGAGGGAGCAGCACGTACTGTTGGCTGAGCAGGTGGAAGATGCCACCAATGGGCTCTTCAGCACCTTCAGCAGCTCTGACATCTGCACCACTGCCTCTCCAGGTAAGACTTCCAGCTAGGAGGGAATGGGGCATGCGGTAGGGGAAGGGGAAGGGTCCCCGAGGCAAGATGTTGGGACCGAGGAGCATACCCAGAAAAGGAGGGCAAGAGACACAAGGGCTAGCAGCTTCTGCCTTGGGCGCTCTGTTCTGTCTCCCTGTGTCTTACCTTGTGATCTTCCCAGCTGAGAGCCCTGAGCTTGTCTCCATGGAGGTAGAAGGGTCCAGGGCTTGGGCCTCAGATTTGGTAGGTCTCCTGTCTCCTGCTCAGTAGACAGAGCCAAGTCTGCTCTCACTGCCTTGGTCAGCACAGAAGGACATGGGTCACCTTTGGGCTTGGAGCAAGATCCCTACATTCTAGTCATTCTTGGCAGAGTTTACACAGGGGCTAGAGGGATGTAATGTTATATAGAGTATATTCATAACCACAACATGTAAAAGCTGTGTGGAGCGGGGCCCGTGCAGAGGAGGTACTCAGATACTCCACTGAACAGACAGATGTGAGACCCTTGTCTGGGGTGCTCTGCCTCAAGAGAGGCAGAAGGTGGCCAGGGCTGAGCATGGGATCCCAGGAGTAAGGGCACTGCTGGGGAGTGTGGATGGAGGAGGTAGGTATAACCCTGTCTCCTTCTCGGTGTGTGCTGTGGACACAGACTGCAGGATCAATGCATACCCCTGTGAGCACAAGACGCTGGAGACTGTACGGGAGCTTGCCGGCAACACTCTGTGCTGGAGAGGATCACGGCGGGCCAGCGCTGTGCTGGCTACCCTCTGTCCCTTCTACAGGTTTGTCTGCAAGGTCTGGATGGGAATGGAGACCTCTGACACTAGGCACTCATGTGCTACAGGGAGAACAGCACTTCGGGGCCGTGGCATGGAACTTGTGACAGGGATTGGAGGAGACCTGGGAGGGAGTCAGGAACAGAGTCCCAGGGGACAGGGAGGGACACAGCCACTCAGTGTCAGTCTCCTTAACACAGGCCAGGCAGCCAGGGTGGGTGAGGGTGGCCCAAGAGTGGGTCCTGAGGGGCAGCGGTCTGGGCTTGTGGAATTGGTCTGATAATTTGGTCCCATTATGAGCATCAGCTTCCACATTATGGGGGCTGAGTGAGGCACAAGGGTTAAGATCCTTGGATAAATTCTAGTCATGGAGGCTGGGGGGATGCTGGGTTCTTCGCATCAAGAGCATCTGCTGCCCGGCTGCCAGCCCTTCCCTCTTGAGCACTCCCTGCACTGTCCCTGGGCACTTTATCCAGATTACCTACCATGCAGCATCTCTGTCCCAAGACTGGTGACCCTTTCCTCTCCCCTCCTCAAATTGTGACCCTGCCCTCATCCACGCACATGCCCCACCCCACCCCAGCTTGCTATTAAAAACTCAATAAGCCAGGCTCGGTGGCTCAGCCTGTAATCCCGCGCCTTTGGGAGGCTGAGGTGAGTGGATTGCCTGAGCCCGCGGGTTCGAGACCCGCCTGGGCAGCGAGACCTCATCTCTACAATAAATCAAAAAATCAGCTGGGTGTGGTAGCGCATGCCTGTAATTCTGGCTACTTGGAAGGCTGAGGTGGAAGGATCACCGGAGCCCAGCAGGTCGAGGCTGCGGTGGCCAGGAGCAGCCATTGCACTCCAGTTTGGGTGACAGAGTAAGACTCCAACTCAAAAAAAAAAACAAAAAAAACTCAATAGCCTGGCTGCAGAGTCCCAGTACAAAACCCGGGAGAGCTCTGGAGGGCCATGGCAGTGCTTGAACCAGCTGCATCTTTGCCCCTTGGTCCTGTCCCCAGAGTCAACCTCAGACCACAGCACACGGCAATGAAATGGGTTGGCCCATAAGCCATGAGGAACATGCTGGGCTGATGGAGAATCCAAAGGCCATCTTAGCTGGGAAGGGCCAAGACCCCGTGCAAGGGTCAGAGAAAATGAGGCCTTATGCTATGCCACGCCATAGAGACTCTCTTTGGAACCCAAGCTCTCAAGTGAAAGGAGGTGTTTATTTGTTCCTCAGTGACTGTGTTCTAAGAGTCTGTTCTGAGCCAGGCAACATGCAATAAGGAGATGGCACCGTCACTGTCCCAGGGACACCAGTCTTGGAAAGTTCAGATCCATGGCAGTGGGCAGAAGCAGTTAGAGTCAGGAGTGCCTGGGAGAGCCTGGTGGATAGAGAGTCCACCTCCTGGGTTTTGTACTTGGACTCTGCAGTCAGGCTATTCAGTTTTTAATCCTGGAGTCACCACTAGGTGACTTGTGAACTTCCCATGGCCTGTTTCTACATTTGAATGGGGCATGGTAATAGTACTTGCCAACGGGGTTATTGAAAGCAAGCAGAGAGTTAATACGTAGATGCACTAATATTGCAGGCTGCTAGAATGAAGGGTCTAGGAAGCTCTTCATCCTTCCCTCACTCAAGAAACCCCACTGAGGGTCTCCTGTGCTCCCAGTACTCTCTCATGTCCTAGGGAATCAGCACCGACATCTCAGAAGGAAACCTGCCCTCACCACCTACACTCCAGTGGGGGGAGGCACCCATAAACAAAATGCATGCAGAAAGTAAACTGTTCAGTGGTGATAAGCGCTGTGGAGGAAACTCACAGCAAGCTGGGGTGGGGTGGGGCATGTGTATGGATGAGGGCAGGGTCACAATTTGAAATAGAGTGGCCAGGGAGGGTCTTGCATTATGTCCAGACCTGAGGGGAGTTGGGAGCCAAACTGTGTGCAGATCCTTGCAAAGTCCCCACCAACGATGTCTGCTCCATCAACACCTATTCCCAGGGCAGTCCTGAGTGGGAAGGGGTGGGGCCCACGAACCTTTCTGAGCTAGGACTTGTGGCTTTATGAGGTCACTAGGAGCAGACATGGAAGGGAAGATAATTTCTCTTTGGTGATCTGGCAGCTTGGCAAACTTTACCAACTCCTTGAGTTCTTAGTTGACTTGGCTTTTATCCCATTTTACCCCAGGAAAGACCCTGCCCTGGAGGTGAGCCCAATTCGCCCGCCCCTGGGATCTTGTCAGAAGGAGTCTTGTTTGGAGAACTTTAGAGAACTGTTTTCCAAGGCCCAACAGTCTCTTTAGATGAGGTCATGCTGGGAGCTGCTGTCAACCAAAAAGGGGGCTTTCTGCCCGCTGGATGGGGAACCACTCCTGCTACAGCAGGGTGCACCACTCCAGAGACTCAGAAAAAGCGGGGAGTGAGGCTCAGAGGACAGAGTACATGGGGTCTGGAGTTTGCACCCTAGCCCTGCTGCATTCCAGTAACTTTGTGACTTTGGGCAATCTAACTCAGCCCTGGGACCCATTTTCCCATCTGGAAGATAGAGATAACCATCTCTCAAGATAGCTGTGGGTTCCAGGTAACAAAGGGAACACCTGGCAGGAGGAAGCCACAAATGATGACTGATGTGTTATCAAAGAATATCAGTTCTCACACAAACCTGAGGAGCCAGTGAGTCCTGTGGTCTCCAAATCTTGGGCTTTGGAGCCTTGTGTGGATACTTGAACAAAGCATACAAAAGCAGCGCATTTAAGGTGTTCCCATTATTTAACTCCCCACTACATTGTGGGTCTCAGGAAGTAACTTTTTTTTTTTTTTTTTGAGTTGGAGTCTCGCTCTGTTGCCCGGACTGGAGTGCAGTGGCCGCTCCCAGCCATCGCAGCCTCGACCTTCTGGGCTCCGGCAATCCTCCCACCTCAGCCTTCCAAGTAGCTGGAACTACAGGCACGCGCTACCACGCCCGGCTGTTTTTTTGATTTATTGTAGAGATGAGGTCTCACCAAGTTGCCCAGGAGGGTCTCAAACCCGCAGACTCAGGCAATCCACTCACTTCAGCCTCACAAGGCGCGAGATTACAGGCTGAGCCACCGAGCCCGGCTTCAGGAAGTAATTTATAATAAAAAAATCTGTTCCCACAGTTTAGAGTTTTGTACATAACTGTCTCTAACTTCTAATGTGATAGCCAACTTACATTATCTTTTTTTTTTTAATTGTCTTTGGTTAGTTTGGATAGAATCAGGAAAGAAAACAAGGAGGTCTCTCTTGACCCACTTCTGCATTGGAATCTTATATCAACACTTAGTGTTGGAAATAATCTCCGGGTTTCTGTCCTCCCCTTAAACCTCTGATCTCTCTACCACTCTGTTTCCTTGGATTGTAGCTGGAAGAGAGTGTTCCTGACCCACCCTACCACCTGCTCCAGGACCACTTGCCCAGGTACAGTCTGCCTCTTGGAGTCATGGGCCCTTGGCTAGTTTGTAAAGTGGCATTTATAATCCTGGGCCAGAGGATGGTGTTGAGACTGGCTCTAGGGCACAGGAAAGGGACATTGTGGAGGCAGAGGAGCTTGCTTATGCTGACCTGATTCCTTACTTGCTCAGTGGCATCTTTTTACAAAGAGTGGAGTGGTGCCTTTGGAATTACTCTCCTTAATCAGTGAAAGGCAGAGAAGGGCGTGCACTGAGCACCAGTATTGGAGGCAGCCTCAAACCCAGCGTCACACCCAAGGGCAATACCTGAGTGTTTTCCTCCTCTGTGAAATGGGGTAACATTTGCCCAGTGTCTGGAATCCCATTTCCCTCCTCTGCATGATAGGGGATATTGTACATGGGGCCCTAGTGAAGATTTGTAATGCCCACGGAGGTGCTTCATTGGTTATAAAGTCCCAAACAGACATGAGGAATTATCAGCACCATTAGGCGTCATTCAGCGTGGCTCCCCAGTGTGCCTCTCTGCCCCTCAGCTGGGGGGCTTGTGCCTCCACTGACCTGGGAGCTGGACATTGCGCTCCAGTGCATAGGTGTTGGTCCTGGTGTGGATTTGCTCCTCCTGATGAACCAGGAGCCTGTCTCACAGAGGCAGAGCCAGCGGTGGGACACAGGCAGGCCAGCATTCCTACCCGAGGTCAGGTGATCCCTCTGACATGCCCTTAAAAGCCTTTACAGTTCCAGCATCACTGGCCTCTGAAGCATAGGAGAATCTGACAGTGGGGCTGCTTCTGCTCAGCAATTAGAGTTAGAGGACTTATGGTTTGGGAACCGGGGCAACCTAGGTTTGAGTCCCTGCTCTGTTCCATGACTTCTAGTCATGGAGCTTCAGCTTCCTTATCTGTAAAATGGGGGTTTTTTAAATAGTACCTACCTCAGAAGGTTGTTGTGCCAATGAAATGAGATCATGCATGTATAGTGCTTAGCACAGTCCCTGACACGTAGTAGATGCTCAGTTAAAGGCCACTGTGGCTGATGCCAATGAGTCCTCCACCCAGTTATGTCCATGACGCTCAGCTGATACTACAGCAGGTCCAGTGAGGTGCCCAGAATCAGCCCCCATCATTTCTACATTTGAAAAGTCTATACTTTCATTAACAATGATGTGACCACCAAGTAATAGTATTTTTTAAAAAAAGAAAAAAAATCACCAATCCCACTTGTATTCACTCTCAGCTGCTTTCCAAATCTCTGAAATACATGAACACGTGAAGATCCTGTTTGTCTTCTGTAACCGTGGGAGGGTGGTCATGTGGTTTTATCTGCATTTTGTAATAATTGGCGAGGAAATTGATAAGGAGCTCAGATGTGACCACAGGACATCATAGATCAGATACTTCAGAATGGGCCCGATTTTGACATGGGCTGTGGTTTCCTGTGTAAAATTTCAGCTTAGCAAGGCCTTATTCATAATTTGCACCTCACATGTAAAAGCAAATACTACATTATTACTCATTGTGGAGTGTTGGCTTTGTGCTGAGACTTTCTGTGGATTAATTTATTTAATCCTCACAATAACACTGTGGAACCAGTTGTTATCATCACCCTTTTACGGATGCGTATAGAAAGCTTGGAGAGGTTAATTAAGGTCACCAAGGAAGAGGAGGCCATGTTCATTGCTGAGCTGTCTGACTGCAGGATCCAAAGGCTCATGGTTTCCTGTGCCAGGTGCAGAGGTCATTAAGAACAACCCTGTATAGCACTTAGAAGAAAGGGCACCGTCAGCACCACAGAGTTCCCCGAGTCTTGAGACTCCCCATGCTGTTACCTTGATGCTATCTAGAGCTTCATCCTTGTCAAGCTCAAGTCCATCACCAGTTAATCAATATGGTTCTCCCAAGGTACTCCAGGCCTGCTCAGCAGCTGTGGGTAAATGAGACCCATGTTCCCAGTCTCAGAGCCAGGAGCCAGATCCCATCAGCATGTCCCCGAGTAAGCCTGGAAGTCACACAGGGCCTTCCCAAGTCCACCACTGGTTGTCCTTTACCAGCCGTACCCACCTTCTCCTTTATGGACTTCTTAGTTCTTTCCTTTCTCTGCTCCAGGGTTCCCAGTGGACTGTGGTGGAAGGAAGGGGCTGGCCCCTGATGGGGCAGGGTGGCCTGCTGCACTCATTCCCCCACCCAGCCGCCTTCACACCTCGGTGCTGCTGTGTTTGGCTGTTAATGAGCATCTCTCTGATAGGCCCCTGTGACTCGCAGCCCTGCCAGAACGGAGGCACGTGTGTTCCAGAAGGACTGAATGGGTACCAGTGCCTCTGCCCACTGGCCTTCGGAGGGGAGGCGAACTGTGGTACGTATGCACAGGACATCCAAGACTGACCACTGGGGAGCAAGGAAAGAATGGGCTCCTCTGCTCACCACCCACCCTTCTGACTACTGGGTAGAAACCAGCCCTTGAGTTTTTGAGCCATCTACTGGTCTGCCGTCTCACATGGCACAGCCTATCAGTGCTCCATCAGTCAGTAATTCAGGTGGCGGAGCTCTGGGGAGGCAATGGCTCCCGGCTTCTCTGTAGAACAAATGGTCTTGATGTTGAAGCACCTCAGAGCCCAGCTGAAGGCGGGAGCCAGCCCAACTCCGGGTCCTGGTTATGGACAGAGTCTTTTCTCTCTTCTAAGAAAGAGGAGCAAGGAGCTTTGACCTCTTTTGTTTTAAAGGTGTGAAATGAAGATTATAATCAGTTTAACTTCACCTCACTGGGTGGTTGAGAGTTTTAAATAAGGTGTATACAAAGTGCTTAGCATAATGCTTGACACATAGTAAGGACTTGCTAAATAATCACTTTTTAAAAATGCAGTGTTGGGTTAATCGGATATCTATATTGAAAAACTAAATCTTGACCCTGTTCCTAACAGCCTACCCCCAAATCAATTCCAGCAGGATTATAGATCTGAATACAAAAGGCAAAGCAGTGAAGTCTCTAGGAGAAAAAAAAAACATAGGAGCATATCTTCATGATCTTGGGGTATTCAGAGATTTCTTGGGACATCAAAAATAGTAACTATAATGGAAAAAAGTTATAAAACAGATGATATTTTTTTCTCTTAGTAACATGGTTAGATGGAGTCCCTTAGCGAGAACCAAGAGGGAGAGCTTGTCTGGCCTTGTCACTAACTCTATGACAAACACTGGTCACTTAACCCCAGTTTTTCTGTTTTATCTCCCTCTCGAGGAGGGAGTTTCTCCTGTCCCATGTGGTGTTTGGGCCTCTCGGGTGGGACTGATCTGCATGTTCCAGTGGCCACAGCGTGACAGTGGGTGTTGCTATGATCTTGGCAGCCCCGAAGCTGAACCTGGAATGCAGAATCGATGTCCTCTTCCTGCTGGACAGCTCTGCAGGCACCACCCTGGAGGGCTTCCTGCGGGCCAAGGCTTTCGTGAAGCGGTTTGTGCAGGCCGTGCTGAGTGAGGACTCTCGGGCCCGAGTGGCTGTGGCCAAGTTCAGCAGGGAGCTGCAGGTGGTGGTGCCCGTGGGGGAGTACCAGGATGTGCCAGACCTGGTCAGGAGCCTTGACAGCATTCCCTTCAGTGGCGGCCCCACCCTGACGGGCAGTGCCTTGCGGCAGGCGGCAGAACGCGGCTTTGGGAGCGCCACCAGGACAGGCCAGGACCGGCCACGCAGAGTGGTTGTCCTGCTCACTGAGTCGCGCTCCCAGGATGAGATAGCTGGCCCGGCACGTCACGTGAGGGCCCGAGAACTGCTTCTGCTGGGCGTGGGAAGTGAGGCTGTACAGGCAGAGCTGGAGGAGATCACCGGCAGCCCGAAGCACGTGATGGTCTATGCAGACCCTCAGGACTTGTTCATCCAAATCCCTGAGCTGCAGAAGAAGCTGTGCAGCCGGCCGAGGCCAGGTAAGGTCCTGGCACCTGATCTAGGGCCCGCTGGTCAGTTGGTGGGTCCTTCCTTCTTTTGGTCACCACTTCACTATTCTCTCCCAGTGCCTGAGCTAGGGGATAGAACCAGAACCCCACTCTCTTCTGTACTAGGCACATGACAGATAACTTCTCTGCTTACTTTGTCAATAAAATGGAACAAAGTAGGTGCCTCCTGATCAGCAATGTATGCACCTTGCTCGAAGTGAGCATAGTATAAGTACTGAGCAGATTTTAGATGTTGCTATTATTATTATTATTATTGAGTCAGGGTCTCACTCTGTTGCCCAGGCTAGATAGAGTGTGCAGTGGCACAATCACAACTCACTGCAGCCTTCAGCTCCTGGGCTCAAGTGATCCTCTTGCATCAACCTCCCGAGTAGCCAGTACCACCAAGCCTCGCTAATTTTCTTATTTTCTGTAGACAGAAGGTCTCACTCTGTTGCCCAGGCTAGTCTGGAACTCCTGGGCTCAAGAAATCCTCCTGCTTCAGCCCCCCAATCTTGTGATTATAGGTGTGAGCCACCACACCTGGCCACTATTTTTTATTATTAATTGTGATGTTATTATTGTTAACAAGGAGCTCTGAATATACTAAGCATACTCTAGAGCAGCTGCTTTCCACCTTCTTTGATGGCAACCCACAGAAAGAAATGCATTCCCCGTTCACACACACGTACACACAGATGCATGCTCATGCGCGCGTGCGCGCGCGCGCACACACACACACACACACACACACACAACTGAGATAAACGTTTCATGAGATGACCTCATCCTGTCTACCTGGGATGCATTCTGATGTTTTTCTATCCTGTTGTGATTCACAAGCTATGAAGTTGGTTTTGTGACCCACTGTTGGACAGTGCTCTGGAGAACACTGCTCCTGGGAGCAGATGTTGCCATGTGGTGGGCAGGAGCTGGGCCCAGGGCGAGAGATGTGGAGCTGAAACGCACCCCTGATGGAGCTCGCTGAGTTCTCCCCTGGAAAGTGGGCAGGGGAAGCTGCAGATGGGATTCAGCTTCTCAGCCCAATGTCACATTCTTCCCAAGGCAAGAGGCCTTCACTTCTATAAGGGGAAGGACAGGGATCGGTCCGGCTGCCACCCTACCCCTCCAGTCTAGTCTCCCATGCCAGCCAGAGTGCGTTTGTTTTGTTTTTTGTTTGTTTGCTTTTACAATAGCTTTAGATTTACCAAAAACATTTGACAGTAGTAGAGAGTTCCCTACCCCACCCCTAGTGTCCCCTCTTTATGAACGCCTTACATTAGTAGGGTACATTGTCACAATTAATGAACCAATATCAATACATTATTTACTGAAGTCCATGCTTTATTCTTATTTCCTTAGTTTCTACCTAATGTTCTCCTTCTGTTCCAGACTCCCACCCCGCATCCCACAGTACATTGTCAGCCTGTCTCAGGCTCCTTGTGGTTATGAGTTTCTCAGACTTCCCTTGTGTGGGAATAGTTTTTAAAAACCAAAAAATCAGAGCGTCAGATCTTCTTACTCTATACTTAGACCTTTCCAGTGGCTCCCCTGGGTACTCGGAATAAAACCCAAACTCCTCCCACTGGTTTCTGAGAGCCCCCTGTGGCCTGGTCCCTGCAGGCCTCTATGCAGCCCCTGCATAGGAGAGGGCTCCCTGATTGAGAGGCACCTGGCCCCACCCCACTGGCCCTTCAGTTCTTAGCTGAAATGTCACCTCCCCGGAGAAGCCCTGATCCCTTCTCCCAGTCTTGTTATGTTGCCGGGCTGGTCTCTCTCAGAGTTCCCTGATTGTTCCTCCATGCTGCTCACACCATTTGTAGTTCTATGTTTATTTCCTGTCTGTCCCCCCAGACTGTCAGTTCACTGAGGCCAGGCATCAGCCCATTTTGTCCACATAGTATAATCGGTGCCCTGTGTACCAAGGATGGATGATGGCATAGGTGAAAATGCTGTCACAAAGGGTCCCCCCCAACCCAATGTTTACATATGATAGAAGTTAATTTCTCTCACATATGATTCAGAAGTGAGTAGTCTGAGCCAGCAGGTTGGCTTGACCATCTTGTGGCTTCCACCTTGAGGTCCAAGGCCACCATTTTTCAGCTAGTAAGATAAGGGAGAGGGGAAATAGAAAGCAAGTAGCTTCTGCTTGCACAAGTGTGAAATTGTACAAGTTCAACCTTGGAAACTGCATAATTACTTCTGATCACAGTTCATCAGATGGCACTTAGACACATGGCCACCCTAACTGCCAGGGAGACTGGGAAATGTAGTCTAGCTGGGCACTCACATTCCTGCTAATGTGCTAGGAGAGGTGGGTATTCTATCACTGGAAGGAAGGAGTAGAGGGTAGATTCTGTAGTGGACAGAGCAGCCTGGTCAACCTGGGCCCTACCCAACTCATAGCAGCCCCCACCACGCTGACTGGGTCAGGCCGGGGGCTCTGGCTGGCAGATCTGCCATGGAGGCCCCTCTGCTTGCTCCTGCAGGTTGCCAGGCACAGGCGCTGGACCTTGTCTTCATGTTGGATGCGTCGGCCTCCGTGGGAGCTGAGAACTTCGCTCAGATGCAGAGTTTTGTGAGAAGCTGTATGCTCCAGTTTGATGTGGACCCTGATGTGACACAGGTGGGCCTGGTGGTATATGGCAGCCACATACAGACCACCTTCGGGCTGGACACCTATCCTACCCGGGCCACAGTGCTGCGGGCCATGAGCCAGGCCCCCTACCTAGGTGGGGTGGGCTCCGCTGGCACAGCCTTGCTGCACATCTACGACAAGGTGATGACCATCCGGAAGGGTGCCCGGCCTGGTGTCCCCAAGGCTGTGGTGGTGCTCACAGGCGGGAATGGGGCTGAGGACGCAGCCGTCCCTGCCCAGAAACTAAGAAACAATGGCATCTCTGTCTTGGTCTTGGGCGTGGGGCCGGTCCTGAGGGAGGCACTGCGGAGGCTTGCAGGTCCCCGGGATTCCCTGATCCATGTGGCAGCTTACACTGACCTGCGGCATCACCAGGACATGCTCATCGAGTGGATATGTGATGGTGAGTGGGAGAATCCACACCCTTGGGGCTGCCTCCAAGGTAGGGCCTTAGCCTGAGCCTTCATGTACATCCTTACAAGGACAGCGGCTCTTCCCAGCTGCCTAGCTCTTGCTTTCCAGGTGCCAGGTTTTGTACTAAGTCCCGTGCTTGCATAAAATCCTACAGTAGGCATACCGAACCCACTTGATACTTAAGGTCCAGAGAATTTAACTAACACAGACAACATTTTCCCAAACTTGAGAGTATCTGCATTCCATTTAAACGGAAGACACTTTTAGGGTGCCCACAGACCACCCCAGGGGTCTAAGAACCTACATTGACACTGACCTCGCTGGTGAATAATAGGGCAAGGCCAGCCTGAATCCAAGACTTCCTTTTGTCAGTGACCTTCTTTCCACCATTTTAAAAGTATGTGGCAGTAGTAAACGGTGCCCTGTGTACAGCACAGAAAGAATCTCCTCGTGCATGTGGGGAAGCTGGGTAGGAGCGGGTCTTATAGCCTAGTCAAGTAGTATGAAGCACTAGCCATGAGCTAACCTGTGCTTCAGGGCCCAGGGAGACACTAGGATGTGTGAGATGCTACTCTAGTGGCCTTGCACCTGTACTGGGCTTCCCTAGAGTAGGGGTCTTTGGTCTGACTCAGGCCGGGCCTGATGGGCACGCTCTCCACTGTAGAAGCCAAGCGGCCAGTCAACCTCTGCAAACCCAGCCCCTGCATGAATGAGGGCACCTGCATCCTGCAGAATGGGAGCTACCGCTGCGAGTGCCAAGATGGCTGGGAGGGCCCCCACTGTGAGAACCGTGAGTGGAGCTCTTGTTCTGTATGTGTGTGTGTGTGGGAGGGGATCTGAGGCCTGCCAAGTCCCATAGACTCAGCTGAAGGCGGGTTCTCGGGCATTCATTTGGTTCAGTGGAAGGAGTCATTCAATAATTTACTTGTTCACTCAGTAAACATTTAGTGAGTACCCCCTACATCCAGGTGTTGTTCTAGGTGTGGAAATATAGCAATAAACAAAACAAAGAAAATCTCTGCTCTCATGGAGCTGACATTCTAGTGGGGAGACAGACAACAAACAAGATAAGGCTAGGCTCGGCGGCTCAGCCTGTAATCCCAGCACTTTGGGAGGCCGAGGTGAGTGGATTGCCTGAGCCCGCGGGTTCGAGACCCGCCTGGGCAACTTGATGAGACCTCAGCTCTACAATAAATTTTAAAAAAATTAGGTGGGCGTGGTAGCGTGTGCCTGTAGTTCCAGCTACTTGGAAAGCTGAGGCGGAAGGATCGCCGGAGCCCACCAGGTCAAGGCTGCTGTGACCGGGAGTGGCCACTGTACTGCAGTCTGAGTGACAGAGTGAGACTCTGACTCAAAAAAAAAACAAAAAAAACAAAAAAAAACTAGGAGTGAGGGCAGGGTAACGAATGCAAACAAGATATGGTATAGAGGGAGACAGGTAGTGGGTAGATGTGATGGTGGGAGGTGGTGGGAGTACCTTTCTGGGTGTTTCTCTTTACTCAGTGAAATGGGAGGAACAGCTGAGTGTGAGGATGTGGAGAAGGTTTTGGAGGTGAGAGAAGATGAGAAGGATAATACATTAAGGATATAGAGAATGATTGTTGGGCAGCATTAGGGGCCCACCTTTGACACCTGTTCATGAGTTTAGGGTTAGAACAGCCAGAAATCAGAAGACAATGCCAGCTGGAGCCTTGGGTTTTGAGCCACCGGTAGAGGCTGGCTTCCTAAGGCCAGGGAGAGGATCTGGAGGGCAATCAGATGGCATCTTTGATCTGGCATCTTCTGCTGTGGGTGAGTTGGGTTGCAGGACCGGAAAGAGATCACAAGGGGGTACTGATCAGCCAAGAAGAGGACCCAGACACTCCCGTCTCAGAGTTCACTTACTTCCTCAGGGTTCTTGAGAGGAGATGCCCCCAAAGCACGTGGCCAAGAGCCTGCAGGACAGCAGCTGTACCCCTCCTAGCAACTACAGAGAAGAACTGGACACCCTGCACGCTGAAAGGGCACTTGTCGTCAGCAGAGCACCTGTCCCCTGGGTTTTCTCAGAGGATCTGCTTCCAGCTCCCTCCAGAACTGCTATTCTTATCTGGGAGAAGGATGTCCTGACTATATCCTTGCTGCTTAGGGAAGTGGGAGCAGCTGATGTCACCCCCTGATGATGATGTTGAAAACTCTTGATGTGTAAGTAAACACTTTCTGTTCCTAGTCCATGCACCTTGTTGAGGCTATGTCACCTGCCACCTTTCTCATGTTAGACAAGGGATCCTGAAGACTCCAGATCAATATAATGGCCTGTCTGAGGTTTCCTTTGCCCATGATAAATGCTAGCCAGAATGTGGTTGAGCCAGCAATGCCCAACAGAAGGCCCTTAGAGCGTCATGTGGAACATTAAAGTGATGGCATTTTAAGATGGAAAGTGCGGACTCTTCCACTTCCCCAAAGATGTCCTGGATGCATTTGCTTTGAGTTTTAAAAGGGACTTAAGGGGTATTTGTGACTTCTGGGGACTGCGTCTGCATGTTGGAGAGACTTAAGGACCAGACTGGAATTTGACCAACTAACCAGCTAGTCTGACAATTGGAGAGGGGCTGAGGGTGTAAATGGTCCAGGTCTGGAAGGGCCATGAGAAGGTGGTCTGGGTACTGGGCAACATCTCCTTGGAGGGTTTTCCTTTTATAAGAGTTAACTCAGGAGGGGTTAATTGTGGGGCGTTTATGGAATTTTTTCCTTAATCCCCTTCCAGTGGGGTAAGTAGAATTCATAAACCCAACAGATATACGATAAAGAAACTTACAGAAGTTTTGTTTCTTTAAGTATTGATCTTACACTATCTAGGGTTTTGTTTTGCCTTTTTTTTTTTTTAAGAAAGCAGGATTTATTGAGAGGACAGAAAAGCTCCCACAGTGGGAGGGGACCCAAAGGGGTTGTCCTGCTTTTTTTACAACTAGTCTTTAGGGAATATTTCAAGAAATGTTGCTGGTTATTTAACAGAAATATTTGTACCTATGTGGCAAAGAGGCTTATTTGAAGTATTTTTTGGCAAACTGGATACTCCTGCGATACTTAGGAATCAATTCTTTCCCTTGGTTGTATTATTTAGAGTTGAGTTTTCAGTAGACACTTTTATAGAGCTCTGACATAAATCCAGTGACTTTATCATGGTTTTTCTTTGTAATATAAGCATTTTAACATAATGTTTTATATATAAAAGCTTGGAACTACTTTAAGAACTTAACTTTAAGAACTTCAGAATTTCTGGTGCTAGAAAAGTCTTGAAATGACTTTACTATGATATTATTAGGCATTAAAAATAAAAAATCTGGTGTACCAGGCAGTGAGTCATGACAATCACTGGGTTTCAAGGGATATTTTTATTGATAGTTTTCTGTTATTGCACTGTCCTTTGCAGAAGGCAACATCAGGGCAGGATTACATGCTCACCCAGCAGATGCTGATCAGTGATGTCCTAGACGTTACAAGAATTCATTGTATTTAAATTAATAGCAGTTTACTCATTTTATAACGAAGGCTCTCTGTCTTGTTCAGAGCTGGTATTTGGATGCCTCACTTGAATTACTTGGTCTTAAACAGTGGTCCCTGGGCTCACATGTTAAAGGCCTTAACTGTTTCTTTGTAGGAGCTGGGGGCCAGTCCTTGAAATATTTTTTTTTACTTTTTGTAGTGAAGGTGCCACTGAATAGTTCAACCTTTTGTAGTACCCTAATAGTGGCAGAGGAAATTTCTGTCTTATGCCTAACCAGCCAACCCATTTTCTTTCATTTAAAAAAAAATTAGCTTTAATTCCTAGCTTTAATTTTTATTTTTAGCTTTAATTAATTATACAAGATATAGATATATTCTCTTTGCAAGAATTAAAATATTACAAAGAGTCATAAATCTCATTTTAGTTTATTTTCTCTGAATGATACTCATTCCAGCTATCTTGTTTAATGTTGTAGTTCTAATAGTTAATTAACTGATTCTTTTGCCTTTCTAGAGAAATATCATATACAAATAACGGTTGCTTTTTCTCTTCCTTTTGCAGTTGTATATCACTAATTTTTCTTGTCATTTTGCATTGTCTAGGACCTCCAGAATAATGTTTTAAAAAGTAGTGGTAATAGCACATATCCATATTTTATTCTTGACTTTTTAACCATCATAAATACTGCTTTCACCCGGGCTTGGTGGCTCAGTCTGTAATCCCGCGCCTTGGGAGGCTGAGGTGAGTGGATTGTCTGAGCCCGCGGGTTCGAGACCCACCTGGGCAACTTGGTGAGACCTCAACTCTACAATAAATAAAAAATTAGCCAGGCGTGGTAGTGCGTGCCTGTAGTTCCAGCTACTTGGAAGGCTGAGGCGGAAGGATCGCCGAGCCCAGCAGGTTAAGGCTGCGGTGGCCGGGAGCAGCCACTGCCAGTCTGGGCGACGGAGTGAGACTCCAACTCAAAAAAAATAATAATAATAAATTCAAAATAAATAAATACTGTTTTCTGTGGGTTACGTTACATGTTTAAGAATGCTCATTTCTGCCCCTAGGTGACTAACAGTGTTTATTCTGAGTGGTGAGATTTATGGTATGTTTTCCCTTCTTCCTTTGAGATGATGTCTCTTCACATTTAATCTGTTAATGTGATAAACTACCCATTTGTATATAGTGTAATCATTGACCCACCCTTGATTTTCTGGATAAACTCTATTTGGTCATGATACATCATTCTATAAACACTGCTGGATTTCATTTGCCAATATTTTATTTAAGATTTTTAAAAATCTATGTTCAACAGTATTTGTTTTTTTCTTTCGAATATGTTTTGAATTTTGGTATCAGAGCTATACTAACTTTATAATGGAGTGCACATATTTCTCAAACTTTCACACTGCTATATTCATAGTATTTTCTTGTTATTTAAACAATATCGCAAGCATCTGTTCTTAATTTTCCCTTTCAGTTCTGCTATTTCACGTTGCCCTAGGTTCATCTTTTTAATGAGCCAGATTTGGGTTTTGTCATTTTTAAATAAACACATTTATGAACTTCCTGAATTACTACTTAGGCAACCTTCCAAGTATTGGTACATTTCCCAATAATTATTTAGTAGTATGTTTAACTTCTAGGAGTATTGATTTTTCATTCACTTATATATAATCAGTTTCTGCAGATGTTTCCTGTGTCTTTGATACTTTGTTAACTGTCCTATTAAAATCCTCTTTCAGGCTTATCTATATTCCTTCATTTAAGGAGGTCTGAAGTCTCCCACCAAGATTCCACCTTACAGTTTTACCAGTTTCACTGCACATAATTTGAAGTTCATTGTGTAAATAACCAAGATATTTTCCCCCATGAGGTAAAAGTTCACTAGGCCCTGTCCCGAGTCATTCCATGAAATACAAAGAAAGTCCAAAATACAATTAACATTTTATTTAAAAAAGTCTAACTCAGTACTTGGTAAAAGATCACCAAATGTTTATGACAAAGGAAATAAATGCCCTTGGATTAGAAAAAGACTTTAGTTTTCAGGAACCAGTGTTAGAGAACTCTGATTCAAAACCCCTAGAAATGAGGCAGAGATGATAGATGAAATGTTTCAACCTGTGTTTAAAAACAATGCCATCAGAGGGAAAGACAGGGACAGCACAAGAAACAGCAATGCCAATTTTAAAAGACGAGGGAAAACCACCCTAACCAAAAGTCACCACTTTTTTTTTGGAAGGGGACTGGACATTCAACAGAACTTAAAATTAGGGACCAAGAGAGCATTATGTTAAATAACTTCTCCCTTAAAAAACAGCTGGACCACAGGACTGAATATGTAAACACAGGGTAATTTGTTTTTATGGTAATGTAAAGAGTCAGTGAAATCTCAAAAAAAAAAGAAAGAAAGAAAAAACCACTTTCACTGTTCTAAGTGACATAATTTAGCAACTTTTTTTCTATATAATACAGCATCACTTAAAATTTTATCTAAAGACAGTTGTTCAGGCCCATCTTGGACCCCCATAAAAGTATTTGACTTAGTGGGGTCAGTGCCTCATCTTGGTCCCAGATATTTCTCCATGTTACTGTTTCACAAAACTCATGTCATAGATGGTTTTAAACAGGTAGTATCAATGCTGTTTGAAATCACTGAAGACTGAGTTGGGTCTGCAGATATCGGAGAGAACAAACTTGAAGGCAAGGATAGTTCAACCCCGATATGGCTAAGTATTGGATAAGAGATGAGATGACAGTTTAGGTCTTCTCGCTCATCAAAGCCACAAGACACACAGGATGGGGCCCTGCCACCTGATTTTTCTTCCACCAAAGTCTAAACAGCAATTCTTTTTCATTATTTAAAAATCTTGATAAAGCAATTGATGAAAACTTTAAAAAAGAAACACAGAATATCCCTACATACAACATTTTGCTTACATCCAATGGATTTAGCTCCAATGAAGCCTTCTTTTTTATTTTTGTATTATTTCCTTCGACTCTGAAAGGGACAGAGCCTCCTCTTAGCTGAAGCTCTTCATTCATAGTACCTCAGTCCTTGCTTTTTCTTCTGAACAGACTCACCCTTTCACAGAGTTGCTGCTTTAATGAAGCAGGATTGTCACCAAGGTCCATATTGACATGAGAGTCTTTAGATGAAGCTTGTTTCCTAACTTGCTCCTTTCTTCTCCCATTCCTAGGGTACCATTCAAATACCAGCACCCACCCCCCCACACAAAAAAGAAAGTTAGTTATCCTCTGTGGTAACCTTTATGTACATAGTAAAAATGTAAGAGAAAATATTTTGAGCACAGAAACAATTAAGAGTAGAAATTACAAATATATTTTAAACCCTATGTATTATTGCTGTTTGGTATATCTATTCAGAGATCTTGAGGCTGTGGCACAACAGAGTGCTGCGAGTGATTAGTAATGTCTGCCACAGCAGCAAGGGAGCACTGGCTCAGGTGCGTGCATGAATTTAATAGTGAGCCATTGGTGTGGGCACCTCCAAATATCTCCGGCAGATAAGCAGGATAAGAATAAAGAACAGAATTTGCCAAAAACAGAGGTAGCCCTGGGCATGTTCTGTAGTACACCAAGGAGTAAAGAATTAGTGACCCTTTTTGTCTAACCCTCAGGAAGAGGCCTAGTTATAGCAAGCACTCCTTGTTCACACTTTGGTCCGCATTTTGCCACTAGCCAGGTGGGCAATTTTAGGCAAATCACATCACCTGTCCATGTCTAGACTTTTTTTGTTGTTTGGTTTTGTTTTCTTGAGTTGGTGTCTCACTCTTTCCCCAGGCTGGAATACAGTGGCACGATTATGACTCACTGCAGCCTTGACCTCCTAAACTCTGGTGATGCTTCTGCCTTAGCCCACCTAGGAGCTGGGACTACAAGCACACACCACCATGCGTTTTTGTTGTTGTTGTTAGAGATGAGATCTCATTATGTTGTCTAGGCTGCTCTTGAACTCCTTAGGCTCAAGCAGTCTACCCACCTCAGACCCCAAAGTGCTGGGATTATAAGTGTGAGCCACCACACACAGCCTTAAGTGTGTTCTTTTACTTTTAATGGTGAAAGTTCTTTGGAGTCACTGACTTTTTTATTTGAAAACTCCTCACTACAATCTGTCCCTGAGCAGCAGCTATCCCATGGCTTCTACTAATAACTGCATGGTGGGCAGGTCAAGGACTCAGGCTTATTGGTAAGGACACTTGAACCAAGTGCAAGCACCTTTTTGGTTGGTCAGTACCAGAGATCGAGCCAAAGGCCCAGTGGAGCCAGAGCCACCACCACTTCCTGCTGAGAGCCAAGCCCTCACTCAGAGCTAGCGCTGAAAGCCACAAAACATCACCCAGGTCAGAAGAAGTCTGAGCTGTCCCTGGAGGAGGCTGGGAGTAACCACTTACCTTGGCTTTCTGGAGGACAGTGCCTTTGCCTGTGACCATGACTGAGAGAGGCCTGTTCTTGAGTGTGGTTGCAGAGTTGACTGGGGTACAGTCTGAGGCAGGGGCAGGAGTGGCAGCTTTGGGCTGTGGTTACAGGAGGAGAGCACGGGCTGAGCCAAGGGGTGGGACACTTGACCCAGCCTCCCAACCCATGTCCAGGAGGCCCTGCAAGCAGCCCAAAGACTGTGGCTCCCAGCACTCACGCGGGGGCTCACGTTCTCCAGGTGTGTGGTGTCCACAGTGGTACCCAGTGTCACAGGCCCTGCTTCAGCCTTCTTCAAGTTGTCCTTCACCTCCACAATGTTGAGTTCAAGGTCCACACGCTTGCTCTCCTCAATCCGGCACTCCTCATCAATTTCCTTCAGCTTCTGCTCCAGGCTGGCCAGGACACCCTTGTCTAGAGAGAGCATTAAGCCAGCTATGAAGAACGGCATTTCACCAGGGAGCTCTGCTGGGTGGAGGCAAGATTTACACACACACACACACACACACACACACACACACACACACACACCTGCCAGAGAAGGACTCCAGGTAGATGTGGGCCACAGGTCTGGCCCCAGCACTCAGAGCTGGGGTGGGCCTGTCTGTGTGCAGTGAGCAGCTTTAAAGCCTGAGGCCTGTATTAGCCTGCAAAGGCTGAAAAGGCTCTGGAGGAAGAGAGCTCTGCCTTCACCAGAGGGTATAAGTCTGAGGTTGAAGTGCCTTCTGGTAGGTTCGGAGAGGCTCTTGATTGACATCTGCTATTGTGAGAGTCACGCAAAAAGGTAGGAGAGGCTTTATTTGGACCCTTAGAGGAGGGTTGGGCAGTTTGACCTGCCCCACACTGTCCCTGAATGCTCTGGCACTTGGGGCTTCCTTAGGCCCAGCAGGACAGGGATCCGTAGCCCTGGCACCTTCTTAGCACTGTCTTGTGCTTCTCCTCGTAACCTGCAGGACCAACCTGGGGTTCTCAGGTTGGTCCTGCAACACCACGGAATGATGGCCTATGGAAGTCCATGCTAGAAGCTCATGCTAGAAGAAAGGATAGTGGTATCACTTGTGTTCCACAAAGAGCCTGAGCATGAGTCAACAGCCACCAAAAGTGTATGTACTGTTTTCAAGTTTTATGGCAGTTATCTGTCAGCCCTTGTTGGAGGACAAGTAGTAACAAGGGTCACTGTTTAAGAAAAAAAGCACAGAGAAAAAGAATACTGAGAAAATGTGATCATGATGTTTTGGGGATTGGAGTTTAAAAGATACAGTTCATATTTAACCGTCAATATCAAGTCTTTGAGAGTCCCTTTCACATGATCTGTGGCTCATTAGCCCAGGATCGACAGGGCTTATCTGCCTGGAGAATAAACTACAGTGAAAACTCTCTCTTCTCCCACCTGGAATATCCACATAGGAGACAAGGGGTTAAGAATCCCTGGGTCCTTGCTTGCCCAGCTCAGTACTTTCTGCCTCTGCTTACATTCATGAGCTCATGTCTCACCCTCTAGTCCTGAGTGAATAGAAAGGAAGTCCAGCTACTGTCTCCTTATCTGTGTGTCCCGGATATACCCGAGACCACAACCCTTAAAACCAGAGGTGCACAGTCTGTAGGGACAGATAGCAGGTTAGGCTGCCTAGGGATAAAAGAGTTGGGGAGAAAATGGGGAATGACTGCTAATGGGTATAGGCTTTCTTTGGCATTCTAAAACTGTGGTGATGGCTGCATAACTGCGAATATGCTAAAAACTATTGATTTGTATACTTCAAATGGGCCAATTGCCTGATGTGTGGATTATGCCTCAATAAAGCAGTTATTTAAAAAAAAAAAAAACAACAAAAAACAGTTGCTTTAGCCAGGCATGGTGGCACATGCCTGTGGTTCCAGCTACTTGGAAGGTTGAGGCGGAAGGACTGCCTGAGCCCAGCAGGTCGAGGCTGCGGTTGGTTGTGAGCATGCCACTGCACTCCAGCCTGGGTGACAGAGTGAGACTTCGACTCAAAAAATAAAATAAAAATAAAAAAACAGTTGCCGACTCTGCACCCTCAGGACCTTCCTTCACCAGTCACCTGAGTTTGTCCCCAAACCTGCTCTGTCACTTGTGTTGTTCATGCAGCTCAGCGATTGAAATATTAAATGAGCATAAATTTGTTCCATGAAAAAGAAATCAAATGCTTCTGAAAGGTTCTATTAGAAGCAGGTCGATAAGATAGGAGCCTGATGTAGAAAATCATCTAGACAGACTTCTTGTAAGTGCCTTGAGTTTTGGTTTTCTTTAAAGAAATGAAGCCTGGAATTGAAGGATGAGGCACGATTGGTGTCGTGAATTCAAGAAGGACCCAGAGCTGAAAACCTCTGCAGTGCCTGGCTTGGCACTGCATTGAAAAAAGGGCCATCGAAAGATGGGCCAAGGAACGTGCATGTGTTTTAAGTGGAAAAAAAACATTTAAGAGCCAAGCATATGATTTTTAAAGCTCTCCTCATTTCACTACGCTTTTCTACCCAGCATTTGGTCAGAGGTATTCTCTGTATGGGAGCACGACCTTTCAGACAGAATGAGGGGAAAGAGGACACACAGGGAGCACGCGCCTAGGCCCAGGGCTGAAGGAGCTGAGGCTCACAGGGCAGGAAGCCAGGTGACAGATCCAGACTCTCTGCCCAGAAAGTTGGAGCCCACACAGCCCCCTGGGCTGAGGTCGCCTCCTCTGGCTCTCCCTGCCGGGGAGGCCCCTACCTGCGCATTTTAACAGGCTCTCTTTCAGCTCCCGTTTGTCTTTCCGGAGCTGAGCCAGGTGCCCCCGGATTTCCTCTTTCTTCCTCTCGAGCCTCTCCTTCTCCTCCGTGTACCGCTTCACCTCGGCTTCTGTTCGATTCTTGCCGAGTTTGATCTCTACAGACCCAGAGAGGGGAAGCTTCAGGTCAGCTGCTGAATCGGGAGCGCTGTCCCCAACCTACTTCCCAGGCTCAGACCAACCCAGGGCTTTGGCACAAGATCAGAAATGGATGCCAGGCCAACCTAGCAGGGAAAAAGAAGGGACACTGGGCCCACAAATTCTTTGCTGTGTGACCTTGGGCGAGTCTCTCTACCTCTCTGAACTGCTGTTTCCTCATTTACAAAGGATAAAATCAGACTAACTTCTCCAAGTCATGTCCACAATGATCAACTCTCGCCTAGTACAAGCACCTGCAGTGGTTGCCCTCAACCTGTCCTTCACAGGTGGGCTGACACCAGCGGGGGTGGCCACCACAGTGTCAGCGCAGCTTGGTAGGAAGCAGATTTTCTGCTGTTCAGTCTGGATTTTGACAGTGGTGATTCTCAGGGAAGACTGTTCGGGCTCTGGACTCTCCAGCTGCCTCTGCTTTGGGAGAAAGCAAACAAAACTCAGCCGCCAAAGGGGCCCAGAAAGGTGGCCGGGCTCACCTGCTGCGGGATGGCCTGTACCTGCTCCTCCAGGTTCTCTGGAGACTTTATACATAGCTCATCTGGGACAGGACCTGGGTCCGGGTCTGTGGGGAGGGCCTCGGCTGGATTGTCCAGGCAGGTCAATATGGGGGAAGAGGCCCGGGCCTGTGCCCCACTGGGGCTGTGCAGAAAAGACTTGACGGGCGTGAGGTCCAGGTACACTCGGTCAGACTCGCTCTCACTTGGAGCATCTGCAGCATGGGTGGCTTCTTCGGTAGGTTCCACCTGCAGAAGAGTGAATCAGGTGGCCAGCGCCATTATCTCCGATGCCTCAGCTGTGGAGGGGACACCAGCCCTGCCTCAGAGCGCCTGTCTCCACCCCAGGCTGGAGTTCCCAGAGACCTCCCTCCCTCCTGGGGAGCACCTGTCGAGTCCCAGATATGCCGGCTGGAAGACCCAAGAGAGAGCACTGGGCTTCTCTGAACCTCGTTTCCTCAACTGTAAAGAGAGGAAAACAGCAGTGCCTTCCTGGAAGGTGGTTAGCATAAGGGAGATCATCTGCACGAAGCCCTTGGCTCAGCCCAGAGCTCAGTGCCCAGTGCCCGGCAGCTCCCAACTGTGGGATCACCCAGCCTCAACTTTGGACCTTGAAGGCTAATGGTGTCACCGTTCTCAATCCCAGTACCACATCCTGACTCCTAGCACTGACCAGGGAGATTAACAGGCTGTTTCAATCAAAGTTCCAAGCCAGGTATACTGCACAGCCTCACATATAAAAGATAACCCTGTTGCGCTTAGGTGTCTGCACTGATGGCGCTTAGGTGTCTGCGCCGATGGCCCTTGAGATGACTCACTTATCTTAAGGACAATCTAACGATCCCCAACGTCCAGGCCCTGAGGTTTGGCAGGAGGAGGACTGTCCGACCCAGGTCACTGCCTGGCTGGGTCCTTACCGCAGCGGTCAGCTCTGAAAGCTCCACATCGTCGTACAGCTCCTCCTGGCGATCCTGGCTGGGCAGGCCGTCGATGTATGTGTTGGGCTCTGAGAACTTCCTCTGCATCAGTCTGGAAGACACGGCAAAACACAGTGTGCATGAAGCATCCAGGACCAAGCAGTGAAAGCACCAGCTTCAAAGGAGTTATGAGGACGAGCAGTGCTGTGGAAGGCTGGCGACACAAGAGATCTGGGGATGACACCCACCTCCATGTGTCTGGAGGCATTTCCTTCCTCTTTGCCCAGTGCTTTCTTCCTAGAACTCTCAGTTCCAGAATTTCCTCCCAGAAAAACCAGCTGCCCTTGCCCTGTGCCATCTTCTCCCCCAATTCTTCCCCTCTAGGCTCCCCTTCTAACAGCAACAGAAACCCTTTCTCATTCCATCTTCACAGTACACGTGGGGCAGCACAGACCAGATGCTAGCCACATTTTGTAAATAAGAAAATGGATTCCAGTCAGACATGGTGCTTGTAATTCCAGCACTTTGGGAGGCTGAGGTGGGAGAATTGTCTGAGCCCAGGAGTTTGAGACCCGCCTGGGCAACACAGCAAGACCTCATTTCTAAAAAAAACCCTCAAAAACAGTTAGTTGGGCATGGTGGCATGTGCCTCTGGTCCTAGCTACTCAGGAGGCTGAGGGAAAAGGATTGCTTGAGCCCAGGAGGTCGAGGCTGCTATGAGCCATGATTGTGCCTGCACTCTAGCCTGGGAGACAGAGTGAGACCATGACTCAAAACAAAAAACAATAGGATTCTGTTTCAGGGGCTCAGTCAGCTCCCACCAGTCTGGAGCTACCATCCTGACCCCAGAACACTTCTCCCTGAGCCCCAGTTTGCCTGTCTGGAAAGGAGAAGCACCACCTTCTGCCCTACTTATTCTAGGGTGTGCGGAGGACCTGGTGAAGTGAGGGATCCAAGGGAACTTCCCAGTTGACAAGAAGAACAGGTGGAAGGCCAGGAAAGGGGACGACTCTGCTTTAAGGAGTTGGAGAGTGTCTAACCACCCAATGATGTCGCAGGCACAGCCTGGCCCAGCTCCTGGCTATCAGCTGGGCCTCCCTGAGGGCAGTCCTCAGCCTTGGAGCCTGTGCTCTGAGCAGCCACCCTGCTCTGGCTGACCACCAGAGGCCAGTCTAGGCCCAGGGTCTAGCAGCATGGCTGGGAATGGGAAGGTACAAAGTGGAAGGCCCCTTATTACTCACAGGAGAGAGTTTTTGGCCGCACTCACAATACAGGAAACCCTGTCGGCATCCACATAGTCATAGGTGAACTCTTCTGGGTCTGTCCTAGAGCCTGACTCAGAGAGCAGGAGGCCCAGCCAGTGGCCCATTTCCTCGGACGACTTGGCCTGGAAGGAGGCCGAGAGAGACATGAGCAGGCTGGGGTGCGCTGCTGGTGCCAGCCCTTCCCACCACGGCCACCACGGCACCCCTGTCCCATCCCCTCCCATGCAGGCCTCTGTGACAGTCTGGAACCATCTCCCTCATGTTTACCAGCATGTCCCATCCAATGGCCCCAAATATTTCCTAGTCAGTGACTTTTTCATGCCACCTCAGTAATCCAGGTGTCACATGTGATTTATGTATGTGTTTTCCAGAAGGCAATAACTACTATTAGTTATCACTAGGTGATCACTATTAAAAATTGTTCAAATGATCACCCGTTAAAAGCGTTTAGGGTTATTAAGTATTAAAACATTGTATGTATTTTAGATTGACACCTCTGTTTTATGAAGGTTCACACAGAAGTTTATCACCCTAATCCCATACATGTAAGACTGCCTGGATCCCTACTAAGAAGCAACAACATTCACATTTATTTTTGTTTATGGCTTCAATAAAATAAAGACATCTTAAACCCCTTATACCAGCTCAATTGCTAAATGACCTAAATTCCAGTGAATCTAGCACTTGTTTTTTTCCCCCAGGGGATAATGTATTCTTATCAAATACATACATTGAGTTCTCCGACTAAAATGCCAACACTGCTTCTTGTCTTTATAACAAAAAACTGGGTATTCCATAAAAGCTACCGATTTATTTCAGCTACCCCTTTGGCATTATCCCCTCAGCTCCACTACCCTTGTTGCTATCACGTCTCAATCAGAGAGGCAGCGATAAACAATTTGACATTTCCGTTGGTTTCCTTTCCCCATTTAGTTTTGACTGGATTCTCAAAACAGCTTTTCACAGGCATCTCCTAGTTCCTACTGCCACCATTTCCACCCTGGGCAGTGGTGACAGCTTCCTAACAGGCCTCATGCTCCCCTTCCACTCGTTCCCCCCCACCCCGCCCCCGGTAACAGGAGGAAATCACTCAAAACTCCAATCCGAGCATGCCACCCTTCCTTGAAACCCTTCAGGACGCCACTGCTCCTGGGATCCAGCCTTGTTCTTTCCCTCCAGCCTGACATACACCCCCCTCCCCGGCCCCTCCCCTCCCCTGTGCAGATTCACAGCACTTCCCTGCCGCTTCCCAGCAACCGTAGCGAAGTGATTCGTTCAGTAATTCGCTGAATAACACACTCTCAAACTAGGATGTAAGTTCCACGAGGACAGGGAGTATATATTTATGTGTCCATCATACGATTGTACTGAAGAGATAGTTTGCTGTCTGAGGACCCATGAATGAGTGAATGAATGTAAGCCGGCCCCTGGGAAGCAATGGGGATGTGGGTCTTTCAGCCACCAGAGGGCAGTACAGCAGCAAAGTCTGGCGAGCAACCTCTGCCTGGATAAAGACTACATGAATGGGAGATCTGGGCAAGTGTGTGTTTCTGTGTGTGGAAAGGACTCTGCCTGTCCCAGCCTGAAAGGCATTATGTCACCTCTTCTTTTTGTAAATGTAACCTCAGATCAAAGAGCGGGTGGGGAGTTGCAGGAATGTCATTGTATCACAAAGCTCATTCTTCCTTCAGATAAGCTTCAACAGTCATCATTTTAATGTACTGAGCCTACCAGGCTCTCCCATGGGTGACACCCAAACGCAATAGTACCCGCTTGAATCCCCAGCAGCTCTTCCAGCAGCTCAGGGAGCTATAAATAAACACTCCTCCTGCCCTAAGTGCAGGAAGTAGCTCATTGTCCTACTCCTAAAACACAACCACCCTGAGTCAGAAAAGGAATGGAAATTTTAAAAAATGCAAACAATCTCAGGCAAAGGAAGTAAAAATAACGTGCGGTGACATTGATTCTCCCTTGGTAGGATTACAGTCCTCAAGACTGGCAGCAAACAGCTGCGACGGCCCCACCCTGGCTAGCCCTGCTGCCTGCCCCATGGGCCAGCGGTACCTCAAGCTTGGCCAGCTCCTCGCCCTTGTGGAGGATGCGGAAGGAGTAGAGGTGGTCGGGGTTCGGGTCTGGGACCACCTCACAGCCCGCTAGGCTTAGGGGCTGCTGGGCCACCTTGCTCCGGTTTCGGTCCTGGTAGAAGTGCAAGTGATTGTCCCTGACGGAGCACCAGCGAGATTTCCACTGGCTGTTCACCAGCACGTTCAGGTAACCTGCAGGGGGAGATGCAGACATAGGAGAGGATGCATCTGCAGGAGGGGATGCACCTGCATGAAAGGGTGTACCTGCAGGAGGGAGTGCACCTGCAGGAAGGGGTGCACCTGCAGGAGGGGATGAACCAGCAGGAGGGGATGCACCAGCAGGAGGGATGCACCTGCAGGCAGGGGCACACCTGCAGGAGGGGGTGCACCTGCAGGAGGGATTGCACCTGCAGGGGGGGTGCACCTGCAGGACGGAGTGCACCTGCATGAAGGGGTGCACCTGCAGGAGGGGCTGCACCAGCAGGAGGGGCTGCATCTGCAGGAGGGAGTGCACCTGCATGAAGGGGTGCACCTGCAGGAGGGGCTGCACCAGCAGGAGGGGCTGCATCTGCAGGAGGGAGTGCACCTGCATGAAGGGGTGCACCTGCAGGAGGGGCTGCACCAGCAGGAGGGGATGCATCTGCAGGAGGGAGTGCACCTGCATGAAGGGGTGCACCTGCAGGAGAGGGTGCACCTGCAGGAGGGGCTGCACCTGCTGGAGGACATGGGTGGACAAGGCGTCCACAACTGGCACCACCTCTGGGCCTCCTGAGTCCCTCCCAGGATCTCAGTTTCAGAACCTCTCATGCCGTTCTCATCTCATGGAGGCTGTGAATCTCATGGTGCATTTTTTTCTTCCTTTGTGTCAGCAGCTAGGCCCTTAGAAGGTGGGCAGCCCAGCAGTACTAGTTTTGAGCAAAGGTATGTCCAGAGGGTAGTGAGCCGTGTCCTCGATTAGACCAGGCCTGGTGTACAGGGTAGAGGGTCCCCACTCTGGGGCCCCAGCCCACAGAGGCCTCCTCCAGCCTCTGATCACTCAGGTCACTGGGGCGGGAAACTCGCCCAGTCTCCTTGCTGTAGGTTCAATCCTGTTGCCTCCACTACCTTCATTTCCTCAGTTTCTGGCAGCCTTTCCATCCCTGAGCCTCTCAGACTCAGCCTGAAGGGCCCAAGTCCCCTTCAACCTCCCAGATGCAGCTGCCTAGGGTCCCTCCCTGGGTCCTGATGCCTTGCTCTGTCTTCTGCTAGGACACTCAGATTCCCATACTTCTGCTTCTACGTGGGCCTCCCCAACTGGACACAGTGTTCTTCCAGAGGGCAGGAACTGTGCCATTTCCTCCCCAGTGCCCAGGGTCTGTTTCCTGTGGCCCCTCTCCCCAGGGTCCCATGTTTCTCTGTGGCACACAGAGGCTGCTAGCATCAGGGTATACTATCATGCCATCCGTCACTGTTCTCTAATGGTAGCACGTGTTGGGTTCAGCTTCCCAAGGAGAGGACAAGCCTCTCACCCTCCCAACCCCCATTAGATGGCTATTAACTGAACTGATAACCATATATAAGTGCAGTGTTGTCCTGGGGACTACAAAGATGAGTAAAATCCAGCCTTCAGGACCCTCTGCATGCCCTGAGCGCGGTGGGTTGTCATCTCTCTGAGCTCCTCACCTTCCCAGAGGCACTGGTCTACAAAGCAGATACCTTTCCTATCCTAAGGAGCTGGCAGCTGCTCTGAACTTTAACAGGATAAACTGGACAACTGGATACACAATGGGCATCAAGAATATCTCCCATCCATATTAGCATCTCCTCACAGTAGCAGAGTGGAAGACTTAGAGATCAGGACCTAGGAACTCTGATTCATCCAAGAAGATGCCATGCATGCCCATCACAGTCCTCTGGACCAAAGAGAGCTTTGGGTCAAGAGAGGTGGGAGCTCAGCTCTCAAGCAGCTTGAGTCCTAGGAAGGAGAGCAGCTGTGTCCTCTCTCGCCCTTCCTCCAGCCATGGGGGACAGGAGCATGCTTAGCTGTTGAGAAGACACTCACCCATAACCCAGCCAAGTCTCCCAACAGTGACTCTTTGGGGCCAGGCTGCTGTGCCATCGTACCCTCTGAGGCTGCAGGGGCCAGCAGAATTGGTTACTGCCCAGTGCTCTGGTCGGAGAAGCAGGATGCTCCAAAACTAAGGCCTTGTTTGCTGCCTTTCCACCCTACCTGGCTACTCTGCCAGCCTCAAAAAACAAGAGAACCTAACTGGGACTCAGAAAAAGAGCCCAGGAATGGGCTAGGGATGGCCTTCAGGCTCATAGCAGTGAGCCCCAGCCTGGGGATCAAGATACCAGGCTCAACCCAAGCTATTTCCAGGAAAGGCGTATCCCCTCTCCTGGCCTCAAAGTCCCTAAGTATCAGGGAGGCCCTAGAAATGACCTCTAAGAGCCTACCAGCACCCAGACCCTCTGCACCAGCAACTTGGGGTTCTCATTGTACCCTAATAGGTCTTGCTGGGTCCCGTCTCAGTCTTAGCTCTTGCCCATGGGCATAATTCCAGCCCATTCAGTTCCCTGGCCCTCCAAGGCTCAGGTTCACAAAGCCATCTCTGACCACAGGGCAGGAAAGGCTCCCTCTGTTCTGAGTCCTCACAGCTACGAAGATGGCACAGCATGCACTTACGAGTGTAAAGCCATCATCTCCCCAGGGCTGTGAGCACTCAGTCCTGTGCCTGCCATCTGCTTGGTCTCCTTTCCCTAACACTGTGTCTGCTATACCCCATCTATGTAGATCAAATGAACATCATTTCTGAAAGAAGTCTAGGAGGACACCAATCAGTCACCCTTCACTTCCACAAATAACCCAGCACTGCAGCTAGAGAGCGTCTGGTTGGGCCTAAAGAGCTGCCTGCAGTGGAAACAGACAGGAACTGAGGGCTGTGGGCTCTCCTCCCTAGAGACGTTGAAAGCATAACCCGAAATCCCCTGAGCCTGCCTTCCTGGATGCAGGCTCCAGCCTAGTCAACCAGACCCTGGTCCTGGAGGTGGCTACAATTCTTACTGGATGTCTCGAGTGACCTCTCGGGAGGCTCCAGCGAGGTGGATTTCTTCCTGCCCAGGTTCATGAGGTTACTCAGTTTAAGGCCAGCAGAACATTTCTTCTTGACTGCCAAGATGAGGGAGAAAGCAGTTGGCATTGCACACAGTTCCTCTCTATGCCCACAGGAGATGGAAGAAATAGCAAACCCATCCCCAGTATACCTTTCCACCTCTCCCCCACCTGCTACATGCACACAAAGATGTCTGGTTCCCAAACCAGGATCCGCAGGTAAGAGTCAGGTATCTAAAGTTACACACTGGAGAGGGATACACAGACTTCTCATGGAATATGTAACCACTTGAGAATCTTTACAGACTATACTGACTCAGAGATTTGAAATAGGGTTATAGCAAACAGGAAGAGATGGAAAAATATTCTATCCCCAGCATTTCATGAAGCTTAACTGGATTTGGCCATCTCTCCTTTTTTTCTGGATCTATCAGCTGTGGTATTTCCGATAGTTTATTAGTAGAAGGTAATGTTAGAATCAGCTACTAAAACTCATTAGGATTGAGTCAGGTGGCCAGGTTGCACCCTGGAATACCATCCCCCTCCCAACTGCAAGGCTGAGAACCGTACGCATTGTACCATCTTTGGTTTCTGGGACCTCGAGGTGGCCATCCACGAAGCCCCCATGCTCTGAAGCCGACAGGTACTTCTCAGTTATATCTGGCTGTGAACAAAAGAGAGGTGATTGGGGACCATGAGCTGGGAACGGTTACCTCGGCGGTCACAAGTTAAGAAAAGATAATAGATGGCTCTTGGGTACAGACCAGAGGCCACCTGACCAAATCCCCAGGGGCCCCCAAACAGCAGAATCCAGGTCACGGGCAGGACATTGTCCCAGCTTCTCTCTGAGGCTCTCGGGAGCACCTGCCCTTACCCTCCCCTTCCTGAGGTTCCCTGCCCTGGCTCAGAGCACCTTCCCCATCGTCTTGCACAAGTTCTCCAAATGACCGCTCCACCTGACGTGATGGAGCAGCTGCTGCTGCTGTCAGAACGTGAAGCACTCAGAATATTCCAGGCACACTCCTGGAGAACCACCTACTCCAGACCTCTAGAAAACAAGATGACGGACTCCTAAGCAACAGGACCAGCCTTAGGCAGGGTCCAGGGAAGCCCTGCATGCTCAGTCCAGGGACTGTTCTTGGTTCTTACCCTGATGTGAAGAAAAACCAAGTTCACTCCAACTTTTGTTTCCTTGTGAGCGGCCAAGGAATGAATGAGACAGTGGGAACATCTACCACCCCCCACCCCCACCCCCATTCACTCTGGAAGGGCTATGGGCATATCTCCCCATGGATTTCCTGCGTAGCCCTGGAGAACGGACGGCCTCCTCCCTGCTCAAGTCTGTGTACCTCTCGCTTTCCTCCCTGACAGGGGTGGAGGCCCCAGATTGAGTCACAGTGAGCTTCCAGCTCTTGCGCACATGCCGATGCTTCAGGGTACCTACCTGCAGATACTCAGGGACATAAAATATGACCCCACAGCTGATGGCCCTCCCTTTGGCCAGTATCCAAGCCAACTTCCTCGACCTGGACCCTTAAGCCCAAAGCTCCCCCAAAGCTTTGCAAATGAGCACTCAAGCCCTTCGGCTGGGATCAGCATTGAGAAAGTGCCCCCACCTGACAGCCCGACTGGGGTATAAGGGCGGGGGAGCACTTCATAAATAAGTCTCCCTGCTTAAGAATGCAGGACGAAGTTGCTTTTGTTCCAATAAAGCTTCCCTCCTTCAACAAGAAAATATTTTAGGGCTGTATGAATTTCATCTGCTTTCCTGCCAAGCTAAAGTCACTGTTCACAGCTCTTATCTAAGCATTGTGTATTTCCTATTAATTGGGCTGGGATGCAAAAACAAAGCCCCCAATTTTACGCTTTTCAATTTCGCAAAAAAACATGGAGTAGTATTGTCCCTGCGGATAAGGGGAGAGGCTCACCTTCTGGCAGTGTAGACGCTGGCCATCTGGGGTACACCCCTCGGATGAGCCTTCAGAAGGCAGACCGCTTACCTCCTGGATGACCTGAAGTGAGAAGAAAGCTGTCAACAGTGGCCCAGGGCTCTGCAAGGTTCTTCAGCCTGTACTCACCAAGTCAGAGCCCATCTAGGTCAGGGGAGAGAGGGTGGAGATGAGAGAGAAGATGCTGGATTTCCAAGGGACAGAGACCTGGCTCACAGCCCACATGTGGCCGCAGGCTGCGGTGGGATGGGCTTGCTGCTTCGGCCCCTTCCTACAGGTCCCACACATTCAGGGACGTGTGAGGAGGGCCTTCGCAGCAAAGCCCAAAGATGACCAGAGGAGTCGGCCCTGGGCTCCACGGAGCCCTTCCTGTCACACCATCCTGGGTAGGGAAGCTCTTCTGTTGTGGGTGTGACGAACAGCTGCGTGTGCTGGATGGTCCCCTGGCTTTTGGGGGGTCGCATGACTCTCTGTGGAGTCTCTGTTGCTTGGGGAGCAGGCCTGCAAACTGCCTCAACTTGGCCACTGGCTCTCCAGACTTGCCTGCTGCTGTCCACCCGCCCTGCTCTGGGAAGGAAGCTTATCACTGGCTCCTGGGATCTGTGCTGGGGGCAGCTGCTGAAAGTCAGTGGGGGTGGCTCTGCCTACACTAAGCACACCCTGTTCTGAGCCAGGGACCACCAGGGGAATTCCCAGGGCAACCATAAACACAGTGCCCATCCAGAAGCCCTTTAGAGGTATAGAGTTAGCAAGAGCAATTCCAAAGACCCTCGTTTCCAGTTTCTGCCTGGAGCAGTTTATGGAAATGGATTTAGATCAGAAGAACCAGAGGAAGAATAGCTAAACTGGGAAGCAAAGCTTTTCTCACTTCTTAGAATGACTCCAGTTCCAGACTGTGGTCCATGCTGAATATACAAAGCAGTGTCATGGGAAGAGTGCAGGTGCTGGGGACAGCAGACCGGCTATGTGGCCTTGGGCCTGAGCCTCAGTCACTGCATCTGTAAGCTGGGACAACAGCTCTGCCACAGGGTGGCTATGAGGACTTGTGTGTGAACTGCTCCACACAGAGCAAGTACGTTTATTACTGTCCCTGTCAGGTCCTGATTACACGGGCGTCCCTGCCTCGGGGAAGCACCATGAAGCCAGGAGTTCGGGCTCAAGGTCAGGTGTGGGGGTTTCTGCTTCACTGGAAAAGCCCTCCCTTGCGCCTTCTTTTTCTGGGACCCTTGTCCCATACTCAGCATCTCCCATCTATTGTCATATACCTGTCTCCCCCTGGGCACAGGTGCAACTATGCAGAATTGGGGCACAGAGGTCCAAGGAAGGTAGGGAGCTTTGAGAAACCTGGAGAATCTGCTGGAGAGGCTGACCAGCCCCTGCTGCCAAACTGCGAGAGTGAGCAGCTTCTCCAAGCAGGCACTTCCAGCCAAGTCCACCTCTATGTGCTCATCTGAGAGGGGTGGGACCTGGGGGACTGAGAGATAAAAAGCTCTCTGTAAAGGTTGGACACTTTGTAGGGGCGGGGGTCTCAGGAAGAGGGTATGAGGGTTCGGGGAGGGAGGCTGAGGGGGTCAGGGGAAGGATCAATGAGTCTGAGCAGTGCTGGGAACTGGGAGCAAAAGCAGTGTGTGGGGGGTGTGTATGTATATGCGTGCATGCACATATATGTGCATGCAAATGTGTGTGCATGCATATGCATATATGCTTATACAGGTGCAAATGTGTGCATGCATGTGTGTGTGTGCAAGTATGTGTGCATGATGGATAAGCATAGAGACAGAAGACTAGGGTGAGAGAAGAGAGTTAGAAAACCAAACCAACAACCCAGAGCCCTGGATCCTACTCAGCTCTGCAGCCCAGAACAATCCCCTCACTTTCCCTGGGCCTCAGTGGTCGCTGTACTATCTAAGTTTCTTAGGGCACTCAGTACATACCAGGCACAGTATTAAGCACTTGGTGTGTATTAAAGGAGCCAACGAGACATCACTGAGCTATAAAGAGAGAAGCCAGGATTTGAACCCACAGCCCTGGCTCTCAAGTGCCCAGGCTCAGCCTTTCAGAGCTTGTTAGCCCTCCCAGGGAACACCCCCCCCCATGGAGATCTGGGCAGCCAAATCACAACCCTTTGTGTGCAGTGGCCCTTCTTGTTCTAGCCCACTGTCATGAACCACCTGAAGGTTTTGCAGTAAAGATTGAGGTACCTGTCAGCACCTCCTAGAGGCTCGGTTAGGCCAGGGCTAGAGATCTCAAAACAGTGGGTTCATAAAACAGCCTGCCTGCTCCAATCTGGGGTCTCAGCCCCAGGGGTGGGCCAGGACCTCGGGCAGGTACTATTTTCAGTCATGCTTTACTAAGGTGGTTATGTGTAGCCAGGGTGGAGGGTGGGCATAACGCTCCTGTGCTGAAATGGCCATGATGGCAGAGTGGGCAGCAGGAGGGAGGGGAGGGGCTGCTCTGGCTCTTACCGGTCTCACCTGCTGGGCTTGGAGATGCCTCTGGAATTGTGAGTCCCTTCTTAGTGCAAACCTTGTACCTCCTGGAGTCGTCAAGCTCATCCTTCACATGGGCAGGGAAGCCTCTCCCCAGATGTCTCACCATCATGGCTCGGGGAATTATGGGCAGAACTGACCACATGCATTTGTGTGGTAGGAAGCACAGCACTGTCTTCCTGTCTGACAGGACTATAAATCCAATGCTGCCACTCACTTGCCAGGTGACTTTGAATGGTCACCACTATACCCTCTGAACCTGTATCTCCACTCTTGTAAAATGGGGATATTAACACTGTCCAGCTGTCCCAAGTGTGGTCAGGTGGGTTAAATCTCTTAAAGCCCCTGGTCTGTAGCAAATACATAACAAATGGCAGCAACATCTAGTCTTCTTTAATAAGGAGGCTAGTGCTGCCCCATTAGAGGCAAAAAGGAAGTGGGTTTCAACTACACCCAAGTCCAGGCTACTGAGAGGAATCCAGACCTAGCAGAGGCATGCTGTAACCCATTCCCATAAGACTGATCACTACCTCTTGGAACACCAGAAGCCCTGTGAACTCAAAGGCTCCCAGACCTCTACACTCGACCACATCATCTGTCCCTTTAGAAAAGCTGGGAGCCACAACTCCATGAGCTCCCCCCATCCTGCGTGGCCTGGCGTCTCCCTCACCCTGAGCCACTGCTCTGCCTGGTCCTTGCTCTGCAGCCCCAGCACGATCACGTCGGCATTCATTGGCGTGATCTTCAGCTTGTGCTCCTTCTTCCGCACTTGCTTCTCCTTGTGAACCACGCTGCTGCCCAGCAAGTTCACGTCCAGCTGAGGGCTATGGTCCTTGGAGGATTTGTAGCACTGGAAGGAAAGAGAAGATACACCACTTTGTCAGAGGGGCTGCTGGACACTGCAGGATGCACCCAGAACCTGGCTTTGCCCAGCGAGGCTGAGAGGCTAGACACCCCAAAGCAGGCCCGGAGCCTTAACCTCAAACATCAGCAACCCTTGTTCTTAACATCAGATGGTCCCCTTCTCCTGCAAGCCTCCTCCCCACCAGCTCAGTCAGGGATGCTCCAGGCCTGCTATCCAAATGGCTCAAACTTGCTCCAGACCTGGGGGCTCCTAAAAATACATCCTCTGTGGACAGTGTCCCTTGTCCAAGGTGGAACACTTGCACTGTTTCTCTACCTCTGTATTGCTTGTTGACCCCTCCAGTGATCCACAGGGTATGACAATGAGGTTTATTTTCTGCCTATTTAGAAAGATGGGGTGTTTGCAAAGAAAGGAAGGGACTTTCTTCCCCATCAGAGAAAACACTTTGCCCCTCAGTTTCTCATTTTTAAAATGGGGGTCCTTCAGGGTTCTTAACAGGATTACCTGAAATAATATTTGCACAGAGCAGGGTATGTTGTGACCAGTGACGAAAGGGTGTTTGTAATAATTCCATGGAACTTCAAATCAGGACATAAAACTGAGCATTTTAATTTAAAATAGCAGGAATCTGTTGTCAGAGTAGTATCTTCTGGTTCCTTTTTGGGTCATGTCTTACAATCGGTAATTCCAAATTATTGTAGCTTCTGAGAAGATACCTGGGATTGTCATGCTGCACAGATGAAAGCAGTAGCCACAAGTGGGGCTGGGGGCTGCTCTGGGGGGGAGCCCTGATACATCAGTGGTCAGATGTGAGGAAGGACCAGGGGACAGGAAGATGTGCCTCAAAAAAATGGAGAATGGGATGGGATAGGAAGGGATGGGAGGGGGGAGGTGGTGGTAGTCACAGCCCCCTTTGAGAGCCTGGTGGAAACTGCTAGATGTTTCTAGTTCAGAAAAAGCATACTCATCCATACACACAAAATGCTGCACACAGCTTCAGGTTAGGGAGAGGTTAAAGTCTCCTGATAGAAATAGGCTCGAAACCCCCCGTATCAGCACCATCCTGTCCTCCCTTCCCTTCCTCTCAACCCGTAGGACAGAAAGTGGGGACATGATGGGAGGTGAACTGACCAGGAGCCTGGTGTCCCTGATGACACAGAGCTGCTTCGCCCATTGCCCCAGCCACTTCTTGCGCCACAGGAAGGCGCAGATGCGGGCGTCACGCATCAGCTCGATGCTGGCCTCAGGCGAGGGCCACTGGTACGGGGCCGACTTGCCCTTGCTGCTGTCCTCTTCATCGTAGGACTCATAGGAGCTGCTCACAGCCTCTCCATCCTCTGCAAGAAAGATCTGCTCAGTCAGGGCCCCGCCGGGCAGGGAACGGTCCCAAACCAGCGTCACCGGGGAGGGCAGCAGGCAGCAGGCAGGGGCAGCGGTGGCGGTCAGGCCACAACCCCCTCCTCTCCGTGCCCTCGAGCCAGCCCCACAGCCACCAGCCAGAGACTAGGGCTGGCTTTCCTTTCCCTAAACCCCGTCCACGAGGCTTCTTGGATGCTGACCGTGGCCACAAAACACAAACAACTTAAAACCAGAAGTCTCTCCCTTTTCCTCTTCAAATCCTGTCATCTCAGACTCCACAGAAGCTCCTAGAGGATACTGCCCCACAGACCGACTGCCTGCTCTTAAGAGGGCCAGTTCTACTCTGGGACTCTATTTTCTCAAATGAAGAAGAAGCAGGTGGGTAGGGATTTTTCCAGGTTCTTCCAAGCCTGGCGTTCTGCCATTCTAAGGCGTCAGGAGGAAGAGGATGCCATCTGAGCTCCAAGCTGTGTGCATGGCAGGCCTCTAACAGCCTCCTACCAGGCTAGGCCTGGTTCTGTCCCTGATTCGAGAAAGGAGCAACGGCTCCTTAGAAATAAAATGCCAAATAGACTGGGTGCAGTGGCTCATGCCTGCAATCCCAGCGCTTTGGGAGGCTGAGGCGAGAGGATTGCTTGAGGCCAGGAGTTTAAGACCAGCTTAGGCAACATAGTGAGGCCTCATGCCTACAAAAAAATTTTTAAAAATAGCCTGATGTGGTGGTCTGTGCCTGTAGTCCCAGCTACTTGGGAGACTGAAGCGGAAGGATCACTTGAGCCCAGGAAGTCAAGGTTGTGGTGAGCCATGAACATGCTACTGCACTCCAGCCTGGGCAACAGAATGAGACCTCCAACTCAAAAACAAACAAAAAAAATACCAAATAAGCTGCATCAGGACATGTTCTCTAGGGAAGGGGTTCACCCTATTACCCATAGCTACAGCCCCTAAAAAAAAATCCACTCATACCCTCCACAGCCTCTGCCCCTTCCTCCCTGCTGAACTCCTCCTGGCATGAGCTGAGCTTTTTTTACTGTTTCTAAGCAATACCCTTCCTCTGCCTCTGGCAATAGCCAACCTCACATTTTTGTTGTTTTGAAAGAACTTCAAAACTCACCAAAGCATACATCATGCATAAGTCCATGCACAGTCCACTTGCCTCAGTTTCTACGTTCTGCCCCCGTCACCCTGCAAGAGTTGTTCTGTTTCCAGGCCCCACGGCTCTTTCAAGGCCAACAAAAATAATGAAGAAAATCACTCAATAAATCTTCCTGTCCATCTGTCTGTCCATCCATCCATTCATCCCTGAAAAGCAGGGCATAAAGCCAGGTGCAGCGGCTTGCACGTCTAGTCTCAGATACTCAGGAGGCTGAGGTAAGAGGATCACTTGAGCCCAGCCCAGGAGTTCAAGGCTGCAGCGAGATATGCTGGCACCACCACACTCCAGCCTGGGCAACAGAGTGAGACGTTCATCACTCAAATAAAAATTTTTTAAAAGCATGGAGAAAAGAGAACCTTAGGATCTCAGTCCCTAGATCAGCACAAGAATCCTGTCTGTTATAACCTTAATGCTCTATCTGAATTCCTCATGGACAGGGAGCTCACTACTTCCTGAGCACTGGACACTCACTTCCTTGCATTTCCGGGTAGCCCCAACAGTTAGAAAATGGGCCCAACTTTTATTTTTTTGTGACTTCTTCATAGCAGCCCTTGTTCTGCTCTCTGGAGTCAGGCTGAAACTGTTCCCTTTCATCACGCTGACATCCTTCAGAAGAGGGCCAGCCCACGAACTCTTAAGTCTTCCCAGAAGAGTCCAAAAGCCCCGTCTCCCATCTGCATAGCTAGGCTCCTGCCTACTAAGAAAGCAGATCACGCTTGAATTAGAACATAGGGAAACGGAATGTGGCCCCTGCAAGTTTTTTCTAGCTACAGTGCCAATGAAAATGTGTTTTATTTTGTTTTACTATTTCTAAAAATAACATTTTAAACATTTTAATATCAGTTTTCTTTCAGAGCAGTGTGGCACTATTCCTCTTTATGGTTTAATTAAAAAGTTGCCCAGTTTATAATTCTATACTTATTAAATAAGCAAAGATTGAAAATAGCCATATACTGCCTAGTAGGGGACCCTGAACTCTCATATTACGGCAGGCGATGTAAATTAACACAAGCTTCTCAGAAAGAATCTGGCAGCCTGTTGTTTCAAGAGCCATAAAAACACCCATACTCTTTGATCCAACAATCCCAGCCCTGGGAGTTTATGCTAAGAAATGAGTTTTTAAAGAAGAGGAGGGTGGAATGTTACATGCATTAAGATATTCATTCAAGTGCTACTTAACAATCAGCAGAAGGGGTCTGGGAAGTAAAGGATGATTTCATCCACTTAGGAGCATACCATGCCATCAATTAAGACTCTAAACCAGTCTACAACTTGATAATCTCCCTAAGATATGATGGTTAAGGGAGAAATTAGAACAATTAGAACTCCATATGCAAAAGACCAGCACTGTAAGGCAATGCAGAGCTCAAACTAGTTGACTTGATAGAGTGGTAGGATTCGGGTGAGCTTTAAACATTTTTTCCTTATTATCAGTATTGTATTATCCGTACAATAAGTGATTTTTTTTTTTTTTTTTGAGTTGGAGTCTCACTCCGTCTCCTAGGCTAGAGTGCAGTGGCACACTCACAGCCACCGCAGCCTCGATCGGCTGGGCTCAGCTGATCCTTTCGTCTCAGTCTTCCAAGTAGCCGGAAATACAGGTGCGCACTACCATGCCCGGTTCATTTTTTATTTACTGTAGAGATGAGTTCTCGCCAAGTTGCCCGGGCTGGTCTTGAACCCACGAGGTCAGGCAATCCACTCGCCTCGGCCTCCCAAAGTACTGGGATTACAGGCTGAGCCACCAAGCCCAGTCAGTAAGTGAAATTTTTTAAATGATACAATGTTATTGGGATTCTTCCTTCAGTAACAAAAATCAGTGGAGGGAGGCTTCAGAGTTTCTTGTGAAGAATCTGGGTAAACTCCTGCTGTTTGGTGCTTCTGGGGTGTCCCTCAAACGCTGCATTCTAACACCTGCCCACCCTCCCACATGTGGGTATCAGAAAGCGAATTAAGAACAGCAAGTCATCATCCTGAAGTAGATTGAAGGAAATTTAGGCAAATGCATTAACGATTTTATTTACCCCCAGAGGGATTATAGCACACCATAAATATAGGGTATTCTTAAAACAGATACTTGGCTTCTAGGGGGTGCAGAGTGAATAAGAATGAAAAACAGGATGCTCCATCCCCATATCTGCCATTTCCCAAGTGAACTGCACCCTGCCATATCCTGCAGAAATCGAGGGCAGAGCAACCATGCCCACTCTGGGTCTGCCATCCGTGTGTTCTGGTGTCACAGGCAGGATTCTATGAAAGGCAGAGTAAGTCACTCCTCTGGAAGGACAGCACACTCGCGTGCACATGCAGGACCCATGCACGAGGACAGAAAGAGGGTAGCAGTCACCCTCAGGGCATGCACCCATATCTGAGAGCCAGGCAGCAGGCAAGGAATCACTGGCATTCCAGCTCTGGGACAAGTAGTACCCAAGGTGATCGTGGCATAAATGACTCCTTCAGGCACCTGCACCCATCTGGGGACTCCAGTGGGGAGAAATCCGCCAAGATGACCTGTACAATATCCAGAAGCACAGATAGAGGCAAGAGGACCGAGACAAGAGAAAGAGAGAGACACCCAAGTGCTGAGACACAAAGAGAGAGACCCGGCTGGAGCAACACGCCCACCTGTCCACTGCAAGTTAGTGCTTGCCTATCGGAGTTGGGGGCTTGAGAAGAGAGATCATTACCGGACCAAGAACATCATTTCCCAGCCCCCTTCACATCCAGAGACAACCATGTGACCACCTGTCACCAATGGAATGTGGGCAGAAGTGATGCATGTTCCTTCTGGCTGACCCTTTTAAGAAGCAGATGGGGGTTCTCTGCTCTCTCTTTGCAAAGGATTCTATGGCCCCAGAGGGTGACTGATCCGAACATGGAAGGATCGTGGGCCTAGACTATATGAGGACTAGTAGTGTCGACCTGAACTGCTCCATGAGTGAGAAACAGAATTTTATTGTGTTGCTAGAAACTGAAACCAGGGGTCATGTGTCACAGCAGCTGGCATTACCTTAGCATGAGGTGTCATCAGTGAAGTAACTGGAGTCTCGGGCAAGCAGGACAGACCCCAGTATCTTCTGCACAGGCCATTAGGGCCCTCACTAACTGTCTGCTTGAAGAGAGGAACCCAACCCAAGGGAGCAGTGTGGCGACACTGCTGCTAAAGTAAGACAGGAATCCCAGCCACTGGCCTTTTGTGGGACTTCAGAAAAATCACTGTTGGCCAACTAGAGCAAGGAGCTGGGCCCAATGCTCATTCCTTCTGCAGCAACCTGTGTGTCACACTGCTCAGTCAGGTGGGGGACAACAGACAGACACTGAGGCCGGGCCAGCTTATAACACAGCCGAAGCCTTCCCTCTGGTGAGTGTGACTGCTTCTCCCCAGGTTGTCCCCAGGCCTCACCTGGCAGGAAAGGCAGGGCTATCTTCCCACCCATCTTGCTATTTATTTCTGCTGCTGAATCTCCTCCAGTTCAGAGCTTTCCGACCCATTCCACGCGGTGAATTCAAGCTGTCCTGGGGACGACCCCCTCGTCTTGGCTACAACCAGTATGAACTCACGGTCAAGAGACAAACACCAAGAAGCCCTGGTCTTTCTGACCACTTGCTTGTGAGGAGATGGAGTGTCTGCACCACAAACAGGCCCCCGGGCACGTCTGGGAGGCAGGCCCTGGCTGGTCCGACCACGACCACACCCAAGAGAGACGGGCTTGGGATACACAGAGGTGCTCGCCGTGGTGAGTCACCGTTTCCACCTTGAACACACACCCAGACGGCAGCACCGCCCCTTCAGCTTTGGTCTGAAATCACGGCCCGGACTGGTGAGGCTGTGCCACCTCGCATGCTCGCTGGGTGACTGCCCACAAAGCCAGCCTCTTGGAGTAGCCTCTGTCCAAACAAGCCCTTGCCCCCCACACGGTTCCCGGGAAGGAGGCAGCAGGCAAGTGTGCAGGAAGGGGAGAAACATCCCACGTTGCTCCAGCCACTGGTCCCGGCGTAGCCCAGTTCACTCTCACATCCCGGGACCCTCGCCTTTTACGTGTGCAAACTGCTTTACGCTCGCAACCCTTTCACTTGAGAAGAAAGGAAAGAGATGGAGGGGTCAAAATGGGAGAACCAGGGTCCGGCTGCCCTGGAAACCAGGGTCACAACCACCTCTTCTGGAACTTTTGGGCCTTTCTGTGTAGCAGAATTTCTACACCAAGAGCAACTCTGATCCCCCTTCCTCAGGCTGAGAACCACTGGCCATGGGCAGAGAGCTTTGGTATGAGCCCTTGCCTGCATGGCTGTTCAAAAGGGCTGGGGTGATTTTTTCAATACCTAAGTGAGGCCAGTCACTAAAGCAACCCTCCAGAGCCTTATAGTCTGTCTCATTCAGAGAAAAGCCAAAGTCCTCCCTGCGGCCTTATCTATGTCTCTATCTCCTGTCACTCTCCCTGCCTTACCTGCTTCTGCCAGTCTGGCCTCCTTGTGTTTCCTCAAACATGCCCAGAGTTCTCTTGCCTGGGGGCCTTTGTAGATACTGTGCTATCATCCTGGAACATTCTTCTGGCAAGTATCTGCCTGACCCACTCCCCACTTCATCAGGAATCTGTCAAGTCACGCCCTCAGAGACGCCTTCCCTCTCCAGAATAACTCTCCTATCCAGCCCTTGTTCTGTTTTCCATCCGAACACTTATCCCCACCCACACATTCAGTTTATCTGTTGACTGTCTTCTCTCTCTGAACCTCAGTGCTGCGACATCCCTGACACATCGTGAGGGATCAGTAACTATGAGACCAATGAAACAGCGGGGAAACTGAGCTCAGGCCTAGCCTGATCGCCACTTCCAATCCTGACCAGGGCCTTGTGACCCTTGGCCAACACACCTCTCCTTCGTCACCTGTCTGTGCCAAATCCAGCAGCACAGATGGAAACACAGAAAATATGAGACGCAGCACACCTGCTCCCTGTGTGCCATCCTGGCCCCTCCCTGCCAGTGGGCTGGGTCTGCTGTGGGTCTTGGCTCCCCATTCAGACCAAAGGCAGGGTGCTGTGTGGCCAGTTCTTGGCTGGGATCACATTCTCTGGCCACAGTGGCCCAGGATGAGCATATCAGTTACCCTAGGTGAGTCGGCACCCATGTCTGCACAGGAATCAGTGAGACCTACTCCTCACCCCCTGCCTGTTGGGATGTACCATTGAGGGATGTGTCATACGGCTCAGCCTCTTCATAGTAGCCCTCTGGAGACTCAATCTTTGGGATGGCGAGTTGTTTCCGCTCTGGAATCTGTGGAATGAACAAATAAGACAAATGATTTTCAGATATAATACACTTGGAGCAACCTGGAATTAACCCTTTGGGAGGAAAGAGGGGGAAGTCCAGAAGGAAAAAAAAATGCCTAACTGGACTTTATGCAAGTTGCGAGGGAGAACACCCAGTCCAGAATGTTTGGTTTGCAGCCGGCGGGAAGGGCTGTGGGCTCCTTGCAGAGACTTGGATTTCTCCTCTGCAAAAATGCGGCTCAAACTCCCTACTTCACACACAAAATGTCATTATTCACATGATGCATCATGTACTTAAAAGGTCCAGAGAGTGTCAGGCTATTGCAGTAGCTATCACGGCTTTTTAATAAAATATACTTTCTAAAAAGACAAGAGCTAACCAATGGCACATGGAGAAAGAGATTCAGGTTTCTAAGTCCCACACTTTTACCAAAATAGAATTCAATCACTCATTCAGCAAATAATGGATGGCTGCAGTGTTCTTGCTGAGAGGACACATCTAGACTGCAGGAGTCCGTCCTAAGGAAGACGTAACTAGCTAGTGAATTTTTAACAGCTCCTGATCAAGTGCACTGAGTATAGTGCTGCTGTTATAGACAAGGCCAAAGTTCTCTGGGAACCAGAGGAGGATGTGAGGAGCACTTAGGACTGAGGAAGGATGCTCAGAGGATGAGATCTGTGAGCTGAGTCTCAAAGATGACCCCGAGCTTCTTATGTGGGACAGGGTGGACGTGCACAATTAGAGTAGGATAAAGAACATGTGCAGCTGTGTGAAAGTATAGAGCACGAAAGCATTCTCGGTTCCTCCATTATTCCACCTGTAAGATGGGCATTAGACTACAAAGTTCTGCTTCCCTAAGCTACCCTTATAACAACAAGGGGGGAAAAGGGGGTAGATTGTTGCATTAGTATTGTGAGGCAGGGCATGAATGTCTAAGCACCCGTGAATGTGAATCTTCAGTGTCTTGTGAGGAGGGCCATGAAATATGCATCATGAGTTGAGAACAGAAATGGCCGAACCAGAGTACATTTCCCACTCTGATGTTGAGAAGTCCTTGTGCTTGTACTCCACATGAGGGGGTATGCCTGGGCCTTCAGGAGGTGCCACGGTAAAACACGCAGGCTCTAAGGTAGGGGAGGTGGTGGGGGAAGTGATAGAGGCAGTGACCAATGGAAGGACCCTCAGGGACCTGCGCTCAGAGGGACCCCTGGGCCTTGGGAATTCTCTTCCCTGCATTTTAAGGAGGTGAGGTAAGAGCAGAGTTCCAGAAACACCTGCCTTGGAAAATGGGTTCATTTTGAGGATGCGTGATAGAGGTAGCTCCCCTGGCCCTGGCCCGGGAGACGGTGGGAGGACCATCAGGTTCTCAGCTCCTGTGGGAGGTCCTCAGCAAGGGCTGCAGGGATGGCCACTCTAGCCTCCCTCAGGGCTGAATACCAGGGTCCCCAGAGCCAATTCCTACATGGCTTGGAGTCTACAGTCTATTTACATAAACCCTTGGTATAAAGCCAGGCGTTAGGACTTTATAGAGTTAATGGGTATGTGATGGCGGTCTGTGCCTTGCTTTCCTTTATTATAAAATAAGAATAGTACTAGGGTTGTTCTGAGGATTCACTGAGGCAAAATGGGATAGTGTTCCCACAGGACCTGCCCTATATCCAATAGGAGGAGGCCATTGTCCTCATGGTCTGGGGCCCCTCCACAGCCCAGGGGTCTATGGGCTGGGCAGTGAGGGCAGTTGATGTGATAGGAGATTGCTGGAATGCCATTCTGTACAGAGACGGATCCACATGAAGAGGTTCGGCCCTCCACAGGCATCGCAGAGGGTCAGCTGAGGCCAGGCCACAGCCTGGGTCCAACACCAGATACTTTCTAACTCCATCTGACCTCATCCTCACAAGACACAGGGCAGACAGGAACAGCCTTCAGCCCTTCTCTGAGGACAACACCCCACACGGAAGGAAGGGAAGAATCTGGTCATTTCCTAAGGAGACCTGCTACTGCACTGTGTCAGCAGGTGCACTATTGCAGGGAGACAGGTGTGAAGGGCACCTCAGACCAGGCTCCTTCCCAGTGGCCGGGCACTTACATCAGGGGTACATAATTCACAGCTGCTAAGGCATGGCTGTTCACCTTTGCTGCCACTAGCCTGGCGAGATGTCTCTGCTCTCTCGGCCATACTTGGTCTCCCTGGTCAGCCAGCAGCCTGAGAAAGGGCTGCCCATGAGACCCAGCCATGATCCTTTGAGAGCTAGCTTTCCGGGGTCCCAGGGGGACGTGTCCCCTTGCCTCAGGAGCAGCAAGATCCTCCCAAACAGGTCCCAAGGCTCGTGTATCCTGAGCTGGCTGGGCCTCCAGCATCAGCCTCCAAGAAGTCCCATTCCCATCAGGTGGTGTTGGGACCGTCTCTCTGTGAGGAGGTCCTGTCTGGAGAGAAGCTCCAGACAGCCAAGATCTGGTTCTGCGTCAGGATTCCCAAAAGTAGAACAGGACAAAGGGGAATGAGCCTTTCTGGGGAGCTCCCCATAGGTTATTACCACCACAGGGTCTGTCACTGGGGGCCTCCCATCCTGTGCAGGGCAGAGCACCAGGCAGTACTTCCTGAGCATCTCCCAAGATGCTCTCTGAAGAGAAAAGTATCTCCGAGGAGTCTGAGCTTTGTGTGGTATGCAAAATCTATCAGGCTAGACGGCAGTGTGGGACTTCAGTCATATTTCCCCACTCCACTGGTGGGGGTGGAAGGGGGTGAAAGGCATTTGGCTCCTGACAAGCTACCTCACCCTTCATCTTCAAGTTCCTGGAATTTGCGATACAAAGGACAATGTTTAGCTAATCAATAACTTATGTTATTTTAATGTAAATTAGAGGTGAGCAACTTAGGACTGGCCTCTTCTTTTTTCCTTTAAAACCCCACTATTCCAGGCAACTTGAATCTATGCTCCTGGGTTGCAAATCTCAAACTTGGTGCAAATAAACTCTCTACTTACGTTAATTTTGCCTCCGTTTTTGTGGGTTTTTTCCTTCAGGTTGACACTACAACATCTGTAAATGGATCAACATAGAGAGGCAGTGTAGAGCAGGGGTGAGGAATCTGACCTCCAGGGCCAGGCTTAAATCCTGACACTGGCACATCCTAGCTGTGTGTGACTCACGGCAACTCACTTGACCTCTCTGGGCTCAGTGTAAAATGGGAGAGTAGAAATATCTGGTAACATGGGGTTGCTATAGGGGTTAAATTATGCTCAGCACTATTAAATAATCAATATTAGTTTCACTGACTGAAAAATAAAATGCAAAAATGTTCAAGGGAGAAAAGTTTGGTGTGTATGTGCTTGGTGGAGAATGAACCAATGTACTCTGGGGGTGGATGCAGAGAAGACTTGACCTGGCTTAGGTCCAACTCTGCCTCACTAAAGAGGAACAGGACAGAGTCCCAGCTCTCAAAGATGCTGGGGCAAAAAATAAGGGCCAGGGTCAAGTTAAATAGCAACATGATTTATATAACAATTCAGAAGAGAGTCACATAATTACTGAAACACAGTGACCTATTTTCAGAGGTCAAAGGAGACAGATCAGCATCTCCCAGGGTTAAGGAGAAAGGGCTATTATTTTAATAATCATCATCATTTTGATGGTGAAAATTGTGAATATTAAATAAAGAGGAGAAATAACTTTCTGACTGTTCAAAGAAAAGGACATGGGAAGAAAATCAGTCCTGCAGAATTTACCAGTGGTCCAGAGGTCAGCTATGTTTTTCTGTAAAGCAGGGTTCCAGGGTTGCACAGTAGGAGGAGAGTGGCAGGTGAGCAAGTGAATTTTCATCTGCATTTACAGCCACTCCCCATCTCTTGCGTTACCACCTGAGATCCGTCTCCTGTCAGATCAGGAGTAGCATTAGATTCTCATAGTAGGGTGAACCCTATTGTGAACCGCACATGTGAGGGATCTAGGGTGCACACTCCTTATGAGAATCTAATGCCTGATGATCTGAGGTGGAGCCGAGGCAGTGATGCTAGTGCTGTCTCCCATCACTCCCAGATGGGACCATCTAGTTGCAGGAAAACAAGCTCAGGGCTCCCGCTGATTCTGCATTATGGTGAGTTGTAGAATTATTTCATTATCTATTACAATGTAAGAATAATACAAATGAAGTGGACAATAGATGTAATACACTTGAATCATCTTGAAACCATGCCCCCTACCCTAGTCCGTGGAAAAATTGTCTTTCACGAAACCAGTTCCTGATACCAAAAAGATTGGGAATCGCTTCTGTAACAGGCCATATAGTAAATATTTGAGGGATAAATGGGCCATTTGGGGTCTTTTATCTCAGCTATTCAACTGTACTGTTTGCAGCACAAAAGCATCCATAGACAATATACAACTGAAGAAGTATGTTTCAGTAAAACTTACCAAAGGAGGTGGTAGATCAGATTTGGCCAGAGGGCTATGGCTTGCAACCCCTGACTTAGATTAGACATGAGAGCTGTTGAGGGGTGGCCCAGCTAATCCAAGGCATCCTTGCAGCTCTAAGCACCCTGCCCAGAATGCACCATGGAAGGCTTCCAGGTGGGGTTAGTAGGCAGGCCTGTCAGACTGACTATGGTGATGTGCTTTTGGAGAGTTATGACAACAGAGCAGCTCACTGAAGACCAGTGCCAGCCTCAAAGGGGAGATGGTGTGGAGATGGCTGTGCTGGCCAGGGCCTAAACAGTGGCCAGCAAACATCTGTTCTTCTTGCAGGGACCACAGCACCTGGCTGTGCAGATAGTGGTCTGGAAAGGCCACAGCGCCCGAGTCACAGTCCACACCCACAAGGCACTCCAAACCTTGGCTGCCCTTTCTGTTGCTGGACTGGCCTGCTCGCCACTGAGCCTGTGGGGTTGGAGTGAGGACCCAAGCCACTGTAGAGAAAACCCAGGCATGAGGCCAAAAAATATCCTGAGCCTATGACACAGGTACAATCCTGGCCCAGCCACAGGCACAATCCTGGCCCAGCCACAGGCACTGAGGACCCCAGGCAGACATTCAGCTTCTGCCACAGCATAAGCCCTGGACCAGGCAGTGGTGTAGGGCCCAGCATTCTGGTGGGTGAGCCTCTTGGGCACCCAGAAGTTCAGGGTAGGAAGGGGATGGCTTTCCTCTGCCTGAAGAAGAGAGGCTACAAGTCACCCCAGGTTTGGCTGAGTTCAAGTTGCCACACTCCCTCCCTGGGAAACTGCTGCCGCCTCCTCCTTCAGGCCTTTTTCAGCTCCACCCTGATGCTGCCTCTCTGGGGGCTGTGATCTAAGACTCATGGCCACTGCAGCCTGACTTGACCTGAGAAGAGGCCTGAGGGGGCAAAGACGTGTGCTCACCTGTGTGGGCAGACAGGGGAAGAATCCCCAGTGAACACCACCATTTGGAACCCCCTGGGGTAGAGGGGGTGCCCAGTACAGCACTAGGAAGGACCTAGCCAGGGGACTCACAGTCCACACTCCTCCCTTGTCCTTTGCAACAGAGGCTCCACAAGGAGGGAGCTGGGTCGAGGGAGGGAGCTGGCTCTTACTGTAAAGGCAGCTGTCTTTGCTGGAAGTCTCTCCAGGTCCTGGAGGTCATCCACAGAAACAATTACCACATGGCTGAAAAGCCACCCCAGGATTGTGCTTTTCCTGAGCGGTGAGAGTTTCCTCAACTCCCACGCCAGGTTTCTCTCAAACATGATTACAAGCCCCAGTCACAGGTGACAACCGAGGAAATCTGTGCTAGAGGGGTCTTTTAACCCCCCTCCCCTGGGCTCAGAGGCCTTTTGTGGGAAGGTACAGGAGACTGGCAAAGGTGCAGTGAAAACCAATACTGGGATCCCAGGCTGCAGGGACTCACTGTGACTCAATCCGTTTATAGCTATAACCGGGTCCCAGACTCTGAGCCTCTGTCCACACTGTTTGTAAAACACAAATTTCTAGAACAATCAGCACTTGGTACTGGTGAGACTCTGCCTGTTGAACGCCCCTACCCACCAGGTGTTGACCCCCAAGCAGCTGTCCCTGGCATGCCAGAGGGTGGCCCTTCCACTATGAAAAAGCTGAAGGCGCCTGGATTCAGGATAGGAAGGTCCTAGCCTGGGCTCAGAACAGCCACCTTTCTGCACCTACCACCAGCAAGCAGTGCCTGGGACACAACAGAAAACCTCTGGTTAAAGCTACCAGCAAAGTGGATGAGACACAGCAGAGGGGCTGTGCCTCCCCCACTCACACCCTCGCCGCCACCCTCGAAGTACCAGGGCTGAGAGTACAGAAAGCCTGGCACTAGAGGGAACACAGCTTAGGCACTTGGATACACATTCATCAGGGAGGCAGCAGCAGGCCTGGGACCCAACAGACCTGTAGTCAAATTCTGGCTTTGTGTCTCCCAGCTGTGGGACCTTGGATGGTGGTTTTAACGCTGAGTCCCATACTTCACATGAAAAAACAGTGAAAAAAATACCTACCTTTGGCCGGGTATGGTGGCTCACAGCTATAATCCCATCAGTTTGGGAGGTGAAGGTGAGAGGATTACCTGAGCCCAGGGATTTGAGAACAGCTTGGGCAACTTGGTGAGACCTCGTCTTTACAATAAATAAAAAAAAAAATTAGCAGGGCGTGGTGGCACGTGTCTGTGGTTCCAGTTGCTTGGAAGTCTGAGACAGAAGGTGGTAGCTGTGATCGTGCAACTGCACTCCAGCCTTGGTGACCAGAGTAAGACTCTGACTCAAAAATGTGTGTGTGTGTGTGTGTGTGTGTGTGTGTATAAATTAACCCTCCTGTGAAGGATGGTGGAAGGATTGTGTTTGTGGGCATGACGTGGGTAGAAGCTCAGGGTATGGCAGTTACTGGCATTGTCAACATTACAAGGGACTCGGGATCAGCCATGACATTAAGTCTTATCCAGCTCGAGGTAAAGCACCCCCGCCAGCTGTCACCTGGCTTCAAAGGACCTCATGCAATGGGACGCTGTACCTGGCACTCCAGAACTGTCCCTCCCATCCCATGAGGTAAGAGTCAGCAGTCCCAGCTGTGGCTGCCCTCAGGAAAGCATGAATGAAGGGGTTGGTCCAGAGACATTTGGGGTCAGTCCCCCTTCAGTGATATCAGGTGATGGGTCACTCAGTGGGAGCTCAGTTTCCATGGAGCCAGCTTCCTGCTGGCCCCAGGTCCCATGCTACCATGTAAATCCTTCCCAGCTGGGGCCCCATCCCTTCCCTAGGATAGTTCCCCAATCATGCCCTACAGAGGAAAGGCCTTGGGTTCAAATCTGACTATGCCACTTGGAACAATGTGAAAACATTAGATTTTCTCACTCTTACAATATAAATACTACTACTCACCTCACTGAATAGTAGCATAATATACCAGACAGTGCTGAGGGACTTACAGCCTTAGCCCATTGAACAAGACCATCTGATGAGACAGATGTGAGCATTTCTTCCACGTAGATATCAGAAAACAAAGGGCTGGAGACTTTGAATGACTTCTCAAGGTCAACAGCTAGTACATGGCAGAGCTGGGATCTGAACCCAGGTCTGTATGATTCTGTAGTTGCATCCATCCAAATAAATGGATATTTGTGTATGGTGTACCTTGTGCATACCCTGGACAATGAAGTACTAAACAAGAGACACGGTCCCTGTCCCAGGGAGCTGATACTGGGAGAAGAGACAAAGAATAAACAAGTGACAAGTGCCACAGAGTTGGGAGTTGGTTGGTGGTCAGATAACAACCAGGGCAGGGGCAGGGGTGGGATGTTTCACTGAGCCAGGTCAGGGGAAGTCCGCTTAAGAACTTCAGAGAAGCAGGGCTCAGTGGCTCAGCCTGTAATCCCGCGCTTTTGGGAGGCTGAGGTGAGTGGATTGCCTGAGCCCGCGGGTTCGAGACCCGCCTGGGCAACTTGGCGAGACCTCATCTCTACAATAAATCAAAAATCAGCCGGGCGTGGTAGTGCGTGCCTGTGATTCCGGCTACTCGGAAGGCTGAGGTGGAAGAATCACCGGAGCCCAGTGGGTCGAGGCTGCGGTGGCCAGGAGCGGCCACTGCACTCCAGTCTGGGCGATGGAGTGAAACTCCAACTCAAAAAAAAGAACTTCAGAGAGATGAGGAGGCAGCAGGGACCCAGGACATGTAAAGTCCCTGAGGCAGGACAGATTGCAGTGGCACAATCCAGGAGTCAAAGAGAGGCCAGTGGAGAGCCTGTGTGATGAGGCTGGATGTATAGCTGGGCCAGACCATAGTCTCCAGGCCCATGTTAAGGAACAGGGATTTTTTTTCTAGTTTAATTAGAGCCATTGGTGGGTTTCAAGTATTTTGTTATGATTTTCAAATTTTTATTGTAGTTTTATTTACTTATTCATTTTTACTGTAGAACAATCTAGGGGGATTATTATCATTTATTTATTTATTTATTTACTTATAGTTATTATTTTTTAGAGATGGGGTCTTACTATGTTGCCCAGGTGGGAGTGCAGTGGTTGTTCACAGGCACCATCAGAGTGCACTACAGTCTTGAACTCCTGGGCTCAAGGGATCCTCCTGCTCAACCTCCAGGGACTAAAGGTGCACACCACGGTGCTCAGCTCTTACAAATTTTTTAAAAGTCACTGTGGCCTGGGCTGGTGACCAGAGCTGTTCATGGCCTTGCTCACATGGTGCTGGGGAAAGAGACTAGGTAGTGAAAGGCATGTGGTGACTGAATCAAATCTCCCCAGGATCACCTCCAGCATCCAGGAGTATCACGGTCCTGAACAAATCACCTGTGGGCAGGCTTATTTTGCTCTGTCTCTCCCAGGCCTTGCACACAGAAAATGCCAGATCTGTGAGGACAACTGGAAGTTCAAGGGGCCCATGTCAGGGAAATCAGGGGTCCTGGACTGGCACTTACCATCTTGGGCGGTGGGAGGTCTGGAAGGCTCTTCTGAGGGGCTGAGGAGTGCTGGCCAGGCTCCCCATTGGGCAATGGGCCCTGTTCCTCAGGCACTGCAGGCAGCAAGAGAAGATACCTTTGGTGAGGGGTGCCCAACTTCACAGCAAGGTCTCCTTACTGAGAAATGGCTGGTCACATGCACCCTTGGTTCTATTTAAGAGGTGTTAATTACCCAGGCAGGAGGCCCCTGGAGGTGAAGTTGTTTTTCCTCCAAGAATAGGGTACAGTAGGGCCCCAGCCACAGGCTTGGGGTTTCTGGCAGGCTCTGCACCTGCTCCGTCACCCACCCGCTCCATGGCCAAAATGGTCTAGCCGCAGAGCTTTGGCGAGGAGAGGAGCTGCCTGGTGGTCACTATATTGAGCAACTCTGAGTCCCGACCCTGTGATTATGGCTCTCTCCTCCCACAGTTTACCCGGAAGGTGATGACCCTGGGCAGAGTGGCGGATCTAATCTGGATGAGTTTTGCCGAGTACCGGCCATGGTGGTGAGGCAGGAGTTGGCAAAGTTACACTGAGGAAGTTAGGCCACCCACCCTCTGTACACCTTTTTTTCTCTTTTTTTGAGTTGGAGTCTCACTCTATAGCCCAGGCTGGAGTACAGTGGCATGCTTATGGCCACCACAGCCTCAACCCGCTGGACTCAGGTGATCCTTCTGCTTCAGTCTTCCGAGTAGCTGAAACTACACACGTGTGTCAACACATCTGGCTAATTTTTTGATTTATTGTAGAGATGAGGTCTTGCCAAGTTTCCCAGACTGGTCTTGAACCCCTGAGCTCAGGCAATCCTCTCACCTTGGCCTCCCGAAGTGCTGGAATTACAAGCTTGAGCCACTGTGCCCAGCCTTCCTCTGTGTATTTTTAAGGAAAGAAACCAAAGATCTCTTCAGGGCCTGACCATTGCAGCCAGCCCTGGGACAGACAGATCAGGCAGGTCTGACTCAGGGCTTTGGTGGCTGATGTCTCAAGGCAGGGCTCTAACAGGAATGAGTGCCTTGCAGCAGTGTTCCCATCCCTCTCTAAGCCTTTGCATTTGAACCACAGGCTTGGGAGGTGGAGCTTCTTAGCTCCTCACCCTCTGCAACTGGACAGCTCTGCAAACCTCTGGAACTCCCCAGGTCCTGCCAGACCCACTCCTGAGGTTTTAAGAAAAAGCAGAGAGCAGAACACAGCAGAAGAGCGGTGCACCTTGGAAAACAACGCGTGTCCTCCAATGGAAGGGACAAACATTCTGCTCAGAGCACCTCTGAACATCGTCTCTGACTATTAAGGCAGTTGCTGACACCGTCATCTCTCTCGCCTCTTCCCCAAAACAGACTTCTATCAAAAGAATAAAGCAGAACCGTGGGATCAGCACCACACAGCTGCTTTCTTCGAACATCTGAATTATGACTTCCTGTTCCTGGGATGATGCTGGGAACAGCCAAGAAGTTTTAGGGCCAGATTCCTCATTCAACGGGCAAGGAGGGGGTGGCCTACTGAAACATCCCAAAATACATCAACCCAAAATACCACCAAACAAAATGTGGCTTCCAAAAATAACTCCTGTGGGTCTATGTGCTGGCTGGGAGGAAGGAGGGCCAGGACAGAAAGGAGTCTTGTACCCTCCCCCTTCGGGAGCCGGCTACCCCATTGGTGGTCTCAGTCCCATACCTTTGTCTTGAGGTTCTGCATTTTGTTGCTTGTTGACAGTCACTTTGTTCATGTAAATGTACTCCTCATCAGCACCTGAGGAGGAAGAAGGAAGACATGGGCTTCACGAGCCTTCCCGAAAAGAAAAGGTCTCCAGAGGGAAACCCTGTCTCCTGAGAGAACTTTTCATCTGTTTGGGTTCCAGTAAAGGCACACAACAGTTTGAATTGATTGAAGGAGTCCATCATAGACACAGTTGACAGATTTCCCAAAAAAGAAATGACAAGTTGCTGACTGCTAGTTTTCTAGCCTGGAGTGGGAATGTGTGTGTAGGCAGGGGGTAGCTTCAGGAAGGATAGCTTAAGAAATAAAAATCTTAAGTTAAAAGAACCTCAAAGATCTGTCTCACATGCCACCAAGTAGCGATGTCTCTGAGTTTAAATATTTCCTGTTCTTTCCGCCCTAGTCTGAATTACTTGAACAAGTTCATCAGAGTTCTGTCTAGGTCAGTGGACTGTCTTTATCTATCTGGGGCCCTGGAGATTTAGCTCCCAGGCCTCCAGGTGGGATGTCCTTTGTGGTGGTGGTGTGGGGGAAGGTGGAAACAGCCAAATCACACATGCTCTGAGTCTAAAGGGGCAAGTGTGCTGGGGATCAGAACTGGAGAGCCACCAGCTACCTGCTCCATCTGTAGATTGTACCCTTGGAGGCACAAATCCGTGGCTTCCTTTAAAATCGCTTCTGTGCAAGTTAAGTCTCCTTTCCAGCGCCGAGCTGGGCAGAGAAAAGCTAGTCTCCTAACTCTCGCTCAGTTTCGAATCCCCCAAGGAATCTTTCTTCAGAACTCATCCTAGTGTTTCTCTTCCTCAAAATTCGCTTGAATTTCTTCTGTAGCCCTTAATTTGCATTTCCTAGAAACTTGTGGCTGATAAATTCCAGTGGTTGGAGACCGTGTTAGTGAGCCAAGAGACCCAATTCAAACCCTTGGCGGAGGACGCAGTTCCGCATCGGCCTGTTCCATGTACACAGACCGCCCAGATTCCAGCCAACAGGCCTGACACAGCAGGGCCCTGAGAACCAGGAGGAATCCAGGGTGCTGGATGTGCCTCCAAACCTATCAGCCCCTGGGACAGTCACCTCAGCCCTGCCAGGGCCAGTCAGTGACAACATCCTTAAAACAAGGATTGCAGCAGTTTAGGGGAGGGAACCATGAGGTACAAATGGAATTAACCACTTCCGCCAACTGAGAGCCACAGGGGTTTGTCAGTCCCTTCTCCAGAGCAGGGCACAGAGGGAAAGTGCCTTTCAGGGGGAGGAGGGGACAGGGTGTCAGCCAAGCTCTGCCATTAGTAGCATAAGGCTAGGCAAAACACCTTACCCTGGGGCCTCAGATTTCTTGTCTGCATAGCATGGAAAACGATATGACGAAATACTGCCTGTTTCTACCTAACTCTTGTTTCCAAGAGTATAAAGCTCAAAAATTAGAAGATCTGAAAAGACAGGGTAATCTTGTAACTAACAAAGATTAAAAATAACAGCCTAAAACATGGAAAATGACTTAGAGGCTCAACAACAGAAAAATGGCAAAATAAACCATAAATGGATAACTGAAGAGTGTGTAAATTGACAGAACCATTTTGGAGGAGAATTTAATTTTTGTGTTCATATTCCTTGATCCAGTATTTCCATTGCCAGAAATTTATCCTACAGATAAACTCCAGCATATAAACAAAATTTTAGTTGTGGATGTTCACTGAACTACTATATAAGTTTGTTTGTTTAAAAGAATACCGCTTAAATGTACACCAATAGGGGACTGGTTAAACATTAGGGTTTATCACCAGTAGACACAACCCAACTGTGAAAAAGCAGCAAGATAGTTCTATGTCTGTTACTTACAAAGCTATCCAAGACTTAGAGTTAAATTAAAAGGTCAAGTTTCAGAACAGAAAAGAAAAAAAAGAAGAAAAGAAAAAGTATATGAACTTCTAACACGTGGAAATGTTTGCTTGCAGCAATTCTAAATGTAAAAATAATGTATAGCAAAAACATAGAGGCAAACCGCAACTACACACAAATATTCAGATGACATTGATAAGGATCAGAAAAGGAACTGGAGGAACATAAATAGCACTCAGTCTTTTGATGTTCTTTTATTTTTTTCATATCATTGACTAAGTTCACACTCCTACACAAAAACAAATGCTAGATGTTATTGTTTCCACTGTTAGGTTCTAAGCAGGTACATTCCCTCATGATAGCAATTTGTAAATTACAGAGAAAACTTACACTAGGTACCTCATGAGGCTGCACTGGTCTGCCTTGGGCACTCTGCAGACCCGGGTTGACTTGGTTTTGATTCACAGGGGGTTGCTAATCCAGGACTATCCAGATTGGTAAGTGAGAGACTCCCAAGACCTTCTGCAATTGTGGGAAAAGCCCAGTAAACCAACTAGGAGGCAGCAGACTTGGGCTGCAGAACTTTCTATCATTCACTCATTCATTTTCAGAAATGCATTGAGCACTAGCACTGTGTTAGTTGATGGGGACACAGCAGAGAACAAACCAGACATTGTCTCTGCCTTTGTGAACCCAACAGTTTGGTGGGGGAGACAGGCCTGAGAACCAGGAATTGAACAGTTACACAGTGGTGGGAAATGATGATGGCTGCAGGTGTTGTTGGAAAGGAGAGTTTAGAGTGCTCAGAGAAAGTGTGCAATTCCTGGGGAGCTGCCCTTTCTGCAGAGAACTGGAGCCGGGTTGAGGAGGATGGATAGAAACCTCTTATACTTGGATAAATAGAGTATTTGAAGTGCTTTCACCCAGAGGGGCAGCCACTGAGGGTGGAGGCATGGAGGTGCAGATGGGGTAGGTGGGGACAGGGCCCTTGCTGGTGAAGACATGAGCAGACCTCAGGCAGCCAAGCCCCAGTAAACAGACCTCAGCCTGGGCCTTGAACCCCCACATCTAGACAGAAAACAAAAAAAGGGCAGAAAAGTCATGTGATGCTAAAAAAAAGAAAAAAAGAAAAACCTCAAAGATCAGAAAACTCAATGAGCAAGTATGAAATCTGAAGTGGAATAGACAAGTTTCCATTTGAAAAGTGTAAATACACACACACACACACACACACACACACACACTCTGCCCAAAATGTGTGGGAGTACTACCCCATAGCTCAGCCCATGTGGAGAAGGCAAGTGGCTGCCGCAGGCCTCAGTGGGGCTGTACATGTTTATCAGCAACCTTGGTGGCACTCTGGAGGTGATGCACTTGACCAGTTCTCAGCAGCCTCCTACCACCCACAGGTTGCAGAGTCCAAGGGTGGGGAAGGCCTGGCTTTAAAAGAGCAGATGAAGGGCAGAAGAAAGGTCACCCTATAGGAAGCTACAGGGTTTACTAAACCGAAAAGGGGACCTGATACAGGATGCTCTGTCAGAGCGGTTAGCACCAGCACCCATGGGTTCGACCTATCACAGAGAGATACTTTCCAGTTCCCAATGATCTCAAGTTGGGGCTCATCTCAGAGGTTTGGGGAGTGTGCTTTTTTTTTTTCTGTCACCCAGGCTGGAGTGCAGTGGTGCTATCATAGCTCACTGAAGTCTTAACCTCCTAGACTCTAGCAATCCCCCCGCCTCAACTTCCTGAGTAACTGGGACTACAGGTGTGTGCCACCACGCCCGGTTAATTTTTTTTTTAATTTTTCTACAGAGACAGAGTCTGGCTATGTTGCCCAAGCTGGTCTCAAACTCCTAGGCACAAGAAATTCTCCCACTTCAGCCTCCCCAAATGCTGGAATTACAACGTGAGCCACCGCACGGGCCTAGGAAGAGTTTTTAAAGGATGCTACTGAGGAATCCTTCCATGGAGTGAATCATCCCTCTCAAACTTTCTAGCTTTGTAATGTGAATTTCCCATTCACTATTCCCACAGAAGGCTTCTTTGATATGCTGTGACCAGCAATCAAAAGGCAAGCGGCAGACGCTCCCTACAAAGCTTCAAGGAGTCTGGGAACTGTGGCGTGGCCTGGGGAGCTGCAAAGGCAACCAAGGGGCTTAGAAAACACCTCTGATGAGAGGCTGAGGGAGCCCATAGCAGAGAAGGCAGATGGGCATATAGCAACATGCCTCAACTTTATGACCGCTCAGTTACTCAAAGAACAGAAACTAGTTCCAAGGGGAACAAAGGAGGAGAAAGGCATTGAAATGTAGCCTGGCAGACTCAGGTTGGATGCAAGGGAGCATTTCCGGACTGTGATGGCTGGAGCAGGTGGAACCTTCCCTTCCCTGGCACTGACTTGGGCTGCTCCTGCCAAGAGGCAGATGGATAGGAAGACCTCCTCATTCGGTCCCTTACCGTCCCGAAACAGCACTTGCAATTTTCAAACACCTCATATAAAAATCGATTCAACTGTTATAACTTCACAAGGTTTTCTTTCTATAAAAAAATCTGAAAGTACTAGAAACCTTATGTCTATAAAAATGTTCACAGCAGCCTCATTCATAGTACTCCAAATCTGTGAACAACCCAAATGTCCATCAAGTGACAGGACACACAGATTGTGGGATACTCATGGAATAGGATACTACCCAGCAATAAAAGGAACAAATACCGTCACGCCCAAGAGCATGGATGAATCTCCTGAGCGAAAGAAGTCAGAGATACAGCACAAGTCATATGGTTCCATTTGTACAAAGCTTCAGGACAGACAGCAACTAATCTATAGTAGGAGAAATCAGAACAATGATTGCCTGTGGTGGGAATGAAAAGGGAAATTAACTGAGAAGGTGCAAGACAGAACTTTCTGGATGATGGAAATGTTCTATGTCCTGTTTTGGATGCTGGGGTCACAGGTGTATAAATTATCGAAACTTACTGAATTAAATACTTAAGATATGTGCACTTTATGGAATATAAACTCTACCTCAATAAAAATAAGAAAAATTGTGAACTCGGGGTTCTGTGATTTACAAAGTCTTAAAACTATGTTTTCCTATTTTCCCTTTGGCTGTAGAATACTGGGTCTCAGTTTCCCCCTCTATGACAACAGCACCAACCTCATAGAAGTGTCTTGAAGATGGAACAAGTTAATGCATGTACACATGAAAAGTGCTCAGTTAAGCCTTAGCATTATTATAATAGTTTATTATCCCTTCTCTACTTTTAACCAAGGAAGAGTGCTTTGAAAATTCTTCATTTAAAACCTCATTCATGCGCTGCTTTTTCGAGTATTCAGAGATTTCCGGAACTCCTACTCAAGTCAGGTCACCCCTGTACCATTCTTATGGGTTGAATTGTGCCCCCCACAAATCCATATGTTAAACCCTAGCCTCCAGTATCTCAGAATATGACTGTATTTGGAGATAGGGTCTTTAAGGAGGTAATTAAGTTAAAATGAGGTCATTACAGTGGTCCCCTAATCCAATATGACCAGTGTCCTTATAAAAAGAGAAGATTAGGACACACACACATACTAAGGGAAGACCATGTGAGGACACAGGGGGAAGGCAGTCATTGGTGAGCCAGGGAGAGAGAGCTCCGAAGAAACCAAGCCTGTCTATACCTTGCTCTTGGACTTCCAGTCTCCAGAAGTGTGAGACAATCAATGCCTGTGTTTAAGCCCCCCAGCCTGTGGTACTTAACTATGGCAGCCTGTGTTGACTGACACAGCCATCTCTCCATTTCCGGGAGCACCTCTTCATGGCATGGGGCCCACACTTACTGCTGCTTTTGGTGTAAAGCCGGAGGAGCTCTGCCAGGCAGCTCTTCTTCACCACGGCTGTGCTGCTCAGGTTCTCCTGGTCGAGAATCTTGAGGAAGTCCTCCAGCTCTGTCAGCAGCTGCTCCAGGGCTAGAGACAGAAAACAGGAGAAACCTTTATAAGGGCTGCCTTCTCTCCAAAGGCCCAGCTCAGACACACCTCTGGACCCTGCAGCATCCTACGCCGTACTCATTGATCTGAAGAGGAAGCGTTTAGGGTGAGGCCTGGCCTGGCCAAGAGGCAGGATTCTCAGCTCCAAGGCCACGGAGAGAGAAACAGGCCCTCGGTTTGACATGGATGACCTCCACTGAAGTCCCAGCTCTCCCATTTGCTGGAGGAGTGAGAGTGGCCACGTTGGCCTACTCTCTGAGTGTACCTCCTCAATCGCAAACGTCACAGGGTTCTTGTGGGAAAACTAAGAAAGTAAAGCCTTCAAAGAGCTTTGCGGGCTGCTGAGCTCTGCTCCTGGAGCTGTGGTTATAATCAGGGTTAATCTCATCTTGATTCTCCAGGTGACTTTGGGACTATTACTTAACCTTCTCAGGTTGTTGAGGTCAAATGCCTTGTAAAGTTCCTCCCAGTTCTGAAAGTCTATGGTTCTAAGCTGGATTTTGGCTTGGCTGCACAGCTTCCTAAAACACAAATCTGTTCACATGATTAAAAACCACTCCTGGTTCCCCAGATACCCCATCTGGCCTCCAAACCCCAAAGACTGCCCCAGCATCCATACTCTACAGGCTGGCCACAGCATCCCTCTCCCCTGCTCCAGCCTTCACACCACCACTGTCTTCTCCTTCCCTGGCTAAATCCTATTCTTTCCTCAGGTGTGGTCTAGATAACATTCCTCCTGAGGCGCCTTAGCTGGGCATCTGGAACAGTGAGGTCTCCTTTAACAGATAATCCCATTTTATGGGCACCGGCCCCTGTAGCCCCCAGAGACCTAATCTCCTGAACCAAACATGTGAATATGCTACTTTACATGGCAAAAGGGACTTTGAAGATATGATTATATTAAGGAGATTATCTCAGATTATCCAGGTGAGCCCAGTGTAATCAGAAAAGCCCTTAGAAGACAGATGGATGCAGAAGAGTGAGAGGGATACTACAATGTTGATTGAGAATTGAAGCAGGGACCATGAGCTAAAGAACACAGTTGGCCTCTAAAATCCTGGCAAAAGCACAGAAATGGATTCTCTCCTACAGCCTCCAGAATGAACAGGTTCTGGTCTCTAGAACTGTAAGTTAATGAATTTGTGTTGCTTTGAGTCACTAAGTTGGGCAATTAGTTACAGCAGCAATAAGAAAGTAAGACACCCTCTCACAGCTCTGACTGCACTATATTGTACCTGTTGATATTATTATTCAGCTACAAACTCTAAGGACAGGCTCTGTGTCTAGCTCACATTTCCAGGGCCCAGTGCGATATCCAATCAACATTTGCTTTCTAAATTAATAAATGAAAGCAAAGCAAATTCATGCACTTACTTTGTACATAAAATAACTCCATGGCTAGCTTATAAGAAAAAGAAATTACTGGCCTGGACCAGGACTGAAGAGAAGTCCACTAAAAACCCAGGTGTAACTGGCAAGTCCCATCTAGGCAACACATTAGAACAGATCGGCTTTTTAGAAAGAATCTCTACCCACTTTTCTAGTTTAAATAACAAAACTGCAAACCCCAACAATTATTCCACCAAATGGTCTCAGTGAAACCAGTCCCTAAAGTTTACCACATGAACTAGCTGTTCTGAAACACAGACCCCGGCAGCCTGCCCACCATTTGGAACTCTTGGCAGCTTCCACTTTCCTCGTGACCACTGTGCTCAAGACCAGCATGAGCTGCCCATCTGCATGGGCAGCCCTTCGTCTATGCCATCCTGGAGGCAGATCAATGGCTAGGGAGACACAGGCACTTTGTGGGAAGTCTGCACTAATTTGCTCACCCCATCCCCAGCCCCTCTGGCATGGCTGGTCAGACCCACCATCACACAGAACAGATTTACAAATAACCACAGTGGAGGGAGAGAGGGAGGCAGGCACTGGTCACACCAAAGTGCAGGGCCAAGGCTAAGCTCTTCCTGGTGGCCAACTATTTGCCCAAAGAGGGTGGGCCACAGGATCCTCTGAGAAGCATCAGGGAGAGCAGTCACTATGAGTATCACTAGAGGATGCACCCAGGGAAAGCTGCCCAGTTGATCTTGACCTTGGCAGGTGGGGCTCTAACCCAGTGGAAGCTTTTCTTCTGGAGCTAGAGGCCTCAAGTCCATGCCTACTATGCCCAGGCTGGCTCACTAAGGGCTGGTGTCACCTTGCCCTTGTTCAAGGCCATGGTGCTGCTGGGCCTGGGTGACTAGAACGGAACCGGAACAGGACTCGAGACGGCACCCAGGCTGGGAACTAAACAAGAAACAGAGGGAGAGTGATGATGACAAAACCCCGACTCTTGTTTAAGATAAAGCAAGCAGGGACCATGATCCAGCTTTATGAATGTGAACTCTGACAGTCTGAGCACAAATATTTACCGCTACCAAGTCAACAAGCATTTATTCAGCATCCACCTAGGCTGGCCCACAGAAGGATTTAAAAGAAAGAATAAAACATGGTCCCCGAGCTGAAAGGCATTAGGTTGTGTTTTGTTTTGATTTCAAAAGCGATTCACAAGTTTCCTGTGGGCTGCAGAAACTTCACGGGCTCAAAAGCGGTGAGGTTAAAGAAGTCCAAACAGGGAAAACCAAGGATAAATGTGAGAAAGATGACTCAGAGCCTTGAACTAGGCTACAGTGGACAAGGGAAAGTGAAAGGGCCTCTCAAAGCAATTGGGGCCTCAAACTATCTTTTTCTGACCTTCTGACTTTCTCAAGGCTGTTCCTCTGCTGCTGCTTCTGAACTCATAAGAAAAGACACAAAAACTGAAAGTATCTCTTCACTTTCACATCCTTAGCTATTCCCCAAAACTGCCCGATTCCTGGAAAACAGCCGTTGTTTATGTCTCACGTGAGCAAATATGTGCCAAAGCAAAGGTAGAAGCACTGCGCCTGGTTCTAGGGAGACAGAGGTCACCCAGCGGGGTCTTCAACCTTTCCAGAGACCCAGTGAACACAGGGTGAGAACAAAACAGAAGCAATCCAGGAATGTCTCCAAAGAACAGGAATGCAGTGAGGAAAGGGAGGTAAACTCTGAGGTTATCAGGGAAAGGAATTTATAAGGTGGTCATTAAGGAATGCATAGGAGCTCACCAGGAAGAGGCAGAGACATTTCAAGAAAAAGGGAATGAGATGCTTAGAAGACTCAAGTGCTAAAAGCACGTGGCGTGTTTGGGAAACCACGAGTGGCTTTGTGTATCAAGGCACGTGGAACATGGTGGAGCACAGGTGTCAGAGGGAAGGAGGTGGGCTCTGAGGCCAGCACTGTGAACTCAGAGCCCACTTTGCTCAGGAGTTAGTGTCTAATTCTATACAGCCTCCAGGCAATGCAGTGGGCAGGGCCCTTCAAGGCTGTTCTGCAAGCAGGCTAGAGATAGAATACATCTGAAAACTGTACGTGGGACAGCTGTAAGGGGAGTGGTAGGGGAGATAGGAAGGCCAGTGAGATGACCGAGCTAGTGCAAATGAGAGTGATGAGGGTATGATCTAATCACAGCAGCTGGTCACCATGCCATCCATTGTGCCCCCAGCACTTCCAATTCTCACAACCACCCTGCAAGTGCACAGTTGGGGAAATGGGCTACTGAGGCTATATTACAACCTAATTTGGCCGCCTCCCCGGTGAGTGGTACTAGGATTCTGACCCAAGCATGTCCAAGTCCAAAGCACTTGCTGCCTGCTGTCCGTTGGCTGTAGTCACTCCCAAGGAGCCGGGGTAGTGTATGTGAGTCATGGCCTCTGCTCTCTTGTCCCTCATACACCACAGGGTAAGGGACAGAGGGTTGGAGACACGTGACAGTAGAGCTATCCGGACCTGCTGATCATAGTCACTGTAAGAGAAGCTGCCTGAGTTGCTGAGATGCAGAATGCCATCAGGCACCGTGGTGAACCAGGCAGCCATGGTCCCTGCTATCAAGGAATGGATGGGTCAGGCAGATGGGTGGGGGAGAGCAGCACTTGGGGTGCTCTCTGCGGAGGATGATGTCAACAACCTCCTTTTCCTCTGGGCAGTGCTAGGTGAAAAGGAAGAACCAGGGTTGACGAAATGCAACCCTGGGACGAGAGTGAAAGAGCCGGATGTCATTTCCCTCCCTCTCTGGAATTGCATCATTGTTCAAGGTCCAGTCGTGCCCTTCTCTGTGAAGCTGCCCATGACCAGAGGCACTCAGCTCTCTTGCTGGCGCCTGCCTCCCTGGGCTCCTTACTGTCAACACCAATTGTTCACGGTCTTGTCTATCTCAGGACTGGGCATAAGCTCTTTCTGGTCAAGGCTTAGGCTTTGTAGACTTGGGCGTTGGACAAGGTGCTAACTAAGCACCCCGAGGCTATCAGTGATTCTCCTACAGACACTCTTTCAGGGTCCAGCTACAGGCTCTGGGAAACACAATCAACAAAGGCCAGGCCCCAACTGTGCCAATCCCAGTGGCATTTTTCAACCCTCAGGGCTCGGAGCGGTGGGCAATCCTGCGGAGGAATGTAGCTCTTCTCTTGAGCTTCTGCAACCCGCTCATCACATTTCCTTTCTCCCCCGCCATCCCCCACGCTGTTCATTTTGGTTTCTTTCTCGTCCTCCTCTGAAGGGAAGGAAAAATAAACGTGTTGTTCATTCTGGAAACTGTAGGCCCTTGTGCAGGCTTTCCATCCTGGCTCTGTTAAAGTTCAGGGTTGTCTGTTCAAGGTCTGACAAATTGGTCAATAAGATTCTTGTTTGGGACTTCCAAGGCCCACGCAGGGCTGGGTGGTTCAACTGCTCAATTCATTGCCCTGGGCCATGGAGCAGCTCTGCCTCCCAATGACCTCCTCCCCCAGTCTTTGTCTCCTCGAGGCTGCCTGGCTTTTTGGTCACTCGGTTCCCAACCATAAATGTCTTCCCAGCACACCGAAAGCCGCTCTTTGCGGTTCTCCTGCTGTTTTATGCACACAGATTTATTTATTCAGCTGCATTTGCTGAAGA